TGCTTGTTTTCTGCTATAATGACATTGAGTAACAATTGATGGAGGAAATATTCTTGTTGGTATAATGACAGCATATTAAAAGTGGCACAAATGTAAATGTTATAATGACAGCATATTAAAAGTGGCACAAATGTAAATGTATTATCAATGTTTTCTGACACTATGTATGATTATGATTATGTACTATGTACAAGTCAAAATAAAATAATGTTCTGTTCTGTAAATTTATGAAACATAGAAATATCAGTTCTTACATGTATGCTCCCTCTAAAACTGCACGTTAATTTCACGCAAACTACTCATAGTAAAAAAAAAAAGAAGAAGAAAAAATGATTGTACAAATCTTGATATTCATATCTGTGAATGTGTTACTTGATCTCCTAATAAAGTCATAATTACATGGTTGAACATGTTATCATATTGAAGGTATTTTCATCATAAAGTCTTTTGAAAAATGAAAAGTAAACATTTGTAATGGGTTTTATTGATCTCATGTTAGATTTATTAACTGTCTTGTACAGATTTAAAGTCGAATACCATTTGTATTAGAAAAAAATGTTGTTTTTATTTCAATGTTTTTTTGATCAAAAGAAAATATTTTGTTAAACTCTATGAATGCCTGAAAAGATATGCACTCACTGACTTTATCCTGTTAAAGTATTTTCATATTTTTATGTGTAAGTAATGATAAATAGTTCCTAATTTAAATATAGCTGCACAGGTAGTGGGGAGAAGATACATTGTAGTAGGAACAAAACTAAGTAAAGGGAGGTAACTTCAGCACATATTTTATGTACAAAATTTGCTATTTGTCCCCCTTTACCAGTATATATAGGATTGTTATGGCTGCCAGGTGTGCCTGTTTGCTCACTGCCTAATTTGAGCAATTTCATTATGAAGACGGAATCAAAGTCAGTTAATAAGGGAAAGTCATTAAGCATTTAAGATGCTTTGTTTAAAGTCACACTGTAATGGTCGTGTGGTGACTTTCCAGCATTACTGAAGGAGGAAGTCAAGTAAGGTGATCCTCCATGCCTTATTTCCGACATAAATGGGACCTGAGTGTAACCACTAGTCCTCCATAAATAGCTGGATTGCTTTATCACACGAAAGAATCCGAAGTATCTTGAGGGATCCCCCCCCCTCCCCCCTTAACCTTAGTATTGATAGGAATTGCTGCATATTATATTGAAGTTTGAAGCTAAAAATTATCAAATGTGGGATTAAAATATCATTGCAACTTTTAAATTTGGAGTCAAAATGGAGTCAAAATGTCAGCTAAATTAATTATTAAAATTTCCGTGGAAGGTTAAGGGGAAAAAACCCAGTGATAATTAAATTAGAAATAAAGATATAGATCAACTGTTTTACACTTGAGTGAATAATTTACAACCTTATAAACCTTTATAATATCTAGGGTGAAACCATGGTATGATATAATCAATCATTGATTGATTCTTTTTCTGTCCCAGTGCAATAGCTAACACATCAAGATAAATACATTGCGCTCTGCACATGTTTATATTTAATGCAGTTTTACAGGTCTCCTGGGTAGATACATAATGTTTATTATACCATGTTTACATGGAGATCATCTCCGATTGTAACTGTTTATTTTAATTGCTCCATTCCTCAGAGACATGTTACATTTATATGGAAAAAACAGAGACACTAAAATTAAAATGGAGAAAAAAACATTGAAAAAATTTAACATTAGGTCAAATGATTTCTGATCAATTTTATGGTTTTGATATTATATTTTTGAAAATGTGATATTTAAATAAATAGTAAAGTTATAGTAATTTCAAAGATTTTAATGTTAATTTTCATGTTAATGAAATTATGAAGTAACTTATTCTAGTTTAGTCCAAATAGACCTTTCAGTGATTGACATTGGGATATATCATGTCTATATTGGTAAACCTGAGATTATTATGCACCAGTTGATATTAAGGTAGTACACCCCTAATGCACTGTCTCCACTTTGAAGAGTATTCAAATAGGCTAAAATCACTGTAAAGTGTATTGAAACTGAGGGGGCGTGGGTTCAAACCCCACAAGGGGCAATTTTTTTTCTTTCTTTTTTTTCTTTTTAACATTTTTTATTAATCTCTCAGACCCCCTATGGAAGAAAAAAGTGTTTAATTTTAATTATATAATTATTGTAGGTATTTATTTACTAAATAATGCCAAATTTAATAGCAAATATGATACCAGATATTTCCAAAGTTTAATAAAACGGTAAAAGTAGTTTATATTTTGCAAGACCAACCAATATACATTAAAGAAAATTTAGGCAAACTTTGAAAATAGCCCCTCATTTTGGAAAATTTTAGGGATATTTTAAATAAGGCTTTTTACATAGGGAAATGGTCAAATTAGTGTTAAAAGCTGGTGGGGTAGGGTTACATTTTTATACATATTAAAAACATTTCGTTTAAAAACAATCATTTTGCTTGTTTAATTTGTTACCTATATATCATTGTTTATTTCTTAACAATGAGCAAAAGGAAAACATTTTTCATAATGATGATATTATAGATTATTTAGAGTTTCCTCATTTCTGAAAAAATCCCTTCTAATGGCAAAGTTTTAGTTCATAAAAATGTCCATAACTCATAAACCACACGGTAAATATTGTTTAAATTTTGCATACAGGTGACATTTAAGGCATATAAGTGTCCTATGTTGTCAAATTTACAATTCCTTATAGTGCCCATTAGGGGTGTACTACCTTAACCACTGCCCCAAACCCCTTGGTAATTGTGGGGCTTTGAACTTTGTATTTTCCAACACCAGGTATTGGTTCAAGTGTACGGGTGGGTGGGCGGTATATTAAAGTTAAAATCTACACTTAATGCCCCCACATCACAAGTTAGACAGTCATGTCTGGTTATTTTGATGCCAACACAATACTACTGCAGTAACATAGCATTTAGAGATAGTTGTAATTATCCCCCACAGTCCCAGGGTGGGGCTGCAAATTGACTGATGCATTAATTGCATCCTATTTTTATGATTGCAGGAAGACTCTATTTAATAAACTACAGTATTTAGAAACATTGATTTTAACAAAATTAATAGTCACTTTACTATATGAAATGTAACATAAGTATGTAAGCTGTTTGAATATTTTAAATAGAAAAGTCTGTTCTCTAAAATGCCATACCATACAGTAGTAACCTTGGAGATATAATTACCCAGAGAATGACACAGCAGTTTTGAATTGGGGACATTCCATTGAGCATCAATTTTATTGGTCAATCAATATTTTATAGAATGTGTTTTTCTATCTCTACAACTGATAATAGTCTCTTGGTATTAATTGCTGCCCAGTATTGACGTAGCAACAGCTTTGCATCTTTATTTGAAAATAATTTGTTACAGCGAAAAAAAAAACACACAAAAAAACATTGAATTTGAATAAGGAGATGTTTCTTCCAGTTTCATTTGAATGAAAATTTCTCTCATAGAATTCAATGTTATTCATTCATGTCCAGATACATTAAACATGTATTTTCTATAGACAGCGTATAAAATAGCACAATCTGTATTTTAATATTACAAAACAACTTCAATTTTAATGCTTTTCCCTCTAAAATAACAATAATTATAGTGAAAGTTTCTTGAAATCATTGAGGTTTATCCTATATAAGACATGGTCTTTTAAGCAAGGTGGTCTGTATGTCAAATAAATGATCTAGCTTAAATATTCATTGAATATTATATAAAGTTCATTTGATTGATCCAAAGTTATTTATCTTTATATTGTTTGACATACTAGTACTACAGTAGTGTTGCATGGGGACAAATCCTCAACATTTTGACAGGTAATGGTAAATTAAAGGTAACTTTTGAAGAAGAAAATAACACACAGAAAAACAGTAAACCAACTGAATATGATACAATATTGTAACTTCATGATTATAGAGAAACAGATACAACAGTCTGGCATTGCTGAGTTCATTGTGTCTCCCTTCTAAAATAACTTTTTTTCTCCCATAGGATTGCTTTTATTTGAATGATGAAGCATATTTTAACAAGGTGTCAGATTTATATATGTTATGCCAACAATAATTGATGATGATTCATGACATATTGAGTTAATTACAATATGATGATTATCTTCTTCAGATTACAGTGTAAGTTTCCTATAGATTTATACCTGTTTTACCAGGGGAGTTGACTATTGATAGAAGCTTGCCTCTGTCAGGCCAGCATGCACATTTATGCATTCTGAGTTTCAGACCTGATTATATATAATGTTGACTACTCAGTTACAGAAACCCCCTTAAATTATTGTTGATTGATTATTCCATATTCAAATACTTGGTAGGTTAAGTCCATTAAAGTAACTGTAAAAAGTATTGTTGAAGATAAAAGCTGGCTTTAAATATTGAGAAAGATAATTGAAGCATACTTACAAAATAAATATTGTGATTAAGTGTCAAATATATTGTTTGTTATTGAATATAAATAAGTACTTCAGCACTTAAGTATAAGTTAAAAACTATGTTGTTTTGTTTGTTCTTGTCAGAGTTGTTTGTTTATTATCATGTATATCTATCAATTTGGATGACTATTATATTCTAAAATGAGAGGAATTTACCTTTCCCATCCTTTTTGCAACTAAAAACTGTAATTTTTTAATCTGACTGTAAATAGAGGTCCCCAGTATTGGTACTTTCAATCTTGCAAGCACTAACAAACTAGTTCATTGAAATAAGAGTACCTGTACATTACAACAAATTCTTTTCTAGAGTTGCCCCTATCAACATTGAGGAGAGTGAGATACTAATCAAACATGTCACTTTTAAGTCCATTTTATAAAATCTGAACATTTATACATGTAAGTATTTGTAGGGCTTTTAAAATATACTTTACTGATACAACTGGACAGACGTACCCAGCTGGAATTAGCCACAAGTCTCTACAGAGTAAAGAAATTTATATATATGTTTGCAAAATCCAATCACACAATGTTTGTCATATATTTGCAGTTTGTTTACAAGACAGTGTTTTGGCATTCCACAAACATGGCATGCAGGGAAGAAGCTTTAAAGCAAATGAGGTAAGTTTGTATCCAAGAATCCTCACCAGATTGTTATTATTAAATACTCTTGATTTAAAAAAGCTTCAATCAATGTTTTACCTATTCACAATGTCATGAACTAATCTTGACTACATCTTTGTACCTTTAAAACATGAATAACTTGAAAAATAGTTACTTTGAGAACTGAATTACATCATCTTGTAAACTTTGTAAACGTGTCATAATTTCTACCTTTCTGAGATGATGAACATGTGCTAATAGTGGCCAGTACAAGTGAAATCTGTTTTGACTTACTATATAAGTTTATATAGGCTAGTTAATATCTTGTATTTAATTACAGGTGACTCAGGAGATATGTGACAAGACTAGAATATTCCGCTTACTTGGTTCAGATAGGTAGCCTATTTTTGTTTTATTGTTGTTTTTTTTACATACCGGTATATAAATTTGTACATGAAGTATAAGATTAATCCTTATATAAGACTATGTTAAAGTTTGAAAACTATTAAGAACAATTTCCCATATAATATTCTCTACCACCCCATCAGCCTCCCCTCTTAAAATAAATTTGTTTTACTTTTAATGAAGTTAGTATTATATTGCTATAACAAATTTGAATGTGGTATGAATAAGTATCAATATAAAAAAAGATCTTTAATTATCTTCGAATTCTTTCACCAGCTAGCTTACAGAATATTTGGGTAATACTCAGGTGCCTGTTTGTGCCTGAAATGATGAGGTCTGTTGCTGCCATTAAAGCTGGAAAGTCTCCATATGACCTATAACAGAGTTTCACTGTACCATTTTTAATGATGCCTAGTAAAATCATTTACTAGATCTATGTTTCTTTTGAAGGCTAATTAGAGTCTTAACATTTCTTGAATATAACCTTTTTTTCACTGGCTAATCTCACAGAAGTTCTACCTTACAAGAACTGATTACATTATCAAAACATTAAAGTAATAGTCATCTGTAAAAACAAAACATGCCCTTTTGAAATATTCATTCAATGATGATTACTTTAAAGGTCAAACAAACAAGTAGTTGATATTATCTTGGAATTGTTTAGAAACATTTCATGTCCAGCTTAGAAAATGGCAGGTATCCGCATTAACTCCTTACCATCCAATCAATGTCAACTTACTAAAAGCTTTCAAGGTTCCAAGTTAAAACTAATCTTCCTATTCATTGATTTTAGTAAAGATATCATCTAGGAGATGGGCTTCGTACCTCGTAACCTGGGGTTGAAAAGCTCTATTTGAGATGATTTTTAGTGTTACAGGATTTTGTTTTAAAGATAATTTGATTCTGCTATAAGTGTCTCGGACACTGTTAAGCTTGTAATTATTTTATTTTTACTGATAGAGGAATACTTTAGTTGTGCCTCCTTTTTTCACATATTATTTTTCTTCACCAGAATCAAACCAACATTTCACCATGACTTATTTGGCATGTGAATGTATCCAGCCATTTACTCTGATTATGACTATTATTAATATAAATAAAGCTAATTAATCCTGTAAAATTATATAAACATCATTTAAAATTGATGTGTTTTCCATTTGACATCAATAAAAAGAAAAAGTTAATTGACTTCTTATCAATTAACTGAGATTTGAAAGCATGAAAAATATTCAATACACATATTTATTTGATTTTCTTAGCAAGAGGTAAATTTATACAAACAAGGGTTATTTTAAATTGAAAGACAAGATAATTAGTGGATTAAGAGTCAAAACATCTAATTTGATATAAGAGTACAAGCTTTATAAAATATTCATATGTTTTCATGTAAGTAGCTAAAAATAGTAGAAAGCCAATGTATTCCGGGGTAAATTATGAGGTCATTAGCAGGTATTGGTAGTCAAAACAAGATGATTGTTTTTAACATATTTGTCAGGACTTAATTAAATATCGGCTTGTTATTTCTACTATTTTATTATTACATGACGTGAATTAGAATCAGCTAAGAGAAGTGGATATTCTAATTAAGAAGACATGGCTGCATGTGATTGGTTAAAACTTTTACACTATCATATGATACTTTTCATGTACATACATGATGTACCTTATGTAAATTGAACAACGCCCATGCATAATTTAACATGAAACTTGACTATATGGGTCTAATGATATCATACAAAAATAGAAAAAAAGTTATAAAAAGTGTAAAATTAAGTGTACCTGTAAATTATCCAGGAAAGTTATGTGAACAGACCACAGGGATGTGACCAAAAATGTGTTAAAGTTGGTATAAAAACCAGTCATTAACAAACAATACTATGTTACCATATGAATAAAAATTAAGCCAGTTGAAAATAATGAAGACAGCTATGGCTTCATACCTTTAGATGTCACTTTATACTCAGACAGAAAAGGCATTTTGTCATACATTTGGTTTTTACTGCTCTGAAATCATGAAATGAATTAAATTTAAGTTGTTTTAACATTCCTTTTTGGACAACCATTCTTCTCTTTCACTTAATAAACATTCAAATTCATCTTGAGTTTCCATGAACTTGATGTCTTACTTTGTGAAAGAGGAAAAAAAAGATAAGCACCTATTTTACTTATTAAAACATCTTATTGAATATGAACCCTTTGCTCTATCTCCTGTTAGTTTGTCTTTTTATAGATATTTTGTTTGCTTTATTCATAGATATTCCATTGTTATCATATTGTCAATAAGATCGTGAATGGGTTCATTCACATCAATATACAATCCAAAATAGATTTAATATGATCAAATTATAGCAATAACGGTGATACCTAAATACGCTCCTTGATTTAACTATAGAAATAAGGATAGAATATTTGTCAATTTTAATCGTAAATATTTGATTTATTGCTTTGAACTTGATCACATTGTATTCGCAACTATTTGAAAAACGTTTCCTTTTCATCTACGATTTACTTTTTCAAAGTGATCATTTCAATATAACGCATGATGATTTTTCAATTCTGTTCAAAATGTAAAGGCATCACCATTTATTTTAATAATTTAGAGTATGATTCGAAAGGAACGCTTTACTTCAATAGAATCTGTGTAAAATCAATTTATCTATTGAAAGATAAAGATGTTAAGGGATCAAATTTTGGTGTCTGCTTGAATGAAAGATTTGAAATATTGCCAGATTTAGGATCAGAATATATGACAGCTGAGAATAATTGTATAACATTAGCACTCCTCATGTTTCACCTTTACCCTGCTAAATTAATATAAGGGTCTGCTAAATTTGTATAGTAGACTCTCCCTTCTTGGAGTTTGGATCCATTCCTTCTGTAGGGCTTTTAATAAACTTGAACAGGTATCAATCTAAGGCTTAATCAGACTGCATGGATGTGCAAGTAGGTCAGCAGACACTCACTGTGTTATGAAATATTTTGTGCAAGCAATTTACATGTATTTGTTGTTTTGGATGAAAATGCAGCCCCAATATCTTATCCTAAAAGGTGCCACAGTAAATCTTAAATTTTAGATGTCTGGGTTGAAAGATCATATTGCAACAATTTTAAAATTGCTGAACCTACCTAAAGGGACTAGGAAGTTTGAAACATGTATTCTGATGATATTATTAGTTTTAAGTGTCTGTTATCATCAAATATAAATGTATTGAATGTCATCAGACTGCAAGGAAATATGGCTTGGTATGACTAATCTATATACCGGTACTAGTAGCATAGACTTATCTTTGTTATAAGCTTATCTTTATTATTGAAACATGTGCTCAAAGGGTTAATTAACTGTAAAGAACCAAAACAGTACATGGCTGTCTCTTTATAGATCTATGACTTCAGTCTTCAAATGTTACTGTTTATTGGTAAAACACTTAAAAACATTTGCACAATGCTGTATTGTAATTACCAACAATTGAACTTATGACCCACAAATCTACAAAACACATACAATAATATTATAATTACTTTTTAATTACAGGCCATTATGATTCTGATCAGGTTTACAGGCTGCATTTTATTACACATTAACTTTTTATAAGTGCGTTTTAATGATAACACTATTGAATAGGCATTGTAAAGGTACAGAATTTCCGTTAAAATAGGAATTAAAGTTTTTGTTTACATATCTGATCCCCCCATTATCGCCACTGAAATGCAGTTTGACAGAAATTTGATAATTGCGATGTCAAGAGCTTGTAAAAGAATTATGACATCTTCGGTTAAATAATACCACTGTTCGAGTTTTATTCATACTGTATTTAGAAATGCATGATTTGAAAAGATTGTTGTATATGTCTAAGTGCAGAAAATCATCCGAATAAACATTGATCCAGTGTATTAAAGTAAATAATAATACAAGTGCAGGGTGTTTTTATGATGTGCACTTTTGCAGTGTTTTGTAATCCATGCATTAGGAGGTATTTGTCAGTTTGATTAAATGATTTTATCAGTTATTTTGTTAGTTATCTCAAATATTGACATTATAAACTAACCTGCCTTGTTGATCAATCACACTTCAATGAATACAATAACATGATTGCTGCAATTTACTGTCTGTTTAACCAGCAAGATTATTGAGAAATTTTTTTTACACTTTTGAAAAATATTAAAACCATACATTTATCTATCTTCAAGCTTAAGGCAGATCTATCATTGATGAAGGTTTTTTTTGATAAATTTTTACTTTTCATATTTTTTTACCTTCATTTGTATTGTTATTCTCAGTTATGATGTTTAATTTCATTGACTAAAGATAGGCCAAGGTTTGTAAATAGCTATACTTTCAAAAAATAATTAATTTATCAGGAACCAAAGTAATATCTATAATTGAAAATAGATTGTTGTTTAGATAGGAATTTTAATAAGATAGCCGACTTTTGAAATTATTGGATGAAATCTTGATCTTGCTTAAAATACTTTTCATCCATTTCTAATCATAGGTCATAAGTTCTTGAATGCTAATTGATTTATATAAAGAGTAGGCTGGAATCCTTAAAATTATGCTAGTTGTGTTATTATTGAAATAGCTCTTATTCTAACATCAAATGATTTGTTGTTAGATATTGCACTTAAGATATGATATTAGTTGATATTTTGCAACTTTTCCATTCTTCAATAGAAATGAATAATGTAGGAAAATATACAGTCTGTACAATGATAGTTATGAGGAAGATGTGTGCTTCAACTATTGGTCCTTAAATAGTAAAAGTACTCATCAATCAAGTTGACATTTAGGGTTCATCTTTATACTGTTATTATTCAGGAATAGTTGGTGAAACCATAATATTGAAGATTTGTCATGTCAAAGGAATTCATTTAACTTTATATTACTGTTTTTCAGGGTGATATGTTTGGAAAGTCGACCAACAGACCAGCCAGAAGCAGCTTCAAACCTCTATGTATTAGCTGGTCATGAAAATACTTACTGACCCTGACACCGAGTGAACCTTGTCGGACTACTTTGAATAAAACTAAGAGACTCCTTGTAAACAAAATATAACGGTGTAAACTTAAAGGAGCAGAATGTTAATAACCAACTTACCAACATTTCAGAATGTAATCTTTATGACTCATTTAATATTTCTGGATGAGTGATGACATCATTTCCTGAGTGACATCACTTCCTGTGTGATGTCATTTCAACAATGCGTATGACATCATCAAACAGTATTACATCACTTCCTGTTGCATTGGAGAATGATTTGTGCAATATTTTGTGTGCGCTTTGTGATGTGAAATACATAAATTTAAACTAAAGAAGATAAAAATGAAAGTATTTCATGCTTTTGGTACAGTATTTTCAACCATCATGGATAAAATATAACAGATGGTAACATAATGTGCCCAAACTGTGTTGATTCATTCATTTTATTGAAAATGCGAAAGAAAGAAAAAAGAAGTGGTTTTGTCAAACAAGTGTAAAGGATTATAATAAATGGTTCACTAAAAGATTTAACAGACCTTATTCATACTTGGCATTCTTATTCTATGAAGTAGATTTTATGCTATAAAGGTAGTGCCTATTCTAGGACATATGATTGTTGGATTTGTAGATGATTTTAGTTTTGGGTTTTAAAGCTGCAAGCTGCAAAAAGTGTTCATTATAAAAGAAATCAAATGTGTTATACATAAACTGTGAAGATGCATTTTTTTTACACAAAACTGCTATTGAGTACATGATGTTCTGTTCACACATCAATGGCCATCATCCACAGGAACCAAAAAACAATTGTTGTCTAAACTAATAGTCTATCCATATACCAATATTTCTACTTTATTCATTTTGCTCAATAGTTTTCAGACATGTTGATTGAGGTGAATGATTGGTTAGCAGTAAATGTGACATAATGAATGCTGTCATATTGCACATTTTGTAGCTGTTATTGTTTAAAGGGTCTGTAACTTGAGCAGAATTAAATCAACAACTTTCAGTAAATTATATTTCTGCTTTGTGCTTATAGCCACAAGTCTACTGTACTTATTGAAAGATTTATGTGGTTAGTGGTCATCAAGGAAATTTCAGTAGATGAAATTGTGAACTAGTAAGTGGTGACAAAATGACTAATTGTTTGGTTGACAGATTGTAGTGGCCAGATTATTTTGAATTATTAGACTGTTACAAATGAAAAGTTTAGTCAAATTATATGCGGAAAACTTGCTACGGTTCAGTGTAATATACAATATTTATATATATAGGTGTAATAACATTATTGATATATATATAAATGATAGTTTTATTGTGAGCGGTATTGTAGCTTTATAACAATGTCTGCGATGTAACATAGTTCTACTCTGTGATATTTCTAGCCTTATATACACTAAAGATAGGATAGTATTGGTGCTGGTTTTAATTTCATATATGTTATATTACAAAACCACCTTATTTTTACTCTTCTGCCAAAGTAAAAATTTATGTAGTTAAAAAATAGTTTTAAAATTTGAGTAGCTTAAACAATAATTTTTACAGAGTTTTTTTTACAAGTATTGTGTGTTATATTAAAGGGATAACATGTGTTTTATTTATAAGTATTATAAAGCAATTGGTTAAGGATATTCTTATTTGAACAAATTAATATATAATGTTACATTGAAATAGAACCATCATAAATGTTATCCTGTCTTTGGTATTGCCAATGTTTGATGTTTTACAGAATTTTTTGTTCTTTTAACTTAAAATTGTAGCGATAGGAGGAAAAAAGTTGCTAAAGACTTAACCAATATATTTCTTTATAGTGATCTAAATATATCCATGATTGATGTTTTATCTAAGAATTTTAGTGTCAGGATGATTTTCCTTCTTTTCTGAGAAGTGAAATCATAACTGTATAACTGAGTATCTTGTTAAAAACTTAGTGCTAAACTTCCACAAAGTGTAATTATTTTATTTTGAAGACATCTATTGATACTTTTGTTATATTTTAAATAAATTTTTATCTTATTTAAACATGAAGTTCGAAGATATATTTCATTATTTGTGAAATCATAAATTTTACAAAAGAAGGTGTTCTAGTGACAGGTTTATTGTTTTTGAAATATTAATATACATGTAATACAAAGATCTAACTAATCAAAATTTAATGTTAAATGTGTCCATCCTACTGTCTTCATAAAAGTTTAGTGATGTTGATATTCAGTAACAAAATGAGACTTGTCATATTAGAAATATGTTTTCCGCTTTTTAGGTTTTTGAACATTTATAAAGGTTTTCTAGCAGTCTAGAGCCAGTCAATTGTTTGCCAGTCAAATTAAGTATTTTTAAGTAAAAGAAAAGCAGGAGCTACCTAGTTCTTGTAAGGACAAATCATTTAGCCAAACTAAGTTTCAAAAGAGTTATGGAAATGTGTTGGCGTCATTAAAGACCTGTTAATTTAGACAGTTAAATTAAATTTACTTTAAAGAGGTTTGCTCAAGATTTTCTCAGAATGCAAAATTAGCATTTTTTTGTGCATGATACTTTGAGCAGTGATGTTTGTGAAATTAAACAAGTTTTTTGCATTTTTTGGAGCATGAAGTATGTGAGGAATTTATCTTTTTTTATGAATATGTAGAAATTATAAATATATGTACATTTACCAAGAAAATATTAATTGGGTGAAAACTCTTTTTTATCTTGGTGGAATCTCTTTGTAGATACGCTGATATTTCAATACGCTGTTCAAAATTTGTAAGATATTTTGATATTTTACCTGCAATTTTATATCTTAGTATTTTGTAAATGTAGATGTGATTATATAATGTGTCTTGTCTGGATTAGTTAAATATTTGAATAATTTTAATTGTAGATTTTATAAATTGACTGTTTGGTTTATCAAAACAAAACCCTTCATGTTGTTATAAGTATATTTAAATATCTGTACAAATCATCAATGAAATGATACAGAAATTGTATATAGTCAGTTCTAATGTTTTCATTGAAATGTTCATTATTTTGTTTGTAGCTGTAAAACCAAGATTTTATACTTTATAGTTATCATGTATCTCTTGTGTTGTTATTGCTTTTATTTCTAGAAAATGTTTTATTCAAAGAGTTTCTTTTGCTTGCAGTAAATGCGCTACTTTCTCTTTATTTACTTTGTTTGTAGAAGAGAACAGTAATGGCCAAGTAATTGCCAAATAATGTAAAGTAAAGAAAAAACAAAGAAAATTGTCACAATAAATGAGATGTATTTAGATATATTTTCAAATATACTTTTATTTCCTTGTCTAGGCAGGCAATGCATGTCAGAGCATTCCTGTAGCACATTAATCAGTGTGGACACACTGTGTGATATATGACAGCATTTTGAATATAGGGTTAACATACCTCTAGCAGTATTTAATGCCCTAATTCTTCATCACTTTAAAATGGATATAGGGTAATGCTAAATGGAATACAGTTCTTAACTCATAGGTCCAAATGATAAATTAATCACATATAAGATACTTAGCCTTGATATGATTCATGAAAATAGTAAGAGTTTGTGTACTATGCTTTTTATTTTAACAATTAAATTTTTATATTTTTTGCAAATGTCCGCCCCAAGAAGTGAGGCATAAAATGAAGCTTGCTAGCTGAACTGTAAAAATGTTGTCATAGGCCTCTTGGTATGACCTCACTGATTATTCATGTTAGTATGATAAAACTCTGCATAAATCTGGTGTGGGTTTGCATGGTATCATATGGTACATTTTCCTCACCATCTCATTGCTGAAGTATCAAACGTTTATTTCTGTCACTGCGAAATTTCTTTATTCTTCACATAGTCAAAGTTTTGTCTACTAAATGTTTGACTATTCTTTTCAAATTATTTGAATGGATTATACATCTTTATCTTATTTTGTGATTATATATCAGTTATAAGAAAATTAGAAGATGGTTTTCTACAAAATATGAGATAGGTCCGTTTCAAATGAAAAATAAACAAACTGCATAATGCTTTCCTCAAATTGTCTCAGACCTAAACTGTCTATCTAAGTAACTTCAACTTAATAAAGAAATGCTTTAATCATTTTCATAACAGGTGCTTGTTTCTTTGATATTAACTACATAGATAAAGTGAAAGGACTAAAATTTTGTAGCACAGTGGAGTTCAATCATTGAAGTTACAAATAAATATTGACATAATGATTCTTTCTTCTTTGTTTTTCTTTTGTCTATCTGCTTCAAAAGATGACATTTAAAAAAATCACTATGGCATTACTAAGAGTTTTGTGTTCTGACAGGATCATTTGGTTTTTTTCATTGTTGTTTGTTTTTTGTTTTTTTATCATAAAAACAATGTTTGGATAAACTTGAATTTACAATTGATTTTGCAAAAAAACATCTACTGTTTCATCTTAATTAGCTATAGAATTCATGATATTTTCATTATTTTCAGAATTGCAAATTATTTTGGATTGAAGAAAAAGTACAATACTTTTAATTACTTGTGTTTTAATTATACATATATAGGAAAAATTGTGGTTTAACACATATCAAATCAGTTGTAGGATGTCTTATATACAGAGCATGTGATGTTTTTCTGATAGTTCATTACTTATAACCTGAACACATAGTGCTCAAAGGTGAGCTGTTGTGATTGCAGTGTTTTCATTTTGTAACAACATCTTCTTTTAAACTGCATGGTGGATTTTGACCAAACTTCATAGAAATGATCCTTTGATGTTCTTCTAAATGGCTCCTATATGATAAAAAGCTGTATAATTAATTCCCCTGGGGCTAAAATTGGACATAAGTGTAGTTTATAAACATGAACATGTAGATTTCTAGGACAACATATATAAATTTTCTTAAAAACTAAAATACACAGAGTTTAGACATTCACTATCAGACCTCAAATATTTTTAGATCATAAAGTTGGGGTAAAAAATACACACCTTATTTGACAATGAAAAGAATAGTGTCTTTTTCTAGCAATAGATATCAGGTGAGCAATCTATGGCCACCATGGCTCTCTTATTATTTGTCTTTATAAGTATTTGGAAAGTTTTCAAAAAAGAAATATTATTCATGTTGGTTTTAGCACCAGCATCTGCTTAGTCCATTATATTTTGAAATAGACCAATCACATCATTGCTATGTTAGATTTAGTATTTCAACTTGATTTTACAATTTGTATAACCTGCTTTATTACTATATAAGGTGACTTGTTGGCCATAGCATGCAGTTGATACTGATGTTGAAAGATGAGTATGATAAGTTAGACTTTTTTTAAACAAATATGAGTCGGGACTGTCGGGCCATGACAAAACCAACGTAATGCGTTTGCGACCAGCATGGATCCAGACCAGGCTGCGCATCAGTGCAGTCTAATCAGGATCCATGCTGTTCACTATCAGTTTCTCTACTTGTTATAGAGTTTGTAAGCGAACAGCATAGATCCTGATCGCTGGTCGAAAACGCATTACATTGGTTATATCATGGGGCGACTCAATTATAAATTTTGAGTGTTAAATGTTACTGTTATATTGTGAGCTATTTTGATTGAAACAATCTTTTCGCCAATCTATATGAACATTGTGTTTTATGTGTTAAAATTACACATGCTGAACCTCTATTTATGTAACTTGAAAAAAATAAAAACACATTCCCAAAAATACAGTTTTCGTTTTGTTCTTTATGCATGTTTATTAAAATTTATGTAATGGCATGTATTACTCTTTGGAGGTTTTATTTTATGTGACCAGAACCTTTGATTAAAATCTCTAAGTGAAGGTTCAGTCACAAGGCTGATAAAGAATTCATTGATAATAAAGGTACAGTCTTGATCCTGTTAGAAAAAGTACCTATTTTGTTTATCAGCAGATACGTTGACATACGATATATGGAGTCAGCCACTCAGAAATTGTGAATTTAAGACCTCTCTTGACTGGGAACATTTTTCCTCATATAACACGAAAACAACCATGTTGGTGGTTAAATCATTTCTAGATGTATACAATAATTTATTGTTATTTAGTATGAAATAAGTACAAAAAGCACAGTCATTTTCGGTCAACTATTTTATTTGTATAAATAGGTGAGTTAACATTACTTACTATAGCATCGGTGACTGCATCACACATTTGATATGGTTTTTGTACCACCCCACTTTTTACTTATATGCTTTGGATAGTTTTTTTTATAACAATCCTTCCCATTCTAGACAAGAGTACATAACTCTGTCATGTATTTGACAAAATTATGCCCCTTTTCAATACTTCTACTTCTAGTGTCCATGCATTATCCCCACTTCCAGACAAGAGCATATAATTCTTTTTTTGCATATCAGACAGGATTATCTACTGTTTTAACTGGTGCTTGACAAAACATCTTACACCCCAGTCTGTGTAAGACTACTGTACTATAAGAAAAAAGTACTAAATGAAAATATTTGTTTGTTTGTTTTTTCCTTTCCAAAATCTGATTAACATGTAATGTGCAAGAAAAGGTAGGCTATATATCAAACACCAGCTGTCATCAAAGTGGATTTTATCTTGCTCTTAGGTAAAATTACATGTTTGAGGAAAAACTCTGCAGATAGCTAGATATTTTGCTTTTGGTGCAAAATCCTACATTATAAGGTGCATGGATGAATAAGATGTGATATCTTATTCATCCATGCACCTTATAATGTAGTCAAGATCATTGTCTCTCAGACAGCTCTTTTTATAATTATCAGTTTATGTTATGAGATTAAGAACATTTAAAAAGTGTATACATTTACACTGCAGTACTGTATGTACACAGTATAGGCAGTATGTATGTATATTTAGAATATGAAGCACCATAACAAGATGATTAATAAATACTTGTAATTCAGAAAGTTAATTATGTATGAGATACCCTCTTTAAAATGTCATTTAAAGATTTACAAAGGATCAATAATTAATGGAGCTGTTAAAAAAAACCAAATATTGGGCTATATTAAATTTATGGTCTAGGACATTACTGCAGTATTAAATTTATAAATCTAAATACACTAGATTCTATGCCAGAAAACTTACACAGGGTTATTTTATTTATTTTGTAACACTTTCCCTTTTTATAAACGAATCTTGAACAGTACACTCCTAAATGATAACACTATTTGCCCGATCAAGACTTGATCAAAGGTCTTTGTCAGTTTTATTGATATTTGACTGATAGCTTGATCACGTGGTTAGTGTTGCTATAGAGATAACCCTTCTACCAAAACAAATGCCGAAGCACAACCACATAGTCAAAATGCCTTCTCCCGATTGAAAAATTAGTTCCAATATATGATGACAAAATATCGGAAAAGGTAAAAAAGGATTGTATGTTAATGGAATATTTTTCAATGTTATATTTTAAATGAGTACTCAAATGTAGTGATTATTTATAAAAAGATTAAAAAAGATAAATTGATTTAAACGCTCATGAATACGCGCACTTCTTACATATACAATCATTATGGCGACTGGCAGATTTAGACAATGGCGACGAAAAAAATCAAGGATTTTCATGTGGTGAAGTGATGTCCTGTTACGGATTGTATATTTAGTTACAGGAAAATACCTAGTTATCATTCTATCTTCTTGCCAGTGTACCATTTGATATAATACAGACCTTTAATTGCTTTAATCGTGGTTGAATTTTACGTAAACAAGCAAACAGGTGCCCGTTGGAATTTTGATTTCTGACATTTGTGTTGTGAAATCTGACTTCTTTGAAAATTTTCGTTATTTTTTAAGTAAAATGGGCTTTAATGCCTTAAATATGATAACAAGGAAACGGACTAGATAGGATTCTCTGTTTGAGAACCCGAAAATCATTATACCCAAGGTCAGATAAAGAATTTCGACCTTGTTTTGACAGTTCAGTGATTGAGTTTTCATCTAGTCATAGAGAACAGGCTGCTTAGTACTTCATTATATCGTTGTTAACATATTAACTCTTAAAATGGAGAAATATGAAAAGATCTGTCGCATTGGTGAAGGGTCATATGGTGTCGTGTTCAAATGCAAAAACAGAGAAACAGGCCAGCATGTAGCTATTAAAAAATTTGTGGAATCTGAAGAGGATCCTTTAATTAAAAAGATTGCTATGAGGGAAATAAGAATGTTAAAGGTGAGTTGTAAGGTTATTAATATGTTTATAAAGTGGTAGATTAATATACAGTACACTTGTCATAAATTTCCTTAAAATTCAGAGGTGGAATTAAAATATCAGATACTAAATATGGAGGTTGAGGGTTCAAGACCCGAGTATTGGATACATAATGGCCTGTTAGAGTTGAAGCAGTGGTGAGATTTATGGTTATATGGAAACCAAGGAGTCATCCCGTGCATCTCTAGATCCTGTTCAAGAAAAGAAATCTATACAAAACAAAATATATTGCAAATATCAATCATATAGTGATTATTATTATTGGTTTCAATCAATAACCTGCGTTCAAAAACATACATGTATGTAGGTAGAATTTATTATTTATATTGATATAATCTATAATTTCAATAATACAGCTATTACTTAAATCCTTCTTTGTCAGGGAAAATTAAGATTTTTCAAATTTAGTACTGACATTGATCAGTGAAATACAAAGAAATAGCATTGATACTAAATTTGAAAGTCTTTAAGGGTTGAAAGTTGTATTATTTTAGTTAATTTTAGTAAATAAAAAAAAAAGACTTAAAGTTGCTTTCTATACTTTCTATATAAAACTATGAAGGTGACCTAGGGAAGTCAGATAATTGGCAAAATGTTTTTTTGGCCCAATGTTTTGAGGCTTTAGAAGCACTTCAAAAAAAAAGTATTCCTCACTGACAAAATGTCAATTTTTTTTTCCAAATAAAAGATTGAAGAGTTCATATTATTCCTGTTAAGAAAATGTTTTGGATTCTAACCCCATTCTCATTTTGATGAAAAAGAACATGTCTAACAACTGTTAAACTAAAGTGTTTGTATGATACTGCTTGTGGGCATAACATTTTTTTGTTAAATTTGTCCTACATTTTGATGCATTGTTCATTCATTTGTACACTGTGTGGGTAATAAAATGTTACAAGTTCACAAAAATTGCAACAGTAAATTGACGTCTTTATCGAAATTACTTCTTATTCTAAACTATGGAGGTAGAATTTTGAAAAGCATAATGATCTTAATATCAGTTCCATTGTATTGTGAAAAAAGTACGGTAAGATCAATTGATTTTTCTTGACTTTGTTTGTTTTGAAATCCTTTGGCCTACATTTTGTAATTCTTTTCATTTATTGTTATGCATTTTCATTTTTTTTAAAAAGAAAACGATAAAGCTTACTTTAATCATGATAATTGACAAATTGTATTTGAAAGTAACATTGAAAATATTTTTGATATTTAAGCAGTGCTGAAATAATCAATTCCTCTATGATAGCCTATCATTTCAATCAACATAAAGTCAAAATGCATGGTAGAATTCTTTACTTATAGAACTAAAGATTGTAACTTGATTCTTTTACTAAAGGGCAATGAATATGATTATCAGGCAATGTGTCAAAAAGAATACTTTTATCTGATATCAGATAGGCTTGAGTTACTGGCAAATTATGACAAATGCTTTCTCTTTGAAGAAAGTTTCACAAAATTTAAAAGTATTGCTTACAATAAATATCTGGCACTCTTGTTAATTTTCATGTATACATAGATCTACCTTCAGTGTATAGTTTGGTTTGACTGTATTTCAAATCATATTATATTTAACTCTGAAATTGCTTTTACATGCAGAGAACTATGTATTTATTATACACATAACGATAATTCAAAATATTGCATTCATGATATAGTTAATCTATATCATACTATAAAGAACTAATCTATGTATTCATAGTGATACACATTACAATAAATCAAAACATATTCATGATATATTTAATCTGTGACCATGTATTGCCAATTTTGCCTTTTAATTGTCACTAGTTTTGTATGAGTTCTTATTTCTTACATGTAACATCCATAACATTTTCTTCTTATATTGCAGCAATTGAAACATCCAAATTTGGTAAATTTGATAGAAGTGTTTCGTCGGAAGAAAAGGTTACATTTGGTGTTTGAATATGTAGATCATACAGTGCTAAATGAACTAGACAGACATCCTAGAGGGTAACTTTTTATGTTCCTATTTTATATTGTGCTTCCACAAATATTATAATATTTGGAGTGTCAAGTATTGAATGTTCATTTCTATAAATAAATTATAAAACGTAAGTCTCTTGCCAGTGTACATGCCTTTATGCATCCTTTCCTAAGACAAATGAAAGACATGAAAAACATAACTATATGACTGTTGTTCATTGTGATAATGAAAGATAGAGGTTTTTCAATTATTCCATATAGCTGAACTGTATAAAATATCATATTAAACATTGTTTGTTTCAAAGTTAAAACGTTTAAATCAGTTACGTGAAATATTCTTATATTACAAAATAAAAGTAAATAGACATAGTTGCATTATGATTAAAAAGGTGATTTTTTGCACGGATTGCCCAGGTATTTTTAACAATTTAAAAAAAGCTACCTTTACTTTTGTTAGTATTTCACAGTAACAAAATGTATGTATCTTTCATTTCAGTATGTAAAGATTAGATTTTTTTGGCTTTGTTTAACTTTCAATTTAGTTATCATGCATTTTCTTCTATCGTTTTCAGTGTTCCAGAACCAATGGTTAAAAGAATAATATACCAAGTGTTGTTGTCAGTAAATTTCTGTCATCAGCATCATGTAAGTATAAAGCATTGTGGGTGATATATCCATCAAATAAAATAAGTAATGCTTGCTATGATTTAGATTAGAAAAAACTCATGGCAAACAGAGGTATTGGCTCCTATTGCAAGGTCTTTGCTAACTTTTTTTCATCCATAATCTACACATGTAGTTCTTATGAAATGAAATTGAACTGAAGTAGAACTGTTTCATAGCTAGGATTGAATATTCTGGTTCTATTTCAGGGATAAGTAGAAATTTATTACTCTTTTTAAGTTTTTTTGTTAATCAAGCATGCAACATTTTAATGACTTGAAGATATATTATTAAAATTTACAACATTTTAATAGAGGATAGAATCAAATAAACCTAGTCTAGCAGAAAGACTGATCATGACATTAGGAATATTTGTTATATTTTTCAATTTTGCCAATAAAATAAGTTTTTGGCATGAATTATTCAATCATTAAAGTAAAAATAAAGTTATTGGGATGAGAAATTAAATTTCAAAATGAAAGCCTTAACTTAGATATTGAAACCAAAGTTTTATTTAATTCAATAGCTGCATTGAATTGAGGAAGTCTGGTGAACTAGGTTAAATATGGAAATTGCAATCACTTCACTTTTAAATCCAATGAGTTGCGTCTTTTTTTCTTTTTATCTTTCATAGGATGATTTACTTAAGCATGTTTTCTAATGTGTCAAACTGATCAGCTTTAGATAAGGAAGATCGAAAATATTTGACTGATTTTAAGACATTATATAGCTACTTAAATAGGCAGTTTGTACTGGATTTTTGTTTTATCATGAAAAATATTACTAGTCAATGGAACAATGTTATTTTATATATTGTTAATTGTTGTTATTAATTTCATTACTGAATATGAAAATTATAATTAAATAATGTAATTGTAATATTATGTACTAGGTAAATAGCTCAAGGTACATAGCTTTTTTCAGAATTTAATTTTAAGGCTGTTTTGTTGTCTTCACACTAAAGTGATAGAAAACTTCTTTAACCCCTAACTTGCTAAATTTCTTAAAAGGAAATTTTCATTTTTTGGAACTGACGATTATCAGTTTTGGGCATATCAAGTTATATCTGATATCAGCCAACAGTATAGTGCCTAGACAGATTGCATGAATATGCTGACTGGTCTTGCTCCTTTCTTGTGGCTTAGGCTAATAAATCATTTTAAGTTGCAGCAGTAAGGTAAGTGTTAAAACTAAGTAAATCATTTATGTAACCATTGTTATGAACCAAAATAAGATCAGCTTCAAAAATGGGGTTCACTGAAATACAAAAAAAAATCATGCTGGTTGGTTGGCATATTCAAAGCTTGTTGGTACGATTAAAAGGGCGGGAATGTCTTGCATTGTTATTATCTAGAATTCTTTAACTGTATTCAAATATACATACATTTGACTGAAATGCTGATTATATTATGTTGTCATTTTGCGTGATGAATTTAAAAACTGAATTATTGTTTTGTACTTCAGTGTATACACAGGGATGTTAAACCTGAGAATATACTTATAACACGCCAGGGACAAGTAAAACTGTGCGATTTTGGATTTGCCAGAATATTAAGTAAGTCATTTTATACAATTAATACAAAATTTTAAATAAGAATAAAACAAGAGAAAAAGTGACTTTCTGGAAAGAAAAAATTCAGTATTGTAAAATAGTAACCTAGAATTGGAAAATGAAGCAGACCATGACATACAGAAGAAGATGTTTGGTGCTGAAGTTAGCTTTCTAAGATGATGAAGAATATTGATACAGACAAGATTTCAAGATGATTAATTGGTGTCCTTTTCTGAATTTCAATAATATTGGCATTATTTACCATGATTACCATTGCTCAGAGTTTGCCATTGCTTGGGGTTTTCCTCATAATCAGGAAATTTGCCATATCTCCACAAATTTGCCATGGCTTTGGACGTTTTCAGATTTTGTCATGACTTCTGAAGTTTGCCTTAGTCTCAGAAATGGCTGAGAGTTTGCAAGTGCTTAGAGATTGACATAGCTCAAGTTGGCATTGGCCTAATATAAAAGTTTAGCAAAGGTTTTTTTACTCAATAATATATTTTACAATACAATTATGGTAGAAAATTATGCTTTGTCAGGTACGTGTATAGTGTTTACATTGGTTGATATTGAGGGTTGAATGATTTGTCCCGTTTATAAATATTTGCTATAGGAGAAAACAAACATACTTATATTTTCAGTAGGAGCATAAAGTAAAATGAAGTAGCTTTACTTACACAACTGTTTTATTATTCTATCAGAGTTAAAACTATTTACATAGCTGTCAAATGAAAAGTTCAGGTAGATATAAAACTATAAAATTTAAACTGAACTCTGAAAATATATTGGTTGATTTACCTGTATTAAGAGGTAATAAAATATTGTGTTTTAAATCAGAAATGACATAGAAGTGTCGTTTGAAGTATGTGTAAATTTCAGTACATGTTTTTCCTCTCTTAAAATGCCTTGTTTTGTAAGCTCCCAACTTAAAAAAACTAAACATGATTTAAAATTTGAGTAGGGTTTTGGCAATAAAACTTTGTACATCTTGGAAAATTTTCATAAATTCTCATTTTTTAAATACGATGTAAAATTACTTAATTTACATATCTTGTCAAAATGGCTGTTTAATAATATTTAAGAATATATGTTTCTGACTTTATCAAAATAGAACTATGATATTGATTCATTTGAAACTTTGCATTGTAAGCAATACCCAAGAGTACTAATTTTTTTTTTTAAATAAGTTAACTAAAAGTTATTGCTTAAAGTTGTCAAACAAATATGAAGAACTTAACCATTGTGTAGATCTTTGATTATAAAATAACTTTCTTGTAACTTTTTTTTCATCGTCTTTTAAAATCAATTCCCTATTAATTAGAAACTTCATTTAAAGTACATTTTGAATTAGCATTTGTCAGTGTGAACATTTTGCATATATACTCGTATGTTATTCTTACAAATATTGATTGAGTTTGTTCATCATTATTTATGTTGCTGTCATTCAGAATTGTCATATGTTTTGTTAATTTAAATGTTGACAGATGTAGATTGATAACTCAGTAGAACTTTACAAATAATTACATTAAGAAAATTGTACATTAAGTTGGCTTGATTGAGAGTATGATAATAAAACTTTTTTCTTGATATGGGTAAATTAAGGTAAATATTTTTTCTTAATGGTATGTTACTAAATTACAGGAAGAGAATTTATCTGTCATTTTGATTGGTCCATTATCAATCAATTATTTACATATTATGTGATGACGTACAAATCATTTTAAAACTGCGTCAATGTTTGATGGACTCAAAAATCACATTATTTATTTATACAGACATGTAGGCCAAATTACACAATATATTAGTACCAACAGGTGTCACTCTCAGAATAGACATGGTTGGAAAAATGAGAATTAATTATGTTCTATGCAGTAATGTTAGCAAATTAACCCAGAGCCTGCTGGCGGCAACGTGACTAGTAGCAGACTACGATCTGCCAGTACATTACTATTCTGTATATATTTTGAATATAATCCCCTAAAAATGATAAATGGTTTTGTCCAGATTTATAGATCAAAGATGGACAAGTCCATTTGAGATATTTAAAGGGTTAATTGTTAAGTAACACATATGTTTGAGGAGTGCTGGGATTAATTTGTTGCACATATTTTTTTTTTAACATTAAGATAAAAGATATTTTTGTAAACATATAATGTTGTTGACCTTAATGTTACATAAAGTAATGGAAAGCATAAAGTATTTGATCAGTGACATATTTTACAGCTAGAAATGTATTCAGCAATTCTGTTTAAACCCATATCAAACAAAAACAAACAGTTCTGTTCCTTTGTTTTATGACATTAAGATCTCTCACACTGTTAAAACAATCTTTATCAAAGGTAACACAGTGTAGGTGTTATCCAGTTTGTATATTTTGGCACAGCTACAAATATTTACCAAATGCAGCTTGTATATTCTAGCCTTTGTAATCCAATGTTAAGTCATTTTACTGTGAGAACAATAATGGTCTTTGTTGAGTAATTCGCAATGATTTGTATTGTTCCATTTATTTCAACAACAGGTGTGTCGGAAGTTCATTTTACATTACGTACATGCCCGAGTAAATTGTTGAAATAGTTAAATATTCTAGATTTACCCGATTTAGAGATACATGTATTACGATAGGTATGAGGTCATAGACTGTGGCATATATGTTATTGCTTATTTATATACCTGTATTATTGAATCATTTCTTTAATATTTACCTTGTAAATAAATTATGAAGAGGAAGAAAATACCAAGATGGAAATAACTTCAGCGTGGGATTGTTATTTTGTAAATGATTAAAGGTCTCAGAAATGTTCCTGATTCAAGTTACTGTGTTTGATTAAAGTTCTGTCAATCTATATTTCTTTAATTAATAGGTAATCAAGAAAATGGGGTTTGAATATAAGCAGTCTAATAGTAATAACAAAGTTCCTATAAGGTTTACATTTTAAAATTCTTATCATTTTTAGGGGGTGGGGACAAAAACACATTTGTGAACTTCAAGAATTCTAAGTTATCATTGAATTCCCATTTTGTTTTGTGTGAACCTTTTTTCAAAAAAAATATCTAAATATAGATTTTGAAAGCATAGTCACTATGGCACAATTTAAATGTTAAATAAAACCACTTTACAGGGTGCAGATATTTACTGCAGTTGCCAGGGTGTAATATTTATTCTCAATAGACTGTAAGGTGACAAATTACACATAAATCATAATTCAATATTCAGTCACAAAACAAATTATTCCGATTATTTGGTTATTGTGTCTGGTTCATTAGAGAAAGTAAAGTGCGGTGATTATAAATAACACACACACACAATTTGTGGGATAGAAACATGATAAATGTCAAATAGGTCTATTTGAGTGGAAATGTTTGAAGTATTAGTTTGGAATGCATAAACCAACAAATATGGAAAAAATAATTGAAATTTGAAAAAAAATTATTACTGACTTTTAAAATTGAACATGTCTGTGCATAATTCTACTCTAGTGGGACAATGCATTTGTTATGAAAGTCTTATGTTTCATTAGGTTTCAATTTGGCATACTGTTTCACCAAGTGATTTATATTTCTTCAACAAATCAAGCATGAATTTTAATGGCCACTCTCAAGTAGAATTATAACAAAAAATGGAGATCTGATATTTTGTGTAAATAATATTGAAGTGAAAACTAAGTGCAAATTGGCCATTAAAAAGATAAGATATAAAAGTGAAAGGCATGGTTTTAGTCAATTGGGGGAAAAATAAGTACCATTATGCAAAGATTTCTGTTTTTAGGCTTATCAAATATTAAAAAATCTAATTTAAAGCTAATTAAATAGATATTATTGTAAATTTTAAGTGTTTAAGTGCATTGAGAACTTTAATTGGGTAAATGACAAAAGATGTGTAAACATTTGAAGTAACCATTAATTGTGCAGGTGAAATTTAAGTTGTTTTCAAAAGTCAAACATTCCTGCAAAGTTGACATTACAGACAGGATGTGCCAAAGTTAGACCCTTACCATGCCAGATTTGATTGGATCAGTCTGTAACAAGTTCGGATCTCAGCCAAGTCTAGATATTTTCTGATAATTTGCATCTAAAACTGCTAGAATTTAGAATCATCAATATAAAATTTAAGTAGCCTACAAACTGTACAGAGGCACAAGCTGCCGGAACTTTACTGATAACTTAAGCAAGTGACGATGGGGCAACAGAAAACTAATGAATACTATCAAGCTATTTATTTCAATGTGTTAAATTGAGCATTTTATAAGGTTTAGTCAGATTCATCATATGTATTCAAAGCCATCATGTTGAATGATATTATTGATAAAATAACAGATCATTTATAAAAGGGTATTGATGATAGACAACTCTCCAAGCAAATGTTTTGTACATACATGTACTAAAATTAATGTGTCCATTGTACTGTTATACATTTAATAACTACCACTTAATATGTTTTAACAATTCTCAGCAGCAAAAAATTCTCTTAAATAGTTTTTATAGAGGCATAATTATTATGCTAATGATGATATGACAGAATATTTTAATAGTATTTAGCATTTCTATAGTCTTCCCATCTTTCCTAGTACAGTATTTAAAGAAGCTTACAGAAAAAAGATATATTAAGTCTTCTGACCCACTTATACACCCAAAATTTTTATTTGGAAATTTCTATAAAACATATTTTTTTCTTTCAGCTGGTCCAGGGGATGAGTATACAGACTATGTGGCAACCCGGTGGTACCGTGCCCCAGAGCTTCTTGTAGGAGATACGCAATATGGCCCGCCAGTGGACGTCTGGGCTGTAGGATGTGTGTTTGCTGAATTGCTAACAGGGCAAGCATTATGGCCTGGAAAATCAGACGTTGATCAGCTGTATTTAATTAAAAAGACTTTAGGTATTTGTTGCGTAAAAATAATATATTTTTCTTCTCAAATCTTTCTCCCTTTTTTACAAGTTATGGATTTATAATGGTTGTGATTAAGAGTGGATTATTATTTTATTCATATATACAAGGTAGGTGGTTGTATATTTATAATAGAAGTTAACTTGTCTCTGAATGTATAATAGCCATTTAATTTGAAGATTTATAAAGCTTAAGATGGAAAATTTAGTAAAAATATTATAATTCTGTTTACATTTTAAATGTATGAACATTAACTAGCTCTTAATCCAGTTCTTGTATGAATTATATTGACATATAGGTGTGTACAGGAAAAGATTTATAATCACTTGAACTGTAACTGGTTTTTACTGGTTACTAGGTTTTATTTTAAACATATTTTTTTGTACCAGAATGTTGTGTGTCCTTCCTTTATTTTACGACTGTGGAGTCAGGATATGTTATTCCTTTTAAAGTCAAAGACAAACAAATGTTAAAACGAAACTTAGGGACAATATTTATAACCTTAGTTTATTCAGGCTAAAGTTTTGCCATATATATCATAATTACCCATAAATGCTCTTTCTATTTCAAATATTAAGCATATTTCATTCTAGAGATATTAACAGTTAAAATCATGATTGCTTTAAGAAATCATGCAACATGCTTTCTGTAATGATTATGATACAATGCTGATAAGTGATCAGTTTGGGTTAAGGTCTTGTCAAATCAGATACTGATTTGAAAATTGAAAAATATAATACAAGACATACAGAGAAACGTCTTTGTGTTGATATGTTAATTTCTTAAGAGACTGGTACAAAACAGATACAGAAATTAATTTGTGCAAATATTTCAAGTCTTAGAAAATAAATAAGCTTGTGTAAACAGGTTTATGTTACTATCTTTGTTACAAAACAGGTGCAATAATTAATTTATATGAATATTTTTTTAATTTATTATATGCTTTTCAATACACAGGGAAAAATATTTTGATCATTTCACTGTTAAATTATAAATTATTAGAATGAAATGAACCTAAGCCAAATTTTATTATAACTAAAGGAACTCCACTGAGGTCCAAAAGCCTTAAAAAATATATAATGAGAATTTCTTACATAGATCATCTTGGGCACTAAAAACAGAAAGATATGCATTTAAGTCACTCCACTGAAGTTGAAAAGCCTAAAACATAAAATTTGATGTTCTTAAGTAGATAAACTAAAAACAGAAATATATGCAAAAGATAATTAAGAAATATACTCGAAATAATTTGAAGTCCTTTTTCACAATTAGAACAATTAATCTAGAAAAACAGAGTGAGCAAATGATTTGAAATTTCGCACACAAGTTATTGATTTATACAGACATCTAATGAAACCTTAATCTCAAAAAAAATATTTCCATTCCCGTCATGTCAAAAATCTCTGTGTCCCTTTATATGCAGGTGAAAATCCTATGCAGAATTGTATTGCATCATAAAATGAATGAAAATTTCTTCTGTAAACAAAGGAACATGCTAGTTGAAAGCACATCAAAATTTGCACACATATTGTTAACAAATTTGAAAAGTTTTACAGACTTATTTGTAACATGAATATTGTGATGTCATAAAGGAGAGCGCATGGTGATTAAATAGGTGACAAAAATCAGTAAAAATCCGTAAAAATAATGAAGAAATATTAAGAGTCTGCAAGCATTAACACAGAAAAGACAGGGTTAGAAGTTTATAACAATAGTCAATATTCTTTTACGTCATCTGCTAATTATACAAGGTTTTTCTCAATGTCACATACATAATACATCAGTGTACATATTAGAATAAACACCACTTCATCAGATAGGATTAATGTAGTTTCTATATGCTAGAACAAGAAATCTCTGTCATTAGCACAGTAATCAAGTCAGTAGAAATAACTATCTACATGTATACTATATATATGTTTGATAACATACATTTTTCAAAAAAAAGGAAAATGGGCATGAAGTATAAAGAAAATAATTATGCTTGTTTTGCATGTAAATCAAATTAAAATATTTCACTTGTGAACACCAGCCTGATGCTATGCCTCTCATGAAATTATTTCACCTTGGTGTTTACTTTAAAAGTTAAATGTATTTCAATCAAAGTTCCTGCATGTACAAGCAAAACAAATTGATATTATATATTAACAATGTAGGTCTGATTTAATGACCTCAGGTTTATTTTGTTCATTATGTTCACTTAGCCTAAAATATTTCCTAGTTTTTTTCTGAAGACAACAACAGCACATAGAATAAAATCTAACTTTGGCAAGAAATTGAGAACAAAGCACTGTCAATTCTGGGCAGTACTAAGTGTATTTAAAATGTATTTTGTGCTTATTATATTTTTGCTCAAATGTTCTGGTTATGAAATGGATGTATAGCATTTATATTTAATCATATTACTGAATATTCTTTATTCTCTCTTTTAGGTGATTTATTACCACGTCATGTGCAGATTTTCTCCGCAAATTCTTTTTTCAAGGGTATGATTATACCTGAGCCAGAAAGATTGGTAAGTTCTGATTAAACTTTTTCTTGAGAAAAGTGCAACTAAAGAACAGTAAAAACAATTGCTATGGAAGATTTTTAGAAAAATATATACATGCATTCAGTAAGAATATTTTCAAAGGTAAAAAATGTTTCTTTGGGCGTGATGTTGAATTTTCGGTTATGGGCTGGAGTATTTGTCTACCCCTGTAGTTGAATTTCTCAGTTGAATGCAAATCATACAAAGAAATATACAAATATTTATAATCTTTTGCAACAGAGCAGTCTGTATGAATATTTTAAGATGAGGTTAGACAATGAGAAATCAAACTTATTTGCGGAGGCTATGCAGCAGACAGAGCATTGAAAGTTCTACTCTTTGGCCCACTTGAAATTATACAAACTTAAACACCTTGTATGATGTTGCAAAGCCAACATGTTCTTTTTGTTTTCTTATCAGTTAAATATTATCTTTATTTCAGGAACCATTAGAAGAACGGTTTGCAAATTTCTCAGATTCAGTTTTGACGTTTTTAAAGGTATGTTTAAACAAATTTTATTCTAACTTATTTATTTATTTAGAATAAAATGTATTGCTGAAGAAATTATTAACTTATGCTACAAAAGAACACATAAAGGTGTGAGTGTTACCATTCTTTTACTTTTTACTTGGGGACCATACATGGTCTTTTTCCACCAATACTCTTTACAGTACTGTTTCTGACTGGAAATCCAACAAATAAACTTGGGGATCATACACACCTTTTCATGGAATTCCATTAAAGTGTCCCATGGATGGTTCCATGATCACATACAAACATGTCTGTCAATGTGTCCAAATCCTAAATTATATCATTTTTATATTTTGCTTAAGCATGAATTCGAAACAATTTTTAAACATTTATTCAAGATAATGTGTAGAAGTTTTGAAATAAAGTTCAAAAGATTATGTTTATCAGTATTCAACAAAAACATTTATAAGTTTTGAAATATTTATTCAAATATTCAAGGATTGTCTTGCGATGAATCCTGATGACCGGTTGACGTGTGCAGAGTTGTTGGTTCATCCATATATGGATCAGAATAAAGATATATTTGAACAACCACCAAAACGAGAGAAGAGGGTAAATAATCGGTCGCGAGCACCACACAACTTTAACCATCTTCAGCAGGTGCGTATCAGTGTTTTCCAAAGAGCGAAAAAGTCTTCAATCTGTTAATGACAAAAAATCAAAGCAGAATACTATTTCAAAAAGCGATAGATTTGAAGTAATATTTAAAAAACTAGATAAATATTTTTTTTTCACAAGTTCGGTAACTAATTTTGTTAAGACAGCTTTCTAAAAAAGTATTTTATGAGGTCTGTGTAAAGTTTGTTTTTTAGCAAATGAAAGATTTTAAGAATGATTTTGCATTGTTTCGAAAATATTTAGTTCAGTAAAAGATTTGAAGCATATTTCAAGATTGATTTTGACTGTGAATAACATGCATGTTATATTTGAGAGGTGCCTTTAAAAGTAGACGATGGAAAACACTGAGTATGTTTGGTGTAACAATGATTCCAAGTCACTCTTGACAGTTTCTGTACTCACATATGTTTATAAATTGTTCAATGTTACCATATTGATTGTATTAAAGACCCAAGCACTATCAATAATGTCTATTCAATAAAGCATTAACGATGAAAATCTTAAACGGGCAGAGTATTTCCTTCCAAATGAGTTATTATTTTGGGGTCCAGGTCATTTCTTGCCCTAAATTGTTCTATGAGTTGTCATAGAAATATGCTGTAACTTTGAAATTATAACAATTTTCATCATTTATAATTATAGAATTTAGAAGTTTTTACTTGCTCGATTGGCAGATATTTCAAGTTATACATTATTTAAAATATTTTTTCACTCTTAACTTTTTTGGATGTGGTTGATATAGGACAAGGTTCCAATTGAGTTTTCCTTCTAATGTTTGGAACTAAAAATTTAATGACCTTGATGACAGTTGATGCTTTATTGAATTATGACTAAAATTTAAAGTTAAATGATCAGGATACAGCTAATTTTATTTGTTATGAACTAATTATGTTTAATTCCCTGTTGTTACTAATTGTCACTGAGTTACATAAAGTTATCTCCCTTGTTTATTATCACACAAAAATCACAGTTGAAACTAACCACAATGTTTTTGCTTAGGTATATTTCTAGTATCATATGATTTTGTTATCTTTTTATGCTTAACAGAATATCTTCAAACATAACTTTCTTAAGTTTAATTTGATTGTTCTAAAATTAAAGGACCTATAAAAATGGTCGAAGGGAAGAAATTTTCCTAATAATAGATGTTTGGAAAATGCTGGGAGGAATGTTAAATACAACTTGTTCTTGATGGACTGCAGGAAAAAAATCTAAAAGGAGTATCATAAGAGATAGTTCAGGGGTCTGAAAGGTTAATTTTCATTTTAAAGTTTGAATAAGCAATAAGTGCTTGTCATTCTTACCAAGAACATTCAATCTTTAACTCCTGATTGAGAAATAATAGTTCATACAAATAGCAGTAATAGTTGAAACACAGGCATAGGAGTGTAATTCAGTTCTTGTTATAAAAATATAAGTAAATTAAATAAAAGATATTTCTATTCTCTAAATATGACAAAATGAAGCTTTGTTAATTGTGCAGCAATAACTTCATACTAAAAGCAAAGTTTGAGGAATTGTGGAAAAAGGTGTCATAATAAATGAGACTGTTTATTAAAAAAGAATTATGAAAATGTAAATTAAATAAATTTGAGAGGTGAAAAATAAATTTGAAATTGGGCATTTTTAAGTTGCAAAAGAATCTTTCTGAGACACTTGATTTAAAATACAAACATATACATTAAAGCAGAGGAGAAAGTTATTAGGTGAAAGAACAATGACCAGACATTTTCTTAAAAGAAACAGTAAGTAATGGTGGGAAGGGAGGTAATGAGATAAAGAAACTGTCAAGAAGTCGGCATTTTATATTAGCTTGCAGCACCCGTTTGTATGTCAGTGCACCTGATTAATTCCTGTGTGATTCTATACAGACAATTGATTGAACATCTTCCGTCTTAACTCCAATCAAGCATACCATTTTCTCCAAGTATTCATCCCCAGTGTATAGGTTCAGGACTTTTTACCTCTAATAGACATAATGGACTACTTTTTCTTACCACTGAGAGCTCAAATTGTTTGAATACTGACAACAGAAATAGCTAGTAGATTTTTTAAAATTGATATTAAATACTTTAAATTTAAGTGTTACTGTTTTTCTAGAAAAAAAACTAGCATTTTCTTTTTTATAGATAATCATAGATAATGCTGAAGATTTCCATGGATTATCTCAAGATTTAAGATTTAAAGTTAATCATGTTCCAAAAATTTATCATTTGCAGGGAATCGTAATGTTGTCATATATTTATTTAAGCTCTCAATGGCAGAAAGAAAATGAATATACATGTACCATACCAAAAAACAAGAACAACAGAATATATATTGTAAAAAAATAAACATTCATGTGTACTGCTTTGGTTTTAATCACTATGCTTTTTTCCTTGTAAAGTCATAGTACTTTGTTATTTCATTCATATCTATGGCAAAGGGACTATTTCTTAATCATACATAACCTATGGCAATATCTTATAATATCATTCAATGTATTTTGTGTGAATTTGAAGCATATGCATTTGTAATTCCCTGCTTGAAGGCTTTATGTCAACTGCATTGAGATTATTAACGCGGTTTTTGCTGTTTAATAATAAATATCCGATACAGAGATATCTTTGATCACTTTCTGTAGAGTTCTGACAATTTTAATCAATGTAAAAGCTTAATCATTTTCTAACCTGCTTGATTATATATGTTATTTAAGTTATTAGATATTTATAATGCTTTAAGTATTTCTGTTTTGTTTATATAACATTATATGGTTTTTATTTTGTTTGCGGTGTGAACATTCCATTATAAATGTCGGAAAACAGATGTCTTTCTTTCAGCAGCAGTATAACCATCAGTTCCCGCAGCTCGGATTAAAGAACACCTCTACCTCACCAGTGCCGCAGCATAAAGGGAATATATACTCGAAGAAAACCAACCCAACTAAACCACCATTCGACCATCTACCTAACATCTGACTTTTTGGTCAAGGGGTTCTGCGTCACGATGGAAACTGAGAAAATCCACCCTGATTTGGAATCCTGGAGGCCATATTCATAAAGACATTTGGGAGCAATTGAGCTTTAACTAGTTTGACATTGTGTTACATATTCAAACAAATATCATGCATATTTTCTGTGAGTAATCTTGTTCTTAACATGCTGAAGCAATGTATTTTCAGGTGCTCAGTCAAAACTTGTCTGTGTCATATAAGTGATTGGTACAAATCAATCCAGTGATTTAACATAGTTGACCTTAAGACACAATCTTGAATACCAATTAAAGTATTCTAAGAAAAAGTAAGCATCTAAAAAAATTCATGGTTGTCCTTCATTTCAGTAGCTTGAACACTTAATAAGGTGCTATCATATGTAAATATATTTTTTATTTCATTTTGATTGAAAAACCAGACACCCCACCTCAAGTTTACTGATATGGAGGATGACTCTGCAATATTTTAAGGACAAGAATATGGGAGGAATTTGAGATAGGTGTGAAAACCTTGTTACCAAGTGCCAATAGATCCCTAGTCATTATAAGTCAGTGGTTAATGATCTTGTGAGTACATCTGATCTCAAATCTGTCCCCAGTCCAAGCTGTAGACAAGTTCAACTTCTTAACTGTTTCCCATAGCTTTAATGTTAAATTAAGTAACTTAGAATATTTTTGCAACTTGCAAAGTGTTGAGTAAGAAAAGTTGTTTGTATTTAACCAGATACAAAATAAATTTATATATGTAAATGGAAATTCCATGACATCTGTTATCCTTCATGATTTTCAAATTTATAATTATGTTTACTGAAAAAAACTTAAGATCTACATCCAGAATATGTGAAGGAAAAACTTAAATAAGTTGAAGGTTGTCTTGGCTTTAGACAGAAAATATGTGTCAATGTTGATGCTGGCATTTAAAAAATGTTTTGTGCTTAAAGAAATAAAGTCATATATCACACACTCATGTGTAATATGCTGATTCTTTAACTAAGAAATATTGAATATGTAACACAAGTATAGTATATAAACCCCCTTTCCCTTGTTGCACTTGAAATTTCCTATGTGTGTGATATGTAAACCTTGATACAGTTATCACTCAAAAGTATATTTGCACCATGAATTATTTGTTATAAAATAATTTTTGATAAAAAATGTAGCTTCTGAATTATCATTTTAAGTGCTATTTGATGTATTTATACCAAATAAAAAGGTGTTCTGCAAATTGAATTGTTACATGTTTACAAACAAAGATATTTAATGATTTACAGCTTGAATTTGAAAAATTTATTTCAATAAGAAAGAAGGATTTGATATAAAATAGAACATGTGTTAGTTAATATGACACAAAAATAGTTGTATCTTTATATTTTGTTTTAAATTTTTCTGTCAGATGTAATGTTATTCATATGAAATGCCATCTTAATATATTTATGACAGATAAATTTCATGTGTATCAAAACTTTTGAAGAATACTGTAAAAGAAATTCAAGGTCTAGAAGTGTATGTATAAGCATGGCTTGAATGAATGAATTTTATAACTTGATTAATGATTTTCGTAGAGTCTTTAGCAAGCAAAATAATATACATTTATACTACATTAGCTGTTTTAGAGGTTAGTGTAGAATTTTTCTCTTTGAGTTTATTTATTATTTTGTATCTTTCATTTAGTAATGAAACTAGTAGTTAAAAGTAATTATTCAAAATGGCACTGTAGTAAAAGTAAATCTCAGAAATTTTTCATTTGATTAATAAATATAATAAATTTAGTTGATGAATAAATTATGCTATACCTTTGATTTAATATGCTTTAATTGTTATGTGTTCATTTTTAGAATAACAATAATACTAGTGGATTAAATTATTGTATTTTTGTGAATTATGTTTTTTGATTCAATACTGATAAAGATGTGTTATACAAAATAGAACGTAAAACTAGTGTTAATGTTCAGATAGGTTACCATCAATTCAGATCTTCAGACCAAGGAATGAAACAGTGAAATATATAGTCAGCCATTGACAGATTCATACAAAATGAGAATTTTTTTCGTATTTATTTTCTTGTGTGGCACCCTGCTTTTCTCCCCTACCCCTTTTCCCTCCACCAGTCTACAGCACCCTTTCAGCTTGGCATGAATAAATTGTAGTGTGAAATACTGTATTAAAGTTGACATTTTACATACAGAAAATAAATCCATGGAAAATGTTTTAATAATTACATAGATTTGCTGATGATAAAAAAATTAAAGTAATTGTTTTATTTTATTACTACCGATCAATATAATAGACTCTGCTTTAACTTAAATTGATAAGGTTGAAAAAAATACATCTGTGTTAAAGGTAAAATTACATTTTTGATAATGTCATTTTGGTTATTTTAAAGAAACCTGCAATGTAACTCATGTCATTATTTCATTACCCAACCCTTTCCCTCACATTAACATGTTGCACCTTTTATGTTTGGTTTCCCTACTAACAACAACCTATTTGCTCCCAAAATGACTATGGCCACATAAAGGATTTAGGGTTCAAAAGCCAATGAACTCTCTCAGGAAATTTAATCATTGGTTACTATGGTAACATGTGAAATAAATTTGCCCATTTTTTGAAAAAAAAGCCTCATTTATTAATTGAAGAGTTGGTCCCCTCATAATGAGGGCGGTGACTAAAAATAGTAACACTTTCTTGGTGTTTTCTATTTTAAGAAGAATGTTGATTTTTAAGACATGTTTCATCAAGAATTCATTCCAATATTGTATAAAATCATTTCAAGAACTATTTGTGCTTTGACTTTGTAAATTGTGTAAATGAAATTTGAATTTTTTAAACAGATAATGTATATTTTCTCCTTTTTTTTGCAAAATATTCAATTTTACATGTGTATCTTGTACATATTATCCATAAAGCATCATGTAAAAGAACTGGGAGAGCTGTTGTCAATTAACTTCTATTATTAATCAGAATTTTTCCAAAAGATATCTGTTATCTTTCTAAATATCTATTGAATTTAACAGAGATTTTACGTCGATATGTGCTAAACTGCTTTTTGTCTGTTAAAAAATGTGTTATATTTAGATGAAGTCATGATTACAAATGCTAAAATTTCTTCTTCTCGGTTTTGTTGCAGTAATATATCTTTATCAGAATCATGTTTTGAAAAGTATATACAGACTTAAAAATTGACTTTGTTTTTTTTTTAATCAAATTTGTTATTAAATAAAATTCTGTGTACTGGTATCCTTTGATACAGGGGATGATTATTTGTTTTGTTTCTTTTCATTACTCAACAAACCGTAGCTTTTTTTTGAAGTGACTATCATGATATGTTAATGGTTAAGGCAGATTTTTTTTTCTTTTAACTCCGGGTATAGATTTAGGTTAACAATGTAGTATATAACCAGTCTTATTATTCTTACCTTCATAGATTTATTATTTTGTTATGTAAATATATGACCACATTCATATTTACTGGTAATGATACAGAGAATTTTTGTTGTTCATGTTGTTTTAGCAAGTTCATTAAACATGATCTGATTGTGTATATTTGAATAAATGGAATATGTTAGTTCTTTTTAAAAAAATATTGAGCATTTGAGCTGAAATATATCATGCTTGGTGATAATTGGAAGGTTATTTTATGTGTTGTATATGTTCATTTAATATGGAAAAATTGTCATTTCTTCCTGTTTGGTAGAAGTGATAAAGTTAGGATCATGTTTGAAGTGTGGCAGTACAGGTTTTAGGATTTTTTTTTACCTTTAGCAGGTTTTTATTATATGAAGTGGAGTTCAGAATTGAAATGGGTGGGGCTGTTTTACACAAATTTAATTGAGAAAATACCATTTATTGTCATAATGAAGTATTGGCTATATCCACACTCGAGGTTTTACCTGTATACTTGGTACTACAATTAAAATGGTAGAGGAAAGTTTGATGACATATTTTTAAAACATACTGGGGTTTATTATTTTGATAATGGGATTATTTTTTTCTTCAAATTAAAGTGCTTTCAGAGATCAGATTGTTTTGTAAATAAATGAGGAATGATAATAAACAACCTAATGTTGTTTATCAGTATGTTACAAGTATAAAGTATACATGTCTTTTTTCTTTATTTCTTTCATGATTTAATTGTTGTCTTTGTCATTGCTTAATATTTGAGCCAGTATGACTTACACATATCATATTTGAGATTTGTCAAGCAAAAAGGTACCTAATGGTATAATTTCATATATTTATTATACCCCCAAAAACGAAGTTTGGGGGGGTATATAGGAGTCACCCGGTGGTCGGTCGGTCGGTCGGTTGGTCGGTCGGGCGGTCGGTCGGTCGGTCGGTCCAGACGTCCGTTGCATTTTCCTTGTCCGGAGCATAACTTGAAAACTAATGGTTGGAATTCAATATAACTACATACAATGGTCAAGCACATTGAGAGGAAGTGCAGTGCACAAGAACCATAACTCTATCTTGACTAATTACAGAGTTATTGCCCTTTGTTACTTTTCCTTGTCCGGGGCATAACTTGAAAACTACTGGTTGGAATTCAAAACAACTTCATACAATTGTCAAACACAATAAGGGGAAGTGCAGTGCACAAGAACCATAACTCTATCTAAAGTAATTACAGAGTTATTGCCCTTTGTTGCTTTTCCATTGCTTTTTTTTTTGTCCGTTGCATTTTCCTTGTCCGGAGCATAACTTGAAGACTAATGGTTGGAATTCAATATAACTACATACAATGGTCAAGCACATTGAGAGGAAGTGCAGTGCGTAAGAAACATAACTCTATCTTGACTAATTACAGAGTATTGCCCTTTGTTACTTATCCTTGTCCGTGGCATAACTTGAAAACTACTGGTTGGAATTCAAAACAACTTCATACAATTGTCAAACACAATAAGGGGAAGTGCAGTGCACAAGAACCATAACTCTATCTAAAGTAATTACAGAGTTATTGCCCTTTGTTGCTTTTCCATTGCCTTCTTTTTTTTGTCCGGACCATAACTTGAAGACTAATGGTTGGAATTCAATATAACTACATACAATGGTCAAGCACATTGAGAGGAAGTGCAGTGCATAAAAACCATAACTCTGTCTAAAGTAATTACAGAGTTATTGCCCTTTATTACTTTTCCATTGCTTTCTTTTGTCCGGACCATAACTTGAAGACTAATTGTTGCAATTCATTATAACTTCATACAATGGTCCAGCACATTGAGAGGAAGTGCAGTGCACAAGAACCATAACTCCATTTTGACTTATTACAGAGTTACTGCCCTTTGTTTCTTTTCCTTGTCCAGAGCATGACTTTAAAACTACTGTTGGAATTCAAAACAACTTCATACAATGGCCAAGCACAATAAGGGAAGTGCAGTGCACAAGAACCATAACTCCATCTTGACTAATTACAGATTTATTGCCCTTTGTTACTTTTCCATTGCTTTCTTTTGTCCGGACCATAACTTGAAGACTTATTGTTGGAATTCATTATAACTTCATACAATGGTCAAGCACATTGAGAGAAAGTGCAGTGCATAAGAACCATAACTCCATCTTGACTAATTACAGAGTTACTGCCCTTTGTTACTTTTCCTTGTCCAGAGCATGACTTGAAAACTACTGGTTGGAATTCAAAACAACTTCATACAATGGTCAAGCACAATAAGGGGAAGTGCAGTGCACAAGAACCATAACTCCATCTTGACTAATTACAGAGTTATTGCCCTTTGTTACTTTTCCTTGTCCAGAGCATAACTTGAAAACTACTGTTTGGAATTCATTACAACTTCATACAGTTGTCAAGGACATTAAAAGGAAGTGCAGTGCACAAGAGCCATAACTCCATTTTGACAAAATACAGAGTTACTGCCCTTTGATACTTTTCCTCTTCCGGAGCATAACTTAAAACGTACTGGTTGGAAACAACTTCATACAATGGTCAAGCACATTAAGAGGAAGTGCAGTGCACAAGAACTATAACTCTATCTTCAGTATTTATAGAGTTATTGCCCTTTGTTCTTTTTCTTTGTCTTTCTGGACATATTACAGAGTAATTCAATTAAACTTCATCAATGGCCAACCACATTGAAAGTAAATGCAACATACATGAACCACAATTATCTTTAATTGCCCACAACCATATCTCTATGTTTCAATTCTATTACAAGGTATTCTGTTACTAGTAACATCCTCATTTCCGAAGCAGACTTGTGGGGGTATTAATCACATTTAGTGATAGTTCTAGTTTTACATTTTCTTTTATCATTAAAAAAATAGTTTGAAATAGATATGAGAACAGATGTTGTTTATGAATCACCTATATGATTTTATATTTGATATTGCACCATTGAGTTTATAAATTGACTTTTAGTTGAATAACTGCCTTGAATAGTTTCACCAATAGGTACCTTTTCTCCTGACAAGTGTCCAAAGTTGTTGTCATTGACTTAATGTTTTACAAATTTATCATGTAGAAATCATTATATAGTTTAAACAGGTAAATAATTTTGCTAAATTCTTAGTAGCCTTTAATATTACAAGTTATTCTGCCAGTAGTAGTCTTCTGTAAGCCCTATTTTTGTATAATTAAACACAATGATCATTTCATGACATCATTCATTGTGAAGAGTTCTTTATTTTTTGTCAGCATCAATGATAACTTCAGTTTTAGAATTTTAATGTTGAAATTCATTTAAGGTTCATCTTATCTTGAAAGTTAAAATACTGTATACAAAATTAATGATAATGATATTTTAAATGAATCAATGTTGATTAAATCTTTTCTTTGTTTTATTCCAAAACCAATTTTAATATAACTTAAAAATCAGAAATGAAATAAAAGCAGAAAAAAACGACACATTATGTGCACATTATATACAAATAATATTGCTTGAAATATTTTAGAAAGAATGCCTTTAAACTTTAGTTGCTTCACCTCTCTTTGGTGTAATAAATTTTATTTAGACAGTGCAGTACTTTTTGCATTTGATGTTGTTTCGCAATTAAGTATAAAAGAAAGACAACCATGAAAAAAATCATGAGCAATATTTTTATTACTTCCCTTTTTTCAAATTGTGTATTTATACATGAATGATGCCATTTGGATTTTTGTGCAGTTATTTCTTTATAATAAAAAGCTTAATTAGTAAAATGATTGTATGTAGAGGTAGGTATGATAATCATGAAAAATCAAAGAAAAAATTTGTTGTTTCTTTGATATTGGTTACACAACTTCAACAAATATTTACAAAATATAAAGAATTCCTTAAAGTCTTACAGTATTTTTTATATGAAAGTCTTTAAAATTAAAAGAAAATGTATATTTTTTCAAGTCATAAAAAGATAAATAAGATTTTTACATGGTTTCCATTATTCTCATTTTGTTAAAAATGACATTACAGCAATTTATTTTTATTCATATTTTTTTTTTCATCTCACATTCCGTCCACTGGATTTGTTTTGTCTGTTTTCAGATTATTTATAGATTCTTAAAAATAAAGAAAATATATAAATTTATAATGTTTGAAATTCCAAACCTTTCTGTGATACATATATTGAAACTTTAGAAATATACAATCATTTACATACTGCCATATTTAGAATTGTATTGTTGTTTTATTTTGTGATATGGATTAATTGCAAATTCTTGAGTAAAAATATCTAACTTTTCATTAGTACACACTATTTGTTATTTTTGTTTAAGATATACTTTAAATCCAACTGTAACTAAGTTGTACTTATTTTACCTTATGAATGGTGAAGGTTTTTTTCGTTAAGAACCAAAAAGATATCTTTACAGTTATTGTACACATATCAATAGCTCTTATATTATCCGGTGTCTTCTGATTGGTTAATGCACACACTCACTCTTAATCACCTTTCTTGCAGAGTTATCACTCTTGATTAAATATTATTATAGTGCAAGGGAGACAACTCTGCATTAAAGCTAGCATCATTGTTTTAAAAGGTCTGCATGTATAAACATATATGATATCAAAATTCATTTTTTGCACATATTTGTATGGTTGTATTATTATCATGCATTATTATATTGCCAAAGGTAGAATTTTTGACATTTGCATACCATGGTAAACTCTGTATATTGTAACACATTATTAATTCAAAATGGAATTTGTTATTTGTAATGGTCAATTAGAAATAAATGTTAGTATATGGGGATACAGCTTTTCTTTTTTTCTTGCCATATATTATTTCATTTCAATGATTTCATGCAGTTACATGCTGTTCTAACAGGTTTTCATTAAAGCACTATTGCAACTTGATGTAATTTAAAACAATTTGATATTGTCAAAGAAACAAAACAAACAAACAAAAAACAACAACCTAAGGGCTATGATGAAACATCATGTGGAGAATCTCTACCATCATTGTTCAAATAATGCCCCTGGTGTCAATTTTGGTCCTGCCTCCCGGAGGAAAGGAGAGTGGCATGTGTGTTCTTTATAGGTAAATAAAACATTCCAAAATCTTCATATTTTACCTGAAACATCATCTACTTGAGCACTGCCAAGGTAGATCAAATAGTGTTCCTATGGTCAAAATATGCCTTGCGAGGAAGACATTTGTTTTCCTTGTAATGTATATAAAATCTGTGAAATTAGCCAATTCGCGGAGATAGGTCATGACTAGTAGATGATCCTTGACAATTTTTAGATCAATTGGTCAAAGGTTAAGGGTCAGCTTGACCTTGATTACTTAAAGCTTGTCTGATTTTTAACAAGAGACTGCTTTGGTGGACAGTCCTAATATTTGTATAAGATATTATATTAACCAATTCAATTCATGAAACAATATATCTGAGGGTGTATCAATGTCTTTGTCAAGTATATTTCGGGCGGCTCTCTTCTGAAATTTGTATATGCTATTTGGTAGTTCATCATTAGAAACAGGACATAAGAAACAGGTGACGGAAATAAGGATACTCGTACCTGGAGAAAGTAGAAAACATAATTAATAAAAAAGACGACAAACAGCTAGCTTGCAGAAATTTTAGACTAAAACTTGACGTCGCTGAGAATATCAAAAGACAATATGTCTGGTATAAGTAGGTGACGTGACCCTACACAGGGTTGAAAATGAGAAACGTTGAAATTGATATTATGACGTCCTATAATTTGTTCTGTGTAATCAAATTGAATAATATCTTGTTGATTTTCTTCATTTACTGTCAGCAATGGAGTATTAAATAATGTCTAAAAATCAAGATTGATCCTCTAAATATTATGAGAAATTAAATCCATTCCCAAAAAAACATTTTTGAACTGTCCTTTGTGTATACTGTTTATACACTGGTAGAGAGCGTTTTCGACGGCACTACGGGTTTCGAACCGGCGACCGCGAGGGCAAGATTTGATGTATGGACTTAACCAAAAGTCACAAGGAGAGAGGTCAGGACTATAAGAGGGATGTAGCATAACCTCAATTCTCTGCTCCTCTAAATAAGCTTGAGTAGAGCCTGACCGGTACATAGGTGCATGGAGTAATTTGATCCTGTGCAACCGGACATTCATAGATTAACTACAGCAGTGAGAACATTGTCACTGTAAAATGTTCCAGAGACACTACCCCCCCCCCCCCTCTCAGGCACAGCGACTCGGGCCACTATTCCATCATTTTCAAAAATAGAGCGTAAATAACTCTTTTAACGCTCCTGCTACGGGCGGTCGCTGTTTTCACCTACCCACATTTTGTTACTGAGGTTATTGTCGGGCTCAAAAAAAGCCACGTTTTATCCCTGTGACAATTCAACTTAGGGTCTAGGGTATGGATCATCAACCTGCTTCCTTTTCTTGATAGAAGTTAGCAAATGGCGGTTCCACACAGCCCTCAACTTTTCTTTCAAGATGGAAAACACACTAAGGCCCAATATGTCACTTATCACCTCCACGGTATATCTTAATCCATCAATTACGGCTTTGAAAGTGCTGATGTCTTTTCCAGAGGTAGCGGAAATTCGGCCGCCCAGGGCAGGGTTCATTCTTAACGTTAGTTCTACCCTCCTTAAACATTGACACCCACCTGGCAATGTATGATGTAGAAGGGCATTCTCCCAATAAACTTAATCTAAATCCGTTTTAATAATAACCCACGAATTTTGCAAAAAAGCTCTTTGCTCCTCTCTCAAATCGCAACACATATTAAAATGACCTACTAAAATTTTTATTGCACGTGCAAATTGTGCGAAAATAGACTGTTGGTTAGAAAAATCAATAATCTGCAAATCATTGTAAAATTGAATTGTTGTAACTAAATAAATATACCCCGCGTATATTGCATTCTTTAGTTCCCAGACTTTTTGAACTGGGCTTAAGTTTTCCACACCAAATAAGCCAGACTTCGGACTCCATGGACTCGGCGTTGTTGAGGATTCGGCATGTCAAAGTCCACTGTACCTAGAGGCTGATATCAAACGTGTGCTTACAATTGTTACTCTGTTTTTAGAGTATTTTCAGTTCTGTGCTTTTGCAAGATATGGAGATTGGTTAGAATAACTTTAACTATCAATATCGAAACAAAAGTGGGGGTTTATGGACATTAACGACCGATTTAAGTTTTATATTTTCCGTTTATTTCATCTGTCAGTTTCAGCAAAAAGAAGATCTGAATTTTTCTCAACCGCTATTTTCATCAATGTACATGTAGGTTTTTTACTTGAATATTTGTTTGACAATTAATAAACAAATTTATCATTTTTTCAGTTCTCCAATTTTGGTGATTTTCATATATTTTTAATTATTTTCACATAGATTGAGAAATTTTTGGCGCAGGCGTCGGTTAATAAATATTTTGAGCAGTGCAAACTTGTCTTTTACAAAGGTTCAGAACTCAAAAAAGAGTCAACGAATCACGTAACTTAGAGGGTTTTTTTTACAACAGAAAGGTATATAATGCATGACCTTAATATTATGTATGTGTTGTACAGTAAAGGTCTGTGTGCATTTACATGTATTGGTGTTTATGTGGTGTATTATTTATTGTGTATCAAGTTTCCCGTTTTCTAAGAAAAAAAAACATTGCATATTGACTTATATGTAGATCTTCTGTCAATTTGAGGCAATAAAATATATACATACATTGTACATGTATATGGAAACCAGACAATGGATGCATATTCATCTTTTATCCGGAAGAGATTTGTGGAAGCAATCTTACTTTTTCATTATCAGTGGAATTGTTTCTTAATGAATATTTGGAAAAAAAGTGATTCCTGGGAAGAATTAAAAACAGAAAAAATAAACGAAAATTGCAGGCTTGGTTTGATTGAGTCTGTACATGAGTGATAATGAAAAAGTGCAACATAATTAAGCCGAGTCTAGCTATGGTCTTTTAAGCATATTTTTTAACTCATTGTAATAAAGTTAAGATGACAATTCCGGTCTGAAGTCACAGAATTAAGATTGTGTCTATGTAAAATAGTGTTTAGTTGTTTATTTAAACGTCATTATTATGTATAGATCGGATTAAAGTCAGAAATCCATACTTTCTCCCAGATTTCCATTCGAGAAAGATCTCCGTGGAGGTATTTTTAATCTAAGGGATAATTTATACTGAACTAGACTGTTGCGTCATCAGCAAGTAATTGTAGAGTAAAAATAGAAGTAACAATGGAGAGGAGTTAATATGTGTAAAAAAAAGAAGCAGAGAAGTCTTGGGTACCCCACCCCTGAGATGACCGGATGTTGTGTAGATTTGTTTTCAAGAATACTTTCTAGAATAACAGTTTGAGTATAAGAAATGGGCGCGACTTATTAAAAAAGCAACTGTATTAAATAAATGTTATCCTAGAAGTCATATATATCAAACACAAAATTAAAATCATTGGGTAAGTCCAAGTCAGCAGGCCTATATTCTATTTAGTTCTGTCCATTGTTTTCTCGTTTAGGACACGTGCATTCTTTTACCTCTTTCCGTAACGTCTAACATTGAAGGTTATATGACATCCGCAGTATGAACACATCTGCGGATGTTTCAAAATTCAAAATTTCACTATTTTCATGTTTCAATTAAACCAGTGCTCGTGGTGCGGACGGCAGATTTTCAAAGATTTCGTACGGAACGGTACGTGATATGAACAAGATATAGCTATTCTCAAAAATCGAAATACTACTTCCTTCCGGTAAAAAGTGAAAGAAGGAAAATGCCGAGCAAGAAAAAGAAATACAATGCAAGATTTCCCCCGGTAAGTGTCTACAAATTCATTGTTACCGTTTTAATTTGTAATGAATTTCTCCCCATTAGTGCAAACATACAAAAGATTTGTGTTACCCCGGTTGTCTTGTACATTATAGGCACGAATTAAGAAGATTATGCAGACGGACGAAGAGGTTGGGAAAGTTGCTGCTGCTGTGCCTGTCATCATATGTATCCTTTGTAAATGTATACAGAAAGTCAAAAAAATGAAAAAAATGTATGTTTTTCTATACACACAGTCACTCGTCATTGCAAGATAATTTGTGTTCTAAAAAGTGTGAAATCGGTGATTTTTACAATTTTTTTTCAGTGTTACTGTGGGACCTACATTAATTGTATCTAAAGGTAGTGGCTAGCCGTACAGGCCATATTGCTAGCCAAAATAGCTGTACGTGAGTCACATACGACTAGCCTATATGCACTGTGAAAAGGTGTAAAGATTGATATTAGGTATGTGACATGATCTAGTGGTCCTCTATAGAGTGTTCAAATAATGCCCATATAATAAAAAGAGGCCCCGCTTATCAATTTTTAGCTCACCTGTCACATAGTTGTCTGTTTGGTCTGTTTTACTGTTTCAATGCATAAAGTTATATTGGAAGTTGCTTGTATTTAGTTTCCTATGACAACCAAACAAGGGTGATAATTGAAAACCTGGTTTTGTTGTGTTGCCATGTTTCTTGTTAATCATTTTATCTCCAGATTGTATTCAGCTAAAAAGTGTAAAGTCTTCGTATAAATAAAAAATATGTTCATTTATTTGTAGTCTTTGTTATTCTCTGACAGTTTTACACATTGGCCACAAAATATTGTGACATACGTTTTTGCGATGTTATTGACACTTTTAACCTGATTCCAAAAGATATTTGTCAACATATTATGATATATATCTCAACAAGACTAAGTGCAGTTTTGAAACTAAGTCACCCGATCAGATCTTGGGAAAACCTTTGTAAAACTCACCTTTTACCCAGTTCAATTGAAAAACTAAGAATGTTTGTCTTCACAAACTCTAAATACAGGCATACACCCATGCCTCAGGTGAGCAACCCAGGGCCCTCTTTTATTTCTTAATGAATTGTCTTAATACATTGACACATCGACCATTTGGAGAAGACCTTAAGGTAGATCAACATCATCCTGTTGAATAATTTAAGTACAACCTGGATCTGTAAATGACCTTAGATATGAATTTTGAGTTACATTTGTAAAAGAAAATTGTGCAATATTTTCTTCAGCCATGTTTGACTTTAGAAATAAGGAAAAGTTGAGAGTTGTCACTGCTCAGCGGTGGCTTGAGTTTCCAAAAGAAATGGGAAATTGTCCATGCTTAAAATAGCCTTATGCTATTCTGTAACTGATTGAATTTACAGACCCTAATAGCTAATAACATTTAAGAAGGATATAAACTGATGATCATTTTTTTTGACATTTTGTCTTTTTAGCTTGACTATTCGATAAGAATAAGTAAAGCTATCCTAGTCACCTGAGTGTAGGCATAACCACTTATGTTAAAGTTTGTGTATCACCTCAAATATTTTCAAAGTCCATTGTCATATGGATTTGTAACTTTGCACATTTGTTAACCATCATGTCCCCAACCTGTAGACAGGATAAGGTAATTCTATCAAGCATTTTGACAGAATTATGTCCCTTTTTCGACTTAGAATTTACATTAATGTTTGCATACCACCTCAAATATTTTCAATGTGCATTTACATATGGCTTTGAAACTTTGCACTATTGTTCACCATCATGCCCCCAACCTATATACAGGAGAAGGTAACTCTATCAAACATTTTGACAGAATTATGCCCCTTTTTCAACTAGACAATTTACGTTAAAGTTTGCGTACTATCTCAGATATTTTCATATTTCATGGACATCTGGATTTTAAACAAGCTGAAATTTATACACTTCTTTGAGAGCATTATAGGACTCTTTCCAAGGCCTATAACTGTAAGATGGATTTGAAATTTTTTTTGCTCCTTTGATGAAATTTTACATTTTCAAGGCTCTTTTACTATCAGGCACTAGGAATAGTTGAGCCTGCTGTCCTACTGACAGCCCTTGTTTGAGTTTTCATAATATTTGTAAGTTGTAAATATCTGTAATCTAGGTACATGTAATAAGCCTCAGAGTTTTTTTCTCTGAAAATCATGACACTTCTTGAGTGCACTAACTATGCTGCTGTAAGATGCATAATTTTATTGATTAAATCTTTGTCTCCTTTTTGGTCAATGTCATGCTTTGGGTATTAGCAATTGTAAAATAAATTTACTTTGTCCATGAAATAAATTGTCACATATAAGAGAGTGGCTAGACATTTTGGTCCCATACTGCTAGCCAAAAGTTCGAGCCCAATGTAAGTCATGTACAGCAATACACACTGTAGCACAGGCATTTTGCTAATTTGTCTTGCTATAAAAGGCATCAAATGCCTCAGAAACAAATATTTTTTTACTTCTTTAGGAAGGGCTAACATGAATTCTATAATATTTAAATAATAGTTTAAGAGAATGTTTTATGCTTTTTACCTAAAGAAAGTAGCAACAAATATGAAATATTTTGTCATAAAAGTAGCAAAATGTAAACAAAAAAGTATTTTGACTTCCGTACGAAATGCACATTCACTATAGCTGTACTATTTGCCAAGAAACAACAGATGAAAAATATGGTTCAGGTTATTGGCCAATGAGTAACTTTTTGGATGCCATAAAGGTACACCAAATATTATAATACTTTGAGAAATAAAATTGAAAGAATTTCTGAGGCATAATGGGCATCTTATGGTAAAATTTTCATAAAATAATCTCCCATTGATCATCATGGCCCTCTTGTTTGTTAAAAACAACTTCTCATTGGGATTAAACCAGCATCTTTCAAATGTGTAGGGTACTTTAAAATTAATGGTTGATAAAAAAACAACCTTCCTATACTTTTCAGCAATGTTCCCTGAACTACATATTCACATATATATGCTTAACTTAAATACATTGTGATAAATCAATATTTAATATCTATTTTGTATAGGTGTTAATTTGAAACACTTTCACTCTTTTTTTTAACTTGTATGATAATTTTGATTAACACAAATCTATCCAGCATGATTTTTTATGCGATTTCATGTTTATTAATATTATGTATAACACACCTTTGATGCTTGGTAAATGGCAGAACAAAAATTGTAATATTCTGAATAAATTCTAATATTTGTTTTCTTTAACTGAGGTCAGCTCGAGCTCTAGAGTTGTTCATAGACTCTCTGATTGAAAAAACTGCATCAGTAACGAGAGCCAAAAATGCAAAGACACTCTCCTCCTCACATGTGTAAGTACATCTTTTAATAATTTTGTAGAAAAAGAAAACATGCATTTAAACATCATCACATATCAGTATCTATTCCTGTTTGTGATTTCATGTTATTTAGAGGATTTTTTTCAAAACCTGGCTTATCATAAAAGAAACAGTTAAAAATAGTTCAAATTTGCAGTCAGGAATATGTGTCTGTATTCATTTGACATTTTGTTGGAAATGTTGTGTTCTGATATACTATTGTGTGGAATGTCAATACTCAGGACACTGTGAAATTGGAATTTAATGATGTATGATATCTACTTTTGGTGTGTGTTTATATATCAAACAGAATTAAACAAAATAAGAATTGTTGTTAATCAGCGTTAAACAGAATGTTTGTGTGTGCGTGTGTGCATCTGAACTTGTCCATGCCATCACTTCTTCGAACATGGAGGAATTTTCAAATAACATGAATTGAGTTTTTCAGGCACATATGTTCGTCATGAGACTTTGTGTCATGCATGTGAACTGGGTCAGTGGTCAAGGTCACCTAAGATAATGCGATGTAGAGATTTTGCCTTGGGTATAAAGAGGATGTGTATATAAAGAGAATCTCACCAATGTATACATCTTTCTAGCTTAAAGGTTCAGGTTTGAATTAAGACGAGTGAACTAGACATTCTGCCCATGGGCATATCTAGTGTTAATGCTAAAAGAAATTGTGAATTCTAGGTTGGTAAGGTAAAGCATTTTGTATCTGTTTCAACAGGAAACAAGCTATACATTCCGAGAAGACTTTTGATTTTTTACGAGAACTGGTGAAGAATGTACCGGACCACCAGACAGAGGAGGAAATGGACACATCGGCATCTTCTTCTACCGCAGCTGTAGAGAAAAAACCTAAAGTTCAAAGGTTTCCATTATCTATATAGAGGATATATGTTTGTTGTGTGTAAGATGAAATTTTATTTCATCGAGTGGGCTTTAAAAACAGTATTCTCACATTTTAAAGTTCACGAGATGAAATAAAATTACATCTTACACAACAAACAAACAAATTTTCTTTTTATTTTATGCTTTAAAACAAGTTAAAACGAAATTTGCTTAATATTAATGTTAATTTATTAAAATCTTGTTTTCCCCATTGTGAGCCTATTTTAGTCAAATTTCACATTAAATACAAGAAGTCTTTGGCTGAAAAATAAGTTCGACAATCATCGTAAAATGGTGGTGATATTATTCATTTTATTAAAAAAATATGAATGATCGCTTGTTTTAATAATAAAAACAAACAATTCTACTGGGAGAAAAATTCCAACCATTCATCCATATTTCTGTTACTTACTGCGAATTTATATTAGACAGGGATTTTTTTTGCTTATTTTATAGCCGTTATTGGGTCATATTCCCAATTGAAAATATTATATTATTTTCCCAATCCATAGGAAAAAATTCCCAATTGAAAGTTACAAAATAAAAATATTGAATAAAAATTCTAAAATCTTTGCAAATAAGGGTTTTTCTTCACTGTTATGGTGCTTAAATCCTTGAAGATGTCATCATAGACAGTAATTGTTTGCATCCATTTAATCACTGCACAATTTCAGTCATGCATTTTTTCCCCAATTTTTAACAAAACACCGCTGAAATTCCCAATTCCATGGGTATGGGTCGTGTTCCAAAAATCCTGGAAAAAATCCCTGTTAGACCTGGCTTTGTGAAGTGTTAGCGGCCGCCATTTTTAAAAAATGTTTATTTCACTGGAGGAAAATAATTGTGTTTGATTCAGAGGGATATCATTTGGATTTGTTAGTCATACACCTTTTTAAAAGAAAGAAAACTTATTTGAGGATTGTAACAGACAATAAATAAGTGTTGACAGATGTGTAAATATTCAAAAAGCGGCTAGGAAATTGGAAAACTTGGAATTCTTACGAACACTTGGTTGTTTACTTGTTCTTCGGGCTGATGGCTGTCATTGCTTTTCAAGTTTTCATAAAGAATAAGGCAGTTATTGCTTGTAGGATATTTAAATATGCCTAAATTTCATCAAGAGCAGTTTTGCATGTGGATGGAATGTATTTTTCAGACTGTAAAAATGAAACAAAAAAATTAGAGACGATATTTGGTGATTTGAATGAATAGAAGTAAGTTTTCTTCTTATTATTTCTTTTGACAATTAAGTTATTTATCAATTTCAGCTTTGCGTTTCTTTAAACAGCCTGACATTGTCAGAATTTTCAGCAAAAATAAAATTGAGGTACCACATGGGGAAAATCAAGTAGTTTCGTCATTGAAAAGTGTGAAATTATATTTTCATAATTTTCACTGTGAAATTATCAGATATAATTTTCACGGATAAATTAGTAATTCACTGAAAAGCATAAAATAAAATTATCCAAACTGCTTTTAATACAGAATATTATAAAAAAATAATGTTGCTCATGACAGTGGGTCAAGAGATATAGTAGGTAGATAGTAGCATTAGTAACTTGCATTTTCACATATTGGATAATAGCAAATTCTTTCAAAGATATTTTTAGACAAAGCTTCATGAGTAAAACTCTAGAATAGAATAGGTTAAGGAGGATGAGGTAAAATATTTTTATAAAAAACTAAAAATGCTAAGAAGGCTCTGGTCAAAGAAGGCTTGAGGAAGATGATGATCTTGTAAGAAAGCTTAGATAATAAATTTCTATTTATAGACCCCAAAAGCCTATGAAGGAAGGGAAAGACCAAAGAAGAATTAAATTATACAACAAATTATGATTTATAAATTCTATTTATAGACCAAAAAAGCCACGAGAAGAAGGGGCTCGAGGTCGAGGTAGGCCAAGGAAGGTGAAGGTTGAAGAAAAAAAAGACTCTGCTTCAGTAAGATTTCTGTCAAGTCTCTTTAAATACAAGCTAAAAAATACACAAATATTTTAAAAATTATGCAGCCTAAGTAAAAAGGGACAAACCCAACGTGACCCCATTACAGACTTTATCATTGAAAAATGAAAATTGTGACCTTTTTCAATTTCAAGCAATTAATCTCAAGTTAGCGCTTAAGATCTAAAATGAATTAATGACAACTCTTGTTAATGTTTTTGTTAACTTTTCTTATTTAATCTTCAGCGTAAATAGCATAGAGTAGACCTTTAATTTGCTTGTTTGTTTTTGGGTTTTTTTGTAGTCAAAGGTGTACATGTTGTGCAGTTATATATAGTGGTTCTACCAAGATGTCTTCATGTGCCTGATTCACAGAAGGGTGTTTTGGGTCACCTATACCATTAATAACTGTGCAGCCAGAAATGTTACAAACATTGTAGGTTTGAATAATGTCTGTTATTTTCTTACAGGAGGTAAGTGATGAGGAAACAGAGACAGACGAGGAGGTGACAGCTGATGAAGATTCTCAACAACAACAACAACAACAAAATACCCCATCCCAATCTACATCACACACTCAACAACCACCTCAGCTTAAGGGAAGTGGTATATTACCCCAAGAACAGGGTGGTCAAATGCTACCCACTGGACAAAGTGGTCAAATGTTACCCCAAGGTCAGAGTAGTACTCAAATGTTGCAAGGTAGTTCTCAAATGTTATATCAAGGACAAAGTAGCAATCAGATGTTGCATCAAGGACTGATAAATGCTCCAGGAGGGCATCAAGGACCTTACGGTTCTGAAATGTCCCAACAAGCACGATATAGTGCAGAAAATTTATCCCAGGGAACTTCCTTGTGTCCTGAACAGCAACAGGGCTCTATGATGAGTAAACCCCAAGCACAGACTTCATCCTTACCTCTTGTTCAAAGCACAGCTGGACCTGAAGCCCAGGTCCAACCATCTCCAGGAATACCTGATAAACAGGAGGAAGTATCACATTTGCCATATCCTGTTCATTCTCAGAGCCAGCATAGAATGCCACAAGGATTCCCTCCACAAACAAATATTTCAATGCATAATATGATATATCCACAGTATCCTTTTATGCCAGGTGGACAACCTATGCCATATATACATCCACAATCTGCTGTTGGTACAATACCTCCAAACACTGGTACGAATCCTGTACCACAGTCTACAGGATCAATACCACCACAATTTATACCAGGTCATCCAGCCTATATGATGCCACATATGGCACAAAATGGCCCCATGCACCTAGGAGGTCCACCTGGCATGGGACCAGGAATGCCAGTAGGTCCACCACCACCCCTTGTTCCAATAAGTACACTGAAGAAGAGTCAAGGTGGTGATGGCGATGCCAATGTTCCACTAGATATGTCTTTGTCAGGGAAATCAAGGTAAATAAATATAATTGAGCCGCGTCACAACAAAACCAACATAGTGCGTTTGCGACCAGCATGAATCCAGACCAGCCTGCGCATCCGCGCAGTCTGATAAGGATCCATGCTGTTCGCCTACCAACCCTATTACAAGTAGAGAAACTGATAGCGAACAGCTTGGATCCTGATCAGACTGTGCGGATGCGCAGGCTGGTCTGGATCCATGCTGGAGGCAAACCCACTATGTTGGTTTTGTCATGAAGCGGCTCATATGTAAATATATATACTAGTATTACAATTTTTCAAATCATGATATTGACATCTGTAAATGAAGGAGTAAAGTTCTTTATTGTCATCAAAATAATTTTATGGAAAGTGAAGTTCACAATTATTTAGAAATTTATGTTGTCATGAATATCCAAATTCTGATTTTCTTTTAAAATGTATTTTATTATTAGTTATATTTTTTAAAAAGGCCAGAATATTTCTAAAAGTGTATAACAGCTCAGTCACTAAACAACATTATTCTGTGCAGTAACTCAAACTATTTAATCATGAAAATGTGTTAAGTGTGAAATGATATTTTCTGATCTTGTTATGTTGATATTTCAGATCTCAGACCTCAACTGTACCAAACCCACCATCTTTGTCTCAGATCCCCACACCTCGAGGTATGCTTCCCCTCCCCGGCCCTGCATTCATGCCACCTCAACATGAGATGCCTCCTGTACCCTACTCACAAAGTTTTCCACAATGGAGAATGAATAGTGAAATTAATCAAAACATTCAGGAGACTGGTTACAGATCTCAAATATCGGGACCACCGCCTTTAGTTAGTTCAGCCGTTACACAGTCTGTTGTTGCTGTGACAGAAAATGGCAAGCATAAACAGAATAATAACTCAGCAGGAATTGTTGCAAAAAAGTCAAAACAGAAAAACACTTCAGAAAATCCAGGGGAGGAGAAAAGTGTATCATTTCCAAGTCTTGCGAACATCATGAATATGAAACCAGTGAAAACTGATGAGAGTGAAGCTGATGATGATTATGATACTTGATATTGTTGTATGAAAACATCTGCAGATCTGAATGCTGGATATAAGTGCTATTGTTTTAGAAGTGTATAAACTCTGTTTGCATGATAAATATGTTTATATATCCCCATCAAGGGTTATATAATAGTGATGGTGTGAATGGCTGTACATTTGGATTGTCTGTCGGAAATATTTTGTCTATAATTATCAAAAAGTAGATTAGTAATTGACTTAAATTTAAATATTGATAGATTCGAACTTAGGAGGGGTGCACTTTTCTAGAGTTGTAATCCTAGTTTTTGAATTATCTCTCTTAGATTGAGTAAAATTTTTAAATTCTGATTCAAAAACTAGCCCCTGGATTAACCAAAAACATAAAAAAATGATGAAAGCAAATTAGGAAATTATAATATTAAACTTTGTTAAGAAATTACTTTGAAATGTGTGAGTTTAATTGACTTAAATCTATAGATTTGACAAGGAGAACTGCAGTGCTCAAGGACTAGGTATATTTTTCCAAAATATGCAAAGATAAAATTATACAGTTTCAATTGTTTTGAATGTTATGTTGTTCAACAGAAACAAAGTGAATAGATCTATGTACTTATAACACAGATAAGGTATTTATTTGATTTGCTGTATATCAAATTTTCTCCCACCTAATTGTTGATGTTAAGAAAGTCATGTTAGATAGATTATTTTGTCCAGCTTTGTCCATAATTTATGAGCTTGATTTTGAATATAGTTTTATTCTAGTTTAACCTTGAGTGGTTATATAGTGTTCCTGTTGTTATTGTTTTCTTTCTTTCATTGTATGAAGCATCAGTACTTAGTATATGGATTGGATGTCAGAAAAGTCCAGCTCTTTTGATTCATCATTAGGTGTAATCTTTAAGCATTGATTAAGAAAAAGGGCAGGGAAACTGCCTTGAGTCATGTTACCTGTTACCCTATGTCCTATGTTTCAATTTGAAACAATGCAAAAGATAGAGTTTAAAATTACAAGATAGTTAAACATTCTATATTGTCACTGGTAATGTGTAACACTTTCTTATGAAAAATTTCAAATTGGGAAAAATTTGATGTATGACATGACATTATTGAAAATTAAACTGTATCCCTTGCATTGTGTCAAAAATGCCTTCCACAGAATTCTAAAACACTTGAGCAAATGTGACATAATATATCTAGACTAGATACTGTTATGATTCTAATATACTGCACTAGCAATCTATCTACATTTAATGTCTCAAGTTTGTGCTGTTATTTTATATTGTTGTGAACTGCTGTGTTCATGTATAATATACATTGTGTATATACATGTTCTTGTTAATTTACCACCTCCAGTCTGGTTTCTTCTATGTACAAGGTTTATACTGTACAAGGTTTATACTTGGACAGGTTGTTATTAATAAGATTAAAATAAAACAATGCTAGATTCTATTGAAGATAGGCATCTTTTGGGAAAAAAACATGAAAGTAAAAGGGTGGGAGAATTCTCACTAGCATGTTTCTTATCCATAATTTGAAACTAATACTGACAATATATGTACATTTATTACACTGTTGGAATTTTGACAACACTTTAAAGAGAAAGACTGTATGAAATTAAATTGATTCTCAAGAGCTGAAAATTTTGGAAGGTAAAAAAAATTACGCTTCAGTTGGATTGAAGTTGGGATTATACAATAGACTGAAGTCAGTAATGTAAAATAATTGAAATGTAAAACAAGTGCTATATTGTATATAGAAAGAACAGTGATGCATAATACTATAATCAGTTGGCATGTTTTAGAACAAATTATACTCTAGCTGTTTAGTGTACACTATAGAATGTTCCTAGTTTAGACACAAATGAGTTATTAATTAATCAAACTATTGATTGTTCTTCAAGCATGTCACTTGTTATTTTGTGAGATTACCATAATGATACAGATTATTGCTGATTATTTTACGTCTTTGATTTCTTATTTTTTTGCTTATGATTATCATAAAATGTTTAAGTTTGATAAATTAATGTTATAAGCTCATATTTGTCAAGTGACGAGAGCTTTGATAAAGTAGCATCAGTTATTGTTAGTTTTTCCTTTGGATATATTTGTTATATATTATGATTGTATTGTATGCACCTATCAGTGTTTTGTTACAGGGGAGAGATAGTGACAGGCATACCATTATTGACATCAAGGAATTTTAATCTCATCATGGGAAATGGACACAAATTTTTTATTCTGCCTCAGTGTGAAATTGATGGGTAAATCATCTCCCAATATGGAAATTTGATAGTATACAGACATTTGTTCCACTCACAGGACATTTGACAGATTTCATGATTTTCTAATGTCAGAGTTACATATGTTAGCCTGCTGTCCCACCTCTAAGGCAAAATATTGATAGGTGCATTTTAGGAAAACCCTAAGATATTGTTTTATGTAAAGCATTGTTGAATGAAGAAAACTATTATTTTTATACAGTGTTTGTAAAAAAGAAGTTTCTCTAACTGCTTATATTTGTTACAATTTGTTAGCATTAGTTAAAAAATTGCCTTCTAGAATATTTTCTATGAAAATTTTAAGTTTTAATTGATTCATGTGATTCTGTTGATAGTTTTTGTTCATTTTGTTATTCTTCTCATCATAATGATAGTTATCTGATTTAAGTCAAGCAATTTTGAAAAAGCACCTGTCACCATTCTATTAAGTAAGAAATAAAAGTCAATTTTAAATATACATGTATGCTCAGAATTGACCAATGTCAAATGATTGTTAACATCACAAAGTCTTGGTTGTTTTGTAAGTATGCAGGTTCCTCAGACAGTGTAGCTTCCAAGTCCAATAAATCTTGCTTATATTTGGTGTCTCCCAGACCAAAAACTGGCTTGCTTACATTTGGGTCCTCCCAGGCCAATAACTGACTTGCTTACATTTGGTTCATGAGTAAATTTGGTTCCTCACAGGCCAATAACTTGCTTGCTTGCATTTGGTTTCTCCCAGTCCAATAACTTACTTGGTACATTTGAATCCTCCCAGCTCATTAACTTGCTTGCTTACATTTGTTTTCTCCAAGGCCAATCACTCCCTCCCTTGTCTACATTTGGTTCCTCCCAGGCCAATAACTTACTTGCTTACATTTGATTTCTCACAGGCCAATAACTCCCTTGTCTACATTTGGTTCCTCCCAGGCCAATATCTTACTTGCTTACATTTGGTTTCTCAAAGGCCAATAACTTTCTTGTCTACATTTGGTTCCTCACAAGCCAATAACTTACTTGCTTAAATTTGGTTTCTCATAGGCCAATAACTCCCTTGTCTACATTTGGATCCTCCCAGGCCAATAACTTACTTGCTTACATTTGTTTTCTCCCAGGCAAATAACTCCCTTGTCTACATTTGGTTCCTCCCAGGCCAATAACTTACTTGTTTACATTTGGTTCCTCCCAGGCCAATAACTTACTTGTTTACATTTGGTTAGTCACATGCCAATAAATTAATTGCTTACATTTGGTTTCTGCCAGGCCAATAACTTAATTGCTTACATTTGGTTTCTCAAAGGCCAATAACTTTCTTGTCTACATTTGGTTCCTCACACAGGCCAATAACTCCCTTGTCTACATTTGGTTCCTCCCAGGCCAATAACTTACTTGCTTACATTTGTTTTCTCCCAGGCCAATAACTCCCTTGTCTACATTTGGTTCCTCCCAGGCCAATAACTTACTTGTTTACATTTGGTTCCTCCCAGGCCAATAACTTACTTGTTTACATTTGGTTAGTCACATGCCAATAAATTAATTGCTTTCATTTGGTTTCTGCCAGGCCAATAACTTAATTGCTTACATATGGTTTCTCCCAGGCCAATAACTTACTTATATATAACAAGACAGCTCTTCTTGAATTTTACACATATAATTTTGTTTTCAGTTATAGTGGTTCTATAATTGGCATTTCATGTTGTTGGTGATTTTATATATTGTGCTTACTATGCCTCTAATAGATTCATACTTGAGATGATGGAGAAATATACATGTAGTTACAACCAAAGTGAATGATTTATTTCTGAAATTTGGAAATGGCTGCGTAAATGTCTTTTTCTAGTATTGCTGTTAGAAACAATATGTTTTGAAAACTTGATGAGCTAAAAATGAACAAGTAATTAATTGTACAAAATTATTGTAATTATTCATATGAAGGTAAAATCCACCTGAAAAGCTCAATTGAGGAAGTGTCAGGTCCACTGACCTTGTTTGAGCCCTGGTGAAACATGTTGTTCTGTGGGTTTTTAGCTCACCTGTCACAAAGTGACATGGTGAGCTTTTGTGATCGCTTTTCGTCCGGCGTCCGGCCGTCATCCGTCCGTCCATCTTCTAATGAATGTCTACCAAGTTTGTTCAAATAAAAGCCCTGGGGTCAAAATTGGCCCCGCCCCAGGGGGTCATTGATTTTCCCTATATGCATATAGTAAAAACTTAAAAAATCTTCTTTTAAAGAACCCAAAGAGCTAGAGCTATGATATTTAGCATGAAACATCTTATAATGAGTGTCTACCAAGTTTGTTCAAATAAAAGCCCTTGGGTCAAAATAGGCTCCGCCCCAGGGGGTCATTGATTTTCCCTATATGCATATAGTAAAAACTTTAAATTTTTTTTTAAAAAGAACTCAAAGAGCTACAGCTAAGATATTTAGCATGAAACATGTTCTAATGGGTGTCTACCAAGTTTGTTCAAATGAAAGCCCTGGGGTCAAAATTGGCCCCGCCCCGGGGGTCATTGATTTTCCTTATTTGTGTATAGCAAAAACTTAAAAATCTTCTTTGAAAAAACCGAAATAGCTAGAGTTTAGATTTTAAGCATGAAACATCTTCTAGTAAGTGTCAAAAAAAAAGTTTTTCAAATAAAAGCCCTGGGGTCAAAACTGGCCCCGCTCCAGGGGTGTCATTGTTTTTAACTAATTATGTGTATAGTAAAAACTTAAAAAAATCTTCTTTTAAAAAATCCAATGAGCTAGAGCTTAGATGTTTAGCATGAAACATCTTCTTATGGGTGTCTACCAAGTTTGTTCAAGTAAAAGCCCTTGGGTTAAAATTGGCCCTGATTGGGGGGGGGGGGGATATTATTGTTTTTCATTATATGTGTGTTGTAAAAACTTAACATCATGAAACATCTTCTAATGGGTGTCTTCCAAGTTTGTTTAAATAGAAGCCCTGGGGTTTAAAGTGGCCCAGCTCCTGGGGCCTATATACAGGTGAGCGACCTCAGGGCCATCATGGACCTCTTGTTTTTGGTTGAGAACATTATGCCTGACTTTATGAAGATATTTGCTTAAATTACATGACATAGCTTGTTTTCAATGTACTGTAACCATTACATAGTTCTTCATATAATACACTTGTAATAAAGTGTTGGTTGTAAAATGTGAAAACAAGTTTATGTTTATTAATGTCAATGCGTTTAGTCAACAAAAAGAATCTCACATCCGTTGTCATGTAAAATCTTATTAAACTTGTCCAAGAAAACGTTATAAAGCTTGCCATAGGCTTGCTTTATTACAATTTCTTAAATTTTTTTAATAATTTTTTTTTTACTACATTGTCATTCAAGATCCCATATACATGTATATTTGCTGAAATACAGAATTGAGCAACATTTCATTATGTAACTGCCTTTTAATATAATTATTATATTATATTATTAATACTGTTAAAATTGTCACAAAATTCACTTAGGCATACATATTCCTAAGGTAAAACTTTGCTGGTCTCTGTTTAATCAAACTTGAATGAGCATTTAAGCAATGTACTACCTGAAGCATCAAAAAGTCTTATCTTCTTTTTGCTTCTATTATAATATTGTACATAAAAAGTGGCCAAATTTGCTAGATTTAAATGCTGAAAGGAATACCAGTTGTTCTATGTTGAATGATGCTATGTATAGTATAGAAGAACTCACAGTGTTTGACAAATAATTCTCATGTTGTTGATACATGTATGTAAAAACTTGTTACTTTGTTAAAAGATGCAATAAAATCATATAAAATTAGTTTTTCTTATATTCATTTCTTCTTGGAATGCATCTTAATTTTATGTTTGAAATTGAACATATTTTTGTTGGGCTTTATGTTGTACCAAGACTGTACAGGTCATATGGGATCTTTTAGCTTTACTGGTAGAAAAAGACCTCAGGTGCCCCTCTGTGCATTATTTCAGGCATGAGCAGGCACCTATGTAGAACCACCAGATTTTCGGTAAGCTAGCTGGATAGCTTCCTCACATGAATGAATTAATCCCTGGTGGGATTCAAAACCTACAGCAGTGAGGGGGAAATGATTTAAAGTCAAGGACCTTCACCACTCCGCCACAAATAATATAATCATAGACAGTTCTACAGCACTACTTGATATGAACAGGATTGTGGGAACTTAGCCGAGTATGTAGTATTTTTGTAAAAGTTGACATGTTAGGGAATATTTGCAAATGTATATGCTGACATGAATGAGCATAGGTCTCTAGCAGGTGGCCTAATGTCAACAAAGTAGACTGCACGATCTCGCAAAAACTGCCCAAAGATATTGGTCTGAAACCAAATTCAAACTTGAGCTGTTATTTATCATATTAAATCTGTGTACAAAATAGTATTAAAAGCTTTAGCCTTGGTCCAGAAAATATGAGAATGACCAACAAACTGACAAGCTCACCCCTGCATACTCCCATCCCTTTTAAACTTTGTTTAAGAAGGGTATTATAAAAAAACTCCAGTCAAGGTAGCTGGGTCTATGTGGCTAAGTGGTTGAAGTTTATGACTTCAAGTCACTTGTCCCTCAATTCTGTTGGTTTTTAATCCCCTGCATTGTAGCTGAGGGGATCCATCTGGCTGTCCATAACTTCATCAAGTCTGCTCCATAACTTTTGACCAATTGAAAAGTTTTTAAAATAACTCGATACAAATGGTCATCATTATGAGATGATATTAAATGCAACAACCAGGTTGATGCCCCAAGGGTCAAGGTCACTCTTAAAGGTCAAAGGTAAAAAAGCCTGCATTTTTTGTCTACTAACTTTAAAACTAATGAAAAGTTATAAAAATAATGATCACCATTCTGAGACTATGTGCAAAGCACAACAACCAGGTTGCTACCCCCAATGTCAAGGTCATTTGTAATGGTCAAATGAAAAAAAGTCAACATTTTGTGTCTGCTTCATAACTTTTAAATTAATGAAAAGTTATTAGCTTGACTATTATATAGTGAGAGCTATCCTACTCATCTGTGCCTCAGTGCAGGCTGCTGCATCATACTTTTAGTTATGTTTTTTCTTGTCACCCCACTAATATCCTATACCCTGTGAGGTATTTTCTTTGAAACTTTAAACATTTGATAGTGACATCAGACAAAATATTTGTACCTTGGCACAAATGATCATCATTAAGAGACCAACAACCCAGTACAAATTTTACTGTGGTATGGGATATAGCCATCTTTCACTGACTGCTTTGATATTGAGGAAGCTATCCAGTTAGTTTATTGGTTGGCACCTACTTTTACCTGAAATAATGCATGAAGAGACATTGGAGATCTTCCTTAATCAGTAAAGCTGGAAAGTTTATCAGAGTGCAATGTACTGAAATAACAGGAAGAATTGCCCATACAAGTTTGGTGTGTGACTTTAAAGTATCCATTGCTTTGCTTAAATGGCCCGATAATCAAAGCATTAGAATAAATTGTAACTGGTCTACAACTGATAATAAACTCTGTATTTTGATGTATCAGCAATATCACATCCTCTTAAACACAACTTAAGTATCACAGATTCAGCTCAAAATATTATTTTATTATTTTGACTATGACTAGCAAAAATAAATAATTTTAAAGTGACCAATGAAAATTTTTCTTATATTCAGTTCTACCCTGTAAGTTTACAGGAAGTGAAACTGATTTTAGACAGCCTTCGACCAAAGATTGAATCATCTATGATACGCTCCAGAATTTCTTATCTTACCTTCATTACTGTAACAAATAAGTAAACACTTTCACATCTTTTAAGTTCTGTATTTATATCATTATACATGTATTATGAAATAGATGTCCAGTATATTGATGAAATGTGCATTGCAATAAACCACTATTGCTGCCAATATAAACAAAGTTGTGTGCATACATATACATAATAATAAATAAGAAAAATTCTTAATATTTTAACATGTACATTACCTTTAATGATGAAAAAATAGATAAATAAAATTTATAGATAAATCAATAAATTAGTTACTTTATTGAAACAACCAAACATTCAAGGCAATGAATATACACATGTACATGTTCAGAAAGATTGTTAAATAATAGTGAGATAAGTTGGGAAGTAAAATAATGTCATAGATTTTAGAAAATGTGTCGCTGAATACATACGGTGTTTATGACAATTATATAAGTCAGAGTCAAGATAACAAAAAAATCTGAAATATACTTCTACAATTGTGATAGATTAATGGCCATAAAAAGATAAGTTTTTCAAGGAAAAACAAAAAGGAAGGGTCATATAGAGTGGCAAATTTTTCAAAACAAAGAAAGGCTCATAAAAACCGATTACTTTTCTTCGGATTTTAAACATCTCTATTTTCCGGTTCATGCAAGATTTCTTTCTATTTTCTGGCTCATGTAAGATTTCATTTTAATAATAATACATCATTTTCCAATGTCTGTATTCTCACTGATAAAGTACCTAGTAATATACAGTATTCAAAAGGATTGGCATTTTTACTTCATCATAACACTGAACATTTTGTTCACTGTTTTCTCGTTTTTAAAGAACATCTAAAATCTTTGTTCACATTATTTGAAATGATCAAGTTTATATCATCATGGCAGTTTACTCAATAATGAAAATAATAATTCAATAACTCCACTAACATTTTGATCTGCTTACAATTACTTCACAGCCATCTTTTTATAATTAAATAAATAATTATATCAACAGTATGTAAACAGGCCGTAAAATTTTACATGTCAGGGTACATCACTAATAGCAGTATGCACACTGCACTAACAATTACCACTTTGTTTACTAGTACTGCACTAATAAATTACATTTTGCACACTGTACCAATGGTTTTACACATTACACTATTTTGCACACTGCACTATTAGCTGCATTTTGCACACTGTACTATAGTTTGATGTATTTTTCACACTTCACTAACTGGGTCATCACTGTCATCATCCTCAAACTGATAACTCTGTAGTAGTTGAGAGGCGGAATTAGAGCGACGGTCTTTTGTAAGTGGAAACATCATCGCGTCATTGGTCAACTGGAATGAGGTTTCTGTAGCTATGGTGACATGATTATTGTATTCCTCATCAGGGTCATAACCATTGAAACTATACAATTTCGATTTCTTCCTATAAAAAGTAAAAACAAATACAAAATATTAAAAAAATAATTAAGTTGAAGAAAATTGAAATAGAAAAAATTCAAGTGTTCATTTTCTTTTAAATGGCATTGTCTTTTTATATGAAAGAGCTTATATTCTCAAATTTCCTTGCTAGCTATTATTAATAGAATATCTAATTAGAAAGAAGAGACATTTATTACCATTACTTTTCAGGTTTTACCAATGTTAATTTCGTTTAAGAGGAAATAACATGTTTATATAAATTTACTTAAAAAAAAAATATCTAGTACATGGAAGAAATCTGTTAAAAATGAGTGTTGCCTTGAAAATTACTTACTTCATAAAGGTTACATATTGATCTAATCCAGTTATATTTTAACAGTAGAAAGTATATTTGTTTCTTTGCAATTGTTTGATTTTTATGCAGATTTCAACACAATTTCAGAGAAATCTTGGCTGTCCTCCTAAACGACTTTCCTGGATAACTAACCAGTATTTATCAATTTCTCTAGATAAAAAAATTTGAGCTGAGTTGAATGGTATTTGACAAAATTATGGTCTTTCCTCTTAAATATTTAATTTACTAATAAAATAGCTACTGTAAAATCAAAACAAAATCAGAATTGATAATCTACAAGCAAATTGTTAACTAATGAAGGACTACAGTCAAACAAATTGCTAGCTAACTAAAGAGATAAGACAGGTTTCTGGAGCAAAAGACAAAACCTTGGTACATGTACTAAATGTAACAGATAATATTAACCTAAACTATAGTAAATTTAATAATATATTATACTGAAAAACAAAGATATTAGAGATTAAGATTACAATGCATGTTGCATGAATATATACCTAAATATATACCTATATATGTATGTATACAGTATGACTTTTTGTGCATCTTTCATCTCGGATATAATGTTACATGACAAGCTACTAGAGTTTAGCACCATGCTATATTTTTGTCCAAACAGACTGTCAATTGGATACCAACATAAGACCCCTTTTTTAGTAAGTAGTTTTTTTGTCTGATTATATTATGTCCCAGGTTTAAGGTAAATCATAATACAATTATAATTCTTGACAGAATGAAGAATCAAATTTTTAATGCAAGAACTTTCTATATCTATACTAGAAATAAAACAAAATAATAGGAATATAAGAAGGGCACAAATAGATATTTACAGTCAAACCTGTATTTAACGGCCATCATTAAATAGTGTGAGAAGAACTCTTTGTTACAAAGAATTCTATTATTCTTTATTGTCTGATAAATCATATTTGTAATGTCTCAACAAAACTGGACTAAATACTTTCTTCCTTTACTTAAAAAAAAAACATGGTCAGAAAATACCCAAAATAATTATAACTTCTTTGAATAATTAAATGATGAACTAGGCTATGGATATAGGTAATATAAAGGCTGACACAAAAATTGAAAATCTAGTATACCAGTATATTGAAAATCCTGATACTTATTTAGATTAGAAGTTAAATTGTATTTGAAAAAAGAGACTAAAATAAATAAAATACATGTTTTTTCATCACAAAGACAAGTGCTGTTTAAATACAGGTTTGAATTTGGTTAGGAGGTAGCAACAAGCATGTTATAACAACTAAATAGTGCATAATGGTGAAAGATGAGCATCTGAAAACAGCAGTATTATATGTAAATATCTGGTTATATGAGAATACATACTGCCTGATAGGGAGGTGTGGTCAGCTGTGGTCGATTCATTGAGATCTGCGGTCTTTATAAAATGAAATGATATGGTAAGTAGAAGTTACAGAAAATATAACAATGCAATCATTTGGTAGTAAAAACCTAATAAAATACTTTGAGTAAGTGTAATGTTATAGAATTTCCTCTTGTATAATGTGGGTGGGTAATTTAGGCAGAATTCAAAATACATGTTACTAAAATAAACTTTTATATAGGTTATTGAATCAAATTTTCCAAGCTTTTAAAAACATAAACTAAAACTTGTTATGCTGTAGTTAAGTTGGGACTACCAAAAAAAAAAATTAAAAAAAATCCAACAATTTTTCAAAATGTTGGACAACACTGCTGTAATGCAATGTATAACTTAGAATGATAAATCAAAGATGATGTTTTTTATCATTAGATGATCAATAGCATTCCAACATGTACTATACATGCAGGCTCATGCTCCCATACCCTAGGTAAAACAGTGAGATTTCTTTTTCGTGTGAAATCTGTTTGAAGGAAAAATACAATATACAAATAATCATAATATAAGTCAATACTTTAACTTTTTAACATTCTTCAGTTGTATGATTAAGAAACTGAAATTCAATCTAATAATATGATCAATTATAAAACTGACTGAGTTAAAAAATAAGTTATTTCTAAATAAAAAAAAAATGTTTCTTCAGTTTATGATAGAATTGTGCAGGTACAGGTACCAAAACCAGTATCACCACCAACAATTCAACAGCAAACCAACAACTACTCCAGAAGTTTAAAGTGAGCTTGTAACGCAACAGTGACCCTGTAAGCAAAAGGCATTTGATTCCAAAACCTGCATGTAACAAACCCATCCCATGTGTAGTAAAAACAGATTTGAACAAATTTTTATCCTTTAAAAATATCTTTTATTTACTTATTCCAAAGCTACCTTGATCCTGTGCAGTAAATAAGTACATGTACATGTATTTAAATTTTACATTAATTTAACTTACTTTTTTCTTCCAAAAATATTCTTCAATTGGTCTTTGAAATGTGACTTCTTTTTAATCTTTGATACATCTTCTGATGATTTTGAGAGTGTCACACCTGTCTTTTTCAAAACTGGAATTTTTGTTTCTTTCATAGCACTTTTCATTGCAGGGTTAGCTGTTTCACTCTCTGCTGCCAGGGCAGCACCAAGGTCATTTGTTGATTTAGGTCGTTCCCTTTCCATAGAGGCCCTTGTGGGACTCTTTGACCTTTTGGGTATCAATGAAACCTCTGCTGAATTCCTCTGAGGGCTTGTTCCCCTTCTTGCAGGTTTCACTATATTAGACTGTTCAACTTGGTTTTTAAATTTTTCATAAGAGCTCATGTTAGTGGGGCTTGAAGATCTTCCTGTTGGACTTGTAGCCCTTTCCAGCTTCTGTATCTGCCTAGCAGAAGCAGATGGCTCTGACTGGAATTTTGACGGTGTTTTGGAAGAGCCTGCTTTTCTATATAAACCTTGCTTTTGTTCTGTTGGTTCTTCATTAACCATTTGTTCATTTGTATCTACAGGAGAATTAACCACAACTTGATTTGTTGGTGATGAGAATGTTTTGAGAACCACAGGTTTTGTTTCCCCCTTTTTTGCCACATAATTTATCTCATTGAATTGCTTCTGTATGCTAACATTTGTAGGTGAAACAACTTCAGCTCTAGTCTGCCTCCTCTCTTCACTAATTTGTTTCTTACGTTCAAAACTTAATCTAAGCTTATCAACAGCTCGTAGCACTCTTTCTTTTGTAGCCCCTTCAGAATCATCTTTCATTTCATCAAATTCAGATGGACTTTTGTTTTTATCTAATCTGTTCACTATAACTTTATTTTCAGTGTCAGTTTCATCTCCTCGAACAAATCTCCCACGTTCCTTTTTAGTGAAACTATTGAATGTCTCATTTGTTGGGGAAACACTTGTGATTGGTTGAAAATGTTTTTGTTCTTTAATAGGTGTTGAGGTTTTGTCCATGCTGGTAAAAGTTGGAAGACGTGATTTGGTAGGACTTGAAGAATCTGTAGAATTACCCTGATTTATTTTATTGCGATTTTGGAAATAGTAAACAACACTGTCTGTATTAAGAGGACTTTGTGATGCATTTGTTTGCTCCACTGGTGATGTTGCAAAGGAGAGTTTTGAGTTTGTTTTACTTTGACTCTCCTTGTTGGCTGATTTACCATTTGACTGACCAGATGTGATAGAATTATCAACAGACGACACTTTCATATTTTCGTCTGCTAAAATATCCAATTTTGTTAATTTACCCGAATTAACAACTGCACCAGTACTATCAGTGTTCTCATTATTACCCAAATCTTTGTCATCTGCAGTTTCAAGTTTACCGTCACTTTTCTCCAAGCAGTCAGCTGTATAAGCTATAACATCATTTAGTTTAGTGAATGATTTTGGTCTAGCCATTGTAGCCGGCTCAGGACTTGAGGGATCCTGAGATACAACAGCATGGGTTGAGACAATACCTCCCTGACTTACAGAGGTTTTTGCTTGAGAATTTGTGTTAGATAAATTCAAATTACTTGGTCTGCTTGGAGAGGCATCAAATGACAATGATTTCCCATGAGGAAGACTTTGTTTACTTGTTGGTATTGGACTTTGTCGTACAGGTGATTTTGTAGGTGACTCAGCTCTGTTGGAGGGCATTTTTCTTTTTAAACTTCCATTTGTCTGAACATTATCTGCTGAGCTTTCAACATTGTTTGGGTTGATTCTTGATTTTTTTTCTCTTGGAAGGGTACTCTGTTTTTTGTCATCAAATAAACTTTGAGCTAATGAAGCAGCTAAGTTTTCTTCAGAAGTTGAACCAGTCTGCTGTTTGCTCATATGAGTTACACTTCGATTATAACTAGGAGGCTGTGGGGAAGCATTTTGACGCCATTTTGGAATCATTATTTTTGGTCTATGGGAATCTTCTAAAAGTTTCATTGGCTTTACATCATGATCAAATTCTGCATCATTTTCATAATCATCTTCATCATCATCACCATATATCCCATAATCCTCTTGTGCACTTTCCTCTACCTGATTTGGGTCTTGATACATCTCTGCCTGTACATCTTGCCTTAGAATTCTTTCCTTGGCCGTCAAGAACTGTTTATGATATGAAACATGTCCCTCTGGTTCCCGTTCTGGTTCAAAGTACTGTTCCCCTGTATTTCCTGTTTCTGCCAGCAGCTTCTGTAGAGATAACTGTAACTCTTGTCTAGATCTGTCACTGGAACTGGAATGTGGAGGTGAGATTGCTAAACTCGCTTGGTGAGCTAACAACTCCAAAAATTCATCTTGCTGGTCATGTGACCCATATGAAAATTCCATTGCAGAAGCAGGTCTTTGCCTCATTTTATCTGCAAATTCCTCCCTACGCTTAGCACTTTCAAAATTATGAGCACTTGTTGACTGTGGAATCACTTGTGGCGTTAAAGGTCGGAGATAATTTCTGTTGATTACAGGGCGATGTCTATCAGGAGTTTTGTGTGACCTTGACCTCCTGTTATGACTATTTTCCCTGGGCAATGGAAGCTTTGAAAGAGAAGAAAACATCTTAGATTGAGGTAGAGAATTCAAATATGGTGACATTCGTCCATCTTGAACTGCTGGTGGCTGATGGGAAAGGTCTGGATGACTACCATAACCAGCTTGTTTACGACCTCTTGGTGTGGAAGGATGACCATCTTGCCTCGCATGACCTTGAATCCCATGTTCCCTTTTCTCTCTTAAAACTTGCAGCAAATACCTGAAAAATTAACAATCAATTACAATCTATTTACTCTAAGTACAATGTAACCAATTTCTAATAATTAAAAAATTCTATAAATATCTACATATTTACAACTTTTACTACTGTATTTAATTTATTTCACTTCAATAATTTTTTGAAAATCCCTATTTGTATATCATATAGTATAAATATGATACCTACTTTGTGCCTTTTACTTAAAATAACCACATAAGCTACTGCAACAACATTATGTGTTTAGGGACGTTCATCATACCTGCGTGTCGTGTTGGGAGACATTGGAGATTTGGCACGCTCTTCTTCGTTGGAGTGGACACCGGAGTCTCGTGATATATGATTGGCTTCTCCGCTACTGGCACTTGACTTTGACCTTGCTGAATGACCTGTGTCTCTTGATCTAAATATAGAACAATTAACGGAATACCTTTACTTTCCATTTTCCTTATTCACATGTGTAATTATAAAGATATAGATTTATCAATTAGCTAAGTAAATTGGAATCAATAGTTTACACTAAAAAAGAAAGTTATAGAAAATATCCTTCTTTGCATAGAAGTTTCTTGCTGAGTAACAATCTTGACATAAGACAGTATGAATAAGAAAAGAACAACAAAGATAATATAAATATATACATACATAGTGTAACTTTTACTCTAGTTTAATTGTATGCTGTCCATCATAAATCACCTTAGTGCAGTAACGGTTTAATTTCTGAAATAGTTTAATTGGAGTTAACCTGTTACTGCACTATGATGAAGAAATGTTGGTTTCAATATCAAAACTCTAAAACTGAGTAGTGATAGTGTAGATTCTGGACAGATACTTCAGATGTCAGGTTGACCTGTCTGAATACTGATAGCATAGTATTTATTATTTGTTACTGCCTCTAACATTCAAACATTAAAGATATTTGTGTCCTCCAGATGGTATTATAAGAATGAAGATAGAGGGTTAATAAACCTGTTAACTGGTTGACTACTGATGTTTATAGCTTGCATGGCATGTTCAAGGTCATCATTCATATTGTTGAGGAATTGTTTGAGTCGATTAAGGGAAGATTCCAGGTAATATCTATCTGGGTGGTCTGCTGGTGTATGCTTCAATAATGTCTGCAAACAACATATAAATATTTACTTAAATATACAGGTAAAAATATATATTTGTTTACATTCTGTCTAGAATAAGAAATCATTGCAAAATAAAATCCTTTTGTTTTTCTTCTTCTATATGCATGAAAATGAATAAGTACATTTAATGAATGTTCTCAAATTCTGTAACTAGTCTTTATGTAAGTACATGTACAAGCAATTGTTGACACTAGCAACTGTCAACTTCTTTAAACAAAATTACTCTAAAATTTAGTCACAGATGCACGGGAACCCACATATTGTAATATAGTACTACTAGTCTAGTACATTGTATTATCATTTATCTAATAGATAACATTGTAAAAAACATGATGCAGGAGTACATTTGATGCTTGATTTTCAGGTTTGCATTTCATGATATTCAATGTTGCTTTTCATATAAAGCCCTAAGTCTGAAATCAGTCTTAAAATCAAAACTGAGACAATTTTCATTTCAAAGAAAATATCCTAGCATATGACTCCTATGTTTTGACTCCTTCAATTTCTAAATGATAATGCAGATGAACATAAAAACACCTTGCGAATTCAAGTTAAAGCATGTGCTACTGTATTTCTTAACTTTGTTTTTTCAAGAGAATTGATTTAATTAAAGTGTAACATCTTTAACTAAAGATAAAAATGTTTATTGAAACAGTCTTAACTTAGTCCTAAAATTGGTCTTATATCCTAGGACTTAGGATACACTTAGGATTTTCTATGAAATGAGGGTCAAAGATATTGGACAAAACTTTTAATAGAAGTACTTACTGTAAATACTTGTACAATAATTATTGATTATTTTATTTAAAACATTCATTTATACAGTGTTTAGAAATCTTACCTTTAAAAGTATGGAATATTTGGGTACTTGTTGTAAAGGTGCTAGCAACAAGGTTAATACTGGGGCATTCGCCAGACATTGACTCTGAAAATGATATTAATCAATGTAATACTAATGAAGATGAACAAAAATGTAAGTTTTTGCAACATTCATAAATTAAAATATTTGTGGACACACCATTTTTATTAAGTATAATGTAATATACAGGTTAAATTGCATTATCTTCTTACAATTATATGAAATATAAAACAAGTGAATGTCTACCACTATTTATCAAAATTACCGTAGGATAAATTCTGCTTTTAATGCTTTTTTTTACCATTCATATTAAGTAGGGTAAATTTCTACTGAGCTGTTTACATAAATTTGCAGAACTTAAAAAATTGATCAAACGTACCTGCATAAGTTCTCTGAAATGTGGTGAATGAGTGAACCATTTGTTCATAGAGTTTATGATTGTAGGGAAGTCATTGATGAAATCTTTATATAGTAACAAACCATCACCCTGAAATTATCACATTTATCATGTAACTTTTATCTCTATACTTTTATATATTATATACATGTAAATAATAGAGCTTAATTAAGGTTCTTTATGCAGTAAGGAAAGAAATTAAAGATTAATTGTTTGTTTGTTTGATTGGGTTTTATGTCACACCGACAAAGTATAGGTCATTTGTGGACATTCAAGCTTTAGTGGTGGAGGATGATCTCAGGTGCCCTTCCGTGCATTATTTCAGGCATGAAGGGGCACCTGAGTAGAACCACCGACGTTCTGTAAGCAAGCTGGATAGTTAAAATATAATAATTAAATCAGAAAAATACTAGAATATGGAAATAGAGGTCACTGTTTACAGAGTTTTTTACATTTACTGAAAGAACTTTTTTTAACTCTTACATCTGTATTTAAAAGAGTAAAACTTACATCTTGTGATTCAGTAAACTTGGCAAAGATGTCACCGATGACACCACTATTCTTCCATTTCTTCATTCTTTCTTCCATCTTTCTCAGTATAATACAATGTTGTTCGTAGATATGTGGAATGTAAGATGGAAACAGCAGGTGTAATTCTCGTCGCCCGAGGATCTCGCTGTCCCGCAGTGGGTTCATGTAATCCTCTATCAGGGCCCATAACTGTGAGCAGTACTCACGTTCTACGTCAGCTATATCTCGTGCAGCTTCTTCCCGATGAACTATAACAGTAGAAAATGTACATTTTATATCATCTTTGTACTACAGATACTTGTTAAAAGTAACATGCAATAGATTTTATATGAAATAAAATACAAAATTTACATTTCTTAATATTTTTTTCTCCATTATAATATCAGAACTAGTCAAGACATTTTAATATTGTTTCATTATTAATGGAAGGAAACATTTGTGTTGAATCAATATAAAGTTGAACAGCCAAAGAATGACAAAAAAGTAAACGTGACCAGATGACTACAATGAAGTCAATGACTGTCATTTCCAAAAGTGCGATAAGACACTAATGTTTCATTTGCTCGTTTCGTTTTTGTTGTTGCTCAATCAAAATGTAAAACTTTATAATATTAACAATATTATGTATCATTAATTATATTACTTACATAACATTTTAACAATTTAACTTCTGCAATACTCATATTCCATTGATTTTCCAACATTTGCATGTTTACAGTATAAATATTAGTTGCTTTGAACACATTTATTATAAGAATAATCTAAGTTATAACATTTTTAACTATAAACTATAAAGTTAGATTATATGTGTGTGGTGAATAAATACACATATGTTATTTGTTTTATTTTTTACCTTCTCCAAGAACCTGTTGATGTGGTGGCACTTTTTGACTGTGTCTGTTAGTTTCTTCATATTGAACTATGTACATGCAAGATAATTAGGATACAGTCTAAAAGTTATTTATATAACACACACAACAGTCAAACCTGTTTATTAAGACCTTTGAATAGCATAAACTAACTTAAATTATCTTTTTTTTTGCAAATGGTCCAAGTATGCATCAACCATATAAAAGAAGATTATAAGATGTTTCCATTATTTTATAATTTACAAAATGTATTTATGATTTTGTACATGGAAAGAGTCACAGCAAGGACACACTTGTTTGGATGCAGGGAAAACAAAAGTGATATGTTTGAATAAAAAGGCATTTTTTAAAAAATGCCATTAAATTTTATTAGATGCCATAAAGCATATTAAGCATAAACTTTCCTTCAAAACATACCTGGCTGGTAAATCTGCCACAAAGGGGCAAGGCCCAACCCACCCATATTTATTTGATAGAAGATCACAAGTGATCTTTAATACAGGTTTGACTGTCTTTTAGAATATTATAGCATGGGTCAATCTATGTGACAAACACTTAAGGTAAATAAATTCAACTCAGAATATGGGAATTGATGCTCATCAAGATTGTGTTTAAGACAACTTACTTGTCTTTGAACATGTATGCATATTTGTTTAAATTATTTAATACATAAATCTAAAAGACCATTAATATTTCATGATTTCAGAAATTTAACACAATTTAACAACTGGTATACACATTAAATGTGACATTTATTTCTAAAGGAAAAACACTAAACAAGGGGAACAACTCTATAGTGATCATGCAATACAATCTGCATTAATGGCAGACACACATTTTATGTATAAAGATATATATTCAACATGTTTTATACTTACAGCTGCTGTGTCTTTTCATTCTTTGATGTCCACTGTCACTCTGTAAATAAAGAGAATACATGTAATGTACAATTCATTCATTGCTTGAAAATGCTCTAAATCTAATTAAAACCAGTCTTTCTTGCTTTTGCCCACTATGATTGCGTGTAAGTTGTCAATGAAAAAAAATTACTGCTCACAAGTGATAAAAAATTACTGTTCACAAGTTATAAAAAAAATTATTGTTCATAAGTAATAAAAGGTAAAAAATTCCAGGGTTTGATGTAATACAGTTATAGCTCAAACTTTTTCTCAAATGGATTTCATGTGCTGTGATTTTGCATCAAGCACATAATTTACAAAATGTCTTTTTTAAAACAATAATATTGCTGTATTTGTGTTAGGAACATGCCTGGGGTTATACTTGGAATTATCTCTTTAGTTTTACAGGAGGAAAAAAAAGCAACAAAACCTCCAGCAATCCAGATAGCTTTCTTCATTAAAGATCCAATAGTCCCTGGAGGGATTTGAACTAACCCTAGTGATAGGCCAATGATTCAAAGTCTTACATTGTAAGTTCATGTTGTCTGGCAGAATTTCTGTGATCATAGTTAGTGCCTGAACCCTGCCATTATCATTTTACATATTTAATAGGTAAAAGAATAGAGTAACATACCCTAGAATGTCTGCTATTGTCCTCATCATCACTAGAGGCTGTGGAGATGTCGAGATTCAAACATTTTTCTCCTAGAGCCTGTGTCAGGTTTAAACTTCTTGATACTGCTGCTGTCAGTGAAGAATCTGAGTTATAATCATCTACCCCTGTTTTCAAAATATACAATTAACAATTTATATAGAATTTAAACAAACTAAACAGTGATAATTTCTTCATTTTCCAATTGTATAACAAAGTACCCAATCATATTACCAAACAACTGCAGACTAAGTGAAATTTATTTAGGTTTGGAGGACAGATGGTACAATGTTGTAATATGTTTTTACATCTACATGTATTTAACTAAAACTGTGTTCATTACACTTTTGAAATGTTTTGGTATAATCAACTAATTGGACAAAGTCTACCTGTTAAGGTGAAATTAGTATATTGACAAAAATATATCATGAGAATTCTTTTACAATAAAGTGACGTTAATCCAGTTTCACATGTTGCGATCCATTTCGGATCAAACGATAATAAGTGTTCATTGTCAGATTTTTCATTTTTACCTATAGAAATTATAGACAACAACATGGACCGGTTATGTAAAGAATCTTTTTGGATTCATAAATTAAATACTATGATTCCAAATGGACTAAATAATAAAGTATTGTTTGATTTATAATAGGTTACATGAATATTAATATGTTTGTCTATTATCTTATTTTTATTAACACTGTCTAATAGACATCTGTATCACTGTTGATCCATTTTAATTCATGTACCAGCTTTATTTATAGCATAAATATTTGTTTCTACATGTTATCATAGTTTTGCCGCTAAACGCCATAACGTTTTTCGCGCGTTTAACGCGTGTTAAGTTATGACGTCGCTTCCGGTAATTTTATTATGTTTTGCACTGATGAAGGCATATAGCCGAAACGTTTGCAATTAAATTAAATTACTAAATGTTCGTGTTTGTGTGGCTTGTCTGATTATTTTACAATAAATACATGTTATTTTATAACTTTCTGCAAGATATCAATTTATCTCCCACACTACCAGTCAAGTTCCAGACACCTTTGCACAGAAAAAAAAAGTGGAACCAAAATAATCTAAACTGTCAGACTGAAATACCAGCTGAAAATAAAAAAAAAAACAGAATTTAGATCCCTGTTAATGTCTGTTTAATCTTATAATGGTACAGAATCTAAATTGGCTAATACTGGTTCCACTGTCAATATCATTGCAGGGTAACTTGCAAATTAAAAAGAAATCCAGTGAATCTCTGCGCAATAAACATCAGATATTAATTAAGTCTCACCTCTATGATGATTCTGTAAACTGTTTAGGTATGGATGAACCATGGGGGCTACATCAGGGGGTATAATGTTGTTGTTGTCTTTTACCGTACCACCAGACAGTCGCAATCTAAATATATATGTATACATTCACGAAATTAATCATCAAGATATATATTATAAGTATACATTAACGAGAAATATTCTTCTAATCTGAAAGAGAAGAAAGCATATTATCTTATCATTTAATTAAAATTCTAAAAAATGACCTTGTACCGTATCATCTACACTATACTGTAAGCAGTATTAAAGTAAAAGGGTTCATTCACTTCAAAATTGTTATAATTAACTCAGTATAATTCTTACTTTCAAGTTTGAAATGAATCTCTAAATATTAAAAAGTGTGTTCTAATACATAATAATATATAATATTATATCACAACTGAATGAATATGCTGTACAGTTGTTCTGCTAATATAGCCAACTAGTGATGATTTCTGCAAAAAAATATTCTTGAAGAATTACTCACACACCTTGCTGCCACAACATTTTTATTGGTTAACAAGAATCAGACTGACTTTGCATACAAACAATTATTTTCAACATATGCAGAACATATAACTCAAACATATCAGAGTTTTATTTGGTTGGCACCTATAAGTCTTAGATAAATATTTTGGAATGGAGAAATTTGGTAGGTTACCTGATCTGGTCATTAATAGCTCCAGATTGCTCTAGCTCATCCAGGAGCATGTCTTTATCTGATTGATAGGTGTCTAGTTTATCCTGCAAGCTTTTCTGTGTATCAGATACTTCTTGCAGACGGCCACTCAAACTTTTAACTTCATTCTGAAAGTTTGTAATCAAATCCTGAAGAGCATTTTGTTTAAACAAAGAGCAAAGCTATAGTCAATGACATAAAAATGCACCCACCCATAGCACACAGGGCAGCATAGAATATGTCATGTCAATGCACGGCCAGGTCAAAGCACTGTTTGTGTGTTTGGGGGTGGGGGTGGGGGGAGGTACTATCAAACATCTCCATATAGCAGGGATAAATGTTACTGTCCCTTGCAGGGAGGAACTTTTTCCAGAATTTTCCAGAATTTGGTAATCTCAAAGTCCCTGTTATTCATAGATGGTTGGGTGTGAACCACACTTGTGTTACAATTATTGCAAAGTAAATGAGTAAGTACAGTAATATACTTGTAGGTACATGTTGTGTAGTTACCTTGTCAACTAGAATGTAGTGTAACAGAATTTAGCTGTTAATTGTTTACAATTTCTGCTCAAATCACATGACACAAAGTGTAAGCAGTATTCAAAGACAAGAGATCCTCAATTAAACTGTCACGTAGGACATAACTATTTTAATTTTAACAACATCATTTTAACACTTATTGGTAACATAACTGTCTGTCAAACACTCATTGTTTTGTAACTGATCTGACTTACAATAAACAAAACATGTAATTTTGTGTTCAACAATATAAAACATTGTTCATTAAGTGCAAAACATGAAAACTAAGTTTCAAAAAAATAGAAGAATATTCTATGAACACAATTTTCTGATTAGAAAAAAGCCCAGACAATTTTAAGAGCACATTACAACATTGTAGTTAAAAATGGGACTCCCTTGACCAAACATAAGATTTTAAGTTATTACATAGATCAACTGGAGCACTTAAAACAGAAAGATGTGGAAAAGATAATTAAAATATATACTCAGAAATAAATTGAAACTCATATTTGTGAATGTTTCAAAGCTTTCACATTTCACATTTTTCAAAATTAGAATAATCAGTCTGGAAAAGAGCGAGTGATCTGAAAGTTTTCACACAGGTGATAGGTCTAGACCTACATCAAACGGGAAATTAATCTTGAAAAAATATTTCCAGTCCAGTCATATTAAAAAAATCTCATGTACATGTAGTTACATTAGTTATCTATGGAATCTTGATTTTGTTAGTTTCACAAAGAAAAGCAACATCAGCTATTTCTAATCTGTAGCAAATTATAGAATGCAAGGTTAACATTGTTCTTGTCAAAGATTACTGTAAACAATAGATCTGCTAATGTAATTTCTTGGAAAAGTTTACAGGAACGTGCATAAACAGTAAAAAAATCTTGACAATAACTTGGCATGTTTCTTTACTGCTAAGCAAAAATTTTTCATTTCCTTTACGTAAAAGATTTTTCATTTCACATTTCCTTTATGTTTCCAAGGTGCAGCTTCCTGGCCTGTGTACATGGTGAGAAAGATTTTAATTTTTTATGTTTGAATGAAAATTTTACAGGTAATATTATTGTGTGTGCAGGTGTGCATGCATGTGTTCCTTCCAGATCTTTTATAATATATAACACATTGTTCAATTTGTTAATTATTTGACATGTTCAGGTTTTCTATATCTTTTTTTATATGATACAGAAGTTCTTGAAACTATTTAAGGCAGTTCCAAATTGGAAAAAATAATAATAATGATTATCATGATAACAAATCATGGAATTTTTTTTTCAGACATAAAAAATACTGCACCAAAAATTAGATGAATTCGTTTCCACATGTTGTTTTTTCCTAAAGTCAACAATACCATTGTATGATAATCTTAATGTCACATGACAATAATAAGATAACATAATATCGTAGTGACAATCAACATATTACCTTGTTTAAACATTTTGTAACCTTAATGTTAAACAACCTTGTTCACCTGTTTAAACAACCCTTAAAAAAGAATCACAGTGTTCAAGAATTCACCTTATTACATTTAATTCTAACACTTTTTGTCCTGCAATAAACTCTGCATTGGGCTCCTAGTTTTAATAAGTCTTCTTTACAATTTATTTCATTATAATCAGGTGTGATGTAATTTAGTGAGACAATATATCTAGCAGATGGTATAAAACTTATAAAACATGCTTTCAAAGATCAGCATGCTTGGCAAACTTTCAGAGTTAAACTACAGAAAAGAAATGTTATAAACTGCACTTTTATTGTAGAAACATCTTTAGAAGTATTAGCTGTTACATTCTGGGAGCCTCAATCATTTAATGTCCCATAATGCACTGTCTGGCATTCTAAAAACAGGCTCATAAACTATAGCATCTGAAGTTGATTTATTACAAGGGGAAAAAGTTCCGAAAACATATATTTAGGATTTATTTTTCATTATTTGACTGATGTAAGTTCATTATTTCATTGGTACAAGTCTAATTTATAAGTTGATCTGAAACTGATTATCTTACAAATAATGTTTTAGTTGCTGTATACAAATATGGTTTGTACAGTGGTTTATATAGCTCACAAACATACAGGACAGATACCAGTCAATCAACAAAGATTGAGTCCAGAAGAAAGCAGTTGTGGGTAACAGACTTTCATGTAATTTTGTTATGATTTATGCTTCTGAGGGAGAATTTCATACACTCTAATGGCCAACCTTATATGAATGTTTTCTCTTGATATTTTTTCCTATTTAAGACTCTAGTGCCATAAGTGAAAGCATAGGAAGACACACAAAATCAGTTTTTATGTAACAGATTTTTCAATACCAAGAACATCTTGTCATATACTGGGATCCTTCGTATTTACCAGACAATCAGTTTACTGGACAAAATATATTCCTGTATAATAAGACTTTATTTTTTGCTTCGAATAAAAAATCATCTGGTCTGAATCGTACACACACTTTCTATTTCAAAGTAAATAACAACAAAACCATTCTTAGGTAAATATTGTTGATTCAGTTCTTTATTTACTAACATACCCTTTTGTTTATGCTGATACTTTTGTTTGTCAATTGTAATAATGACAGGTAAAATTGTTATTCTAAATTATCATTAAAGAATTGAAATGGCAAACATCTTACTCTGAGTTCTTCTACAACTTGTTTCATAGCAACAATCTCCTCACTGCAATGTTTCTTGCTGTCAACTAGTTGTTGTTGTAGTGTCTGATCACCGTACTGAATCTTGGACAGTTCTTCCATGGCATTTGCGAACCCTGTCTTCATCTCCATCACCATCTGCTGTACCTGTTTATATACAATGACAATTGTCAAATGATTATTAAACTGTAGTGTCATACCTTTATGGTTTCTGTCAAATATTAACCTCTGCTGGCAGCGACTGAATCTACAAATGATACCAGTGCAGACCATAACCAGCCAGCACAAATAACCAGCACATAAAACCAGCACATATGTGCCACCTGATCAAGATATGTACTGATTGCTATACGGTCAGTACTTATTTTTAAAAGTTCCCTAAAAAGATGAATAGATTTTTCAAGATTGAAAGATGGACCAGTTCATTTTAGATATTAAGTGTAGTAAGGGTTAACGAATACAGACTTAAATTGATTGATTGGTCATATTTATAACAGAGAGTTAGAATAAATAAAAAAAAATAGCAAAGGAACCCCACTTAGATTCAAAAGTATACAAACATAAAATTGAAATTCTTATCAAATGGTGCTCTTTAAATGGGTGAATATGAAAATATTATATAGAAATATTTTCAGAATTAGGATGAAAATCCTCAGTGGAATCCTTTTAAAAATTTGAAATTTGCCCCAGCATGTATGTACAAAATGTAGGAATAATATATATGAAAAGGAGAAAACAGATATCTTCAAGCCAACTGGTCTGAACATTTATTCTAAAATAAGTGCCTATAATGTGTAAATATTGTTTAACTTTGTATGTTTTAGTAATTTATTTAATGGTATGCACTTCAAAAACCCTGTATGTCTACTTTGTAGATTCTCTTTGATTGTTTAAAGATGACTAAAGCTGTTTGTGATCTTGTGTTTTTGAAATACTTTAAGTAGAAACATACCAATTTAATTATAAAGAAATATGGTAGCTAGTTTAAGAAATATTTCTATCATTATTTATACTGTATCTTAGTGGGATACATGTAAATTCACTGAAATAAAATCTGAAGGCCTTGTCAGTCATAGTTCATTCTTTAGCTTTATTAAATGATCAAAGGTCTTGCTAAGTTAGATTACCTATGACCTTATCATTCTTTATATATCTTGGCCTGTTTTTAATACAGCATTGTTATAATAATATACTTGTATCAGATTGTATGACAACTACTACATTAATGTCAATATTTTAGATAGGTTAACAATATATAATCAGTGTACAATATAATCATTTGAGCCGCGTCACGACAAAACCAACATAATGGGTTTGCGACCAGCATTGATCCAGACCAGCCTGCGCATCCGCGCAGTCTGATCAGGATCCATGCTGTTCGCTTACAAACCCTATTACAAGTAGAGAAACTGATAGCGAACAGCATGGATCCTGATCAGACTGCGCAGATGCGCAGGCTGGTCTGGATCCATGCTGGTCGCAAACCCACTATGTTGGTTTTGTCGTGACGCGGCTCATTTATATTTCAACACCTGATACCAATTTACAGATAAGAATGACAAACTTGTGTACTCCTTTAAAACTTGAACAGAGATTAACCATTACTATGCTAAACATCTTAAATGGACTTATCCTTCTAATGATTTTTGAATCTGGACAAAACTATTTATCATTTTTAGAGAAAATTTCAAAATATTTACTGACTGAATAAGGAACAGTGCAGACCATGAACAGACAGGACAGATGTTGGTCTGCACAGGTCACATGACAAGAGTCAGTTGTTGCCAGCAAGCTAAGAGTTAAGTGATGCATCAGAATTCTATCATCAATGGCAGCCCATTAACTGCATCATGGGCACTCAGATATATCAGGATAATTGTCAGCTTATGATAAAACTTTTGACAAGCTCTCTGAGGATGAGAGTAAGGTATTAACATAGGAATCATAAGTTTTCTGACAAGTTGATAAATGGTAGCATAATCTGTGAACACAATGTTTTCTACCATTAACTTCATTCACTTTATCCATCTATAAAAAACGTTAAATACTTTCTTAGAAGTTGTTATAATCATTAAATCAATGGTAAAGATAGTTAAAATATATCACTTTCCTTCTTTTTTTTGTAGATGAATTTCTACAGTGTACTTTGAACAATTAGGTATTGAAAGTTGAGATTTCTTGTGATTATTAAAGGAACATACAATAATATAATATAATAAGAACAGTTATTGAAAAGGAATAAAAAAAACCCAAAACAATGACAACTGATCAGTTTTTCTTCCCTTATTACATATTTATGCTTCATGTAGTCAAAATTCTGAGGAAGTCAAACATGATTTATGTTTGTATATTGAAGAGGCTATTTTATATTTAAATGTATAAGACATGTTGGAGCAACTTAACTGAACAAAGTTATTGGCTGCGTTTACAACAAACCATTTTATATAACCTTTTTAAAACATACATATATAATTAAAACATGAATCTCAAGTGATAGAAATAAAAAGTATAATTGTTAGACATTACCTGCCCAGAAATTGAAACTTCCCCAGACATTATTTCAACTATCTTTATTTCCTTGAACAAAAAAACTCTTTCAAAGAGTCCGTCTTTACTTAGGTATATTATCGAAGAATTAAATCTATCAGGGTTTTTTTTTAATAAGCAATGAACACATTCATGTATTACATGGTCCTTTAAAGATTATTACACATTAAGATGTTTACATATTTAAAATGTGTCAACATAACAGTCCTTTGAGCTTGGACGTCTCCGTCGCTTGTTATTTACAGAAATATATCCTGACCATAATCACACATGTCAGAGTAAATTTGTTCATAATTCTTGTCTAAAACAACATTTTTCATCAAAGTTTACTTTTCAAATTAAACACAAATATACTAAATCCTTTCACAAATCTTTGGTTCAATTTAGACTGAAAAATTTTTAAGCTCTGATTAAAATTTTTACAAAGATGAAAAGATATATCCCCCATTCATCCTTGTATAAAAAAACACAAAAATAGAATAGTATAGTATAAAAACACAAAATGTACAGTATATAAATGGTAATTAATTGACAACAGTCCTTAAATTCCAAAACTTGTTTCAAAACTTTTTTCTTTAATGAGTTTAGAAAGAAAAACAACAAAATATATTCATTCAAAAGACAAAAGGGCATCTAAAAATTGTTTGAAAATAAGTAATATGACCTTTGTTTTTTTATTTTTGACCAACTAGGCATGTGACTAATTAGGAACAAATGCCAAATATTTCACCCAGCTTATCATGCCAATGGTGGCTTACTTATAGATCTTTTTGCTGTTAAGTTTTTTGTTTAACAAATCAGAGTGAAATCAAATATCTAGTGAAATTTACAATTTCAAAGAGTTCAGGTTTGAACCTTATAAATATTATGATTTATAAGTTCTGAGGCATAAATATTACTTTTCAACTATTGAATTTCAAACACAAAAAAACCTTTTTGATTAAATAGAATTAAAAGATTAAACTTCTTATGACAAGATCTAAATACATTTAACGTTTAACTTAGACTTAAGAGATTAAAATTTGATTGATTTTCCACCTTTTGCTTTATTATCATAAAAGCATGGATGGAATAGACAAAAATATAGATTCAATTTCAATTTAAATATTTAAAGGCAGAAAATCACTCTTCAATTATAGAAATTAAAAGAAGAATTTGGCAGATTCACAGACAAACCATAAATGAAATTCATTTGAAACAGGTATATGAATGCAGCAACACATATTTTCCTATCATCCATAAATAAAATATAAAAAAATTTGGTCATCTGCATATTGAAAAGTAAAAAACAGATTCAGTTTTCATGTCAAACCATTCACTTTAAGAAGCAGCATCTATCTTCAGGTCATAGTAAGCAAAATTCTGAGCATCCAAAGTAACCTAGGGTGCCGCTTTAGTCAGCACTAAGACATAAATATCATTGCTGAACTGCACAAGCATGGCAACATCTTGGCATTAATGCTGTTGGGGGTAATTGTCCTGCCAGGTACTATTTGTAGGCTCCATCTCCCACAACCCGCTCTCCCAACCCCTGTTACATTGTGGTTTAACTAAATTTAATGGCCATTAAGGTTGATTTTGAAAAACAAACAAAATAGATACCAAAAAAACACTGCAGAAAGGTTACAAATTACTTACTAAAGAAAGCTGATCAGCAAGATCACCGGGTTCCATTGTATCTAAAATAAACAAAAAACATATACATGTATATAATAAATAATAAAATATCAAAACAATATCATTAAGTTATTCTCTGGTATAAAGTAGTTATGCAGATAAATTAACTGAGCTTCAATAGGTATTGTACATTTCTCTAAATTAAATATATTTTAGGGTTTTTTAAGTTTATGGAGTTATGACAATTTTGTATAAACCCCTACAATATTGACCTACCTGCTTAATTAATTTGAAATTAGAAGTTTGCAATTTGTAGTGCAGTTTTTGTGTCATTGTTTACATAAGACCAAATACCAACATAGCTGTGTTAATGACCGATAGTATTTAAATGGTAAAGATCATTAGAATTCAAATTACCTTAAATGTCAATTTGAATATCATTTAAAATTCAATACCATTGCAATCAAAGGATTTTTCATGACATCAGTCCTGATACATACAAATCATTCATACATAAAAACACCTTATATCTATAAAATATCAATTGCTTTTTTTGTTGAGAAGAAATGTCTGATAAAAATGCTAATGATATATATCATGATATTTGAAAAGAGAAAAAAATGTATCTTTTAAATATCAAATTTAGATAGTTTTTTTTATTCACTTATGCACAGGTTTGTTGATCATCAAAGACTAAATGATTGATTAAGTAAGCGACAGTATTTTGTAAAATCTGATTAAATATCTTGCAAGGCTATCTCCAGTCTACTAGACAAATATTTAGAGTCAGTAAAAGAATGACACTTTAAAATTTATCTACTTAACAAGGACTTTTTATGGCGATATATCAGGGTTACCAGCAAGGTTAGACAAACACGAGGAGATGATCATCGATGACTTGTATATGTTATTACAGTGAAGATGACAGCAAAATAGGTGACAAACTATCTTGTTTGTCATAAAAACATGAAAGTTCAATTGTAATGACATTCGTGATCAGAAATATCAAAATAAATTTGAATACATTCAAACAAATCATTTTAACATGTTCAGGAACAATTTCCTTTATTACCCTGTATCACTGTTAATATATGAGACAGATTAAATGTCTGTTCTATTGTTACTATTCTGATATTGGTTTCAATGAATTTCAACCTAAATCTTCTTTCATGAAAGAAAATATTAATAGTATAACATTTTTCTATTATGTACATGTCTAATTCTACACCCTGAATTCCATGAACAGGGTATAAATGTTCAAATAAATATGAGAAATTTCAAATATATGTGCCACTGTTAGAAATTTATTCAGAATATTCGTCTTGAAGTTAGATGTATTCCATATTATGGAGAAACATCAATGTTCTTTTTATTTCAGGGTGTGTTTCAAGACAGTATAATGTTTTGCAATGAATACTAATATATATACTAGTAATACTATACAGTGAGTGATAAACATCATATCTCACTGATGAATAATTAGTTTACAATACATATACATATCAAAGTATAAGTAGGTAAAAATAATTAAAAAAAAATGGAAACATCAATTTCTTGAAAATTTATTTCTATTTTGTATATGAATATTTCTTGTCTCAGAGTGCATGACAGTATGATTTTATCAAACAAAATTTTAGTTGGATAAGAAAGTTCAAGCATTTATTTAATGAAATATGTACCATAAAACTTCATTAACACTGTCATTACAGGGGTATATCAGATGTATTGTGAAGCCAGGGAGTTAAGTACACAACAGATCAATCAAGTTTCATGACAATCTGCAAGTAGCCAAGCACTATCTGCCAATATAAATACCACTTTAATTGACAAAACTGACCACACTCATTGATTTCAGCTTTGATTTTAATGAGAAAACAGCCCAGTAAAGGTGAAGTCTGGTTGAATAAATAAAGGATATATCCTCTTATTGAGAGTGCTGATTGGTCCTGATTGATGAAATTTTTTCATTAATTCATTATAATTGATTCATACTTAGGATGAAAAACGATTTAAACTAAATTTGGGTATTTTATAGCACAGTTTTATAGTGTAATGTTATGCCACAACACTGACAACAGGAATAGAAATGTTAAGTAAGAATCTCATAATGGTAGAAGTATGATGTGAGTGATCAAAAAGTCACATCATGACATGACAATGTAAGAGGATATGCAAATAATTAAACTTGACCATAACATTTTTATTATAATTCAAATGTTGACCATTATGACTATACTGATAATGGACCTGTAGAGTAATTTACAGTGCTTAAGAAAGAACAAAGGTCATTAAACAAAACTCAAACTGTACCACACCCAAAATATTACTCTACTACTTATCTTTAAGATTGAAAAACTATTCAAATTCCTAAAATAAAATTAAATTTCTCACACTTTTTAAGTAGTATACATTCAAATATATCCCCTCCCTGATGAAGAATGTACAAAATACATCTCCTAAAGTGAAGAGCACTCTTCCTCAATAGATTAATACTTGCAGATAAAACTTGATAAAATGAATGATTCTAAACATTATCTTAATTCATAAAATCAAAATCATCATACCTGGTGAAGTTACACACATTAAAACTTATACAAGATCCGAAATTTACACAAAAAATACACAAAGAAAAGGGCAAATAATTATTCTTAATCTGCTGAGCATCAATAGACACTTCTTCAACAACATCGAAACAAACCGAAACAAACAAAAACAAAGAACACTTAAAAAATATACGAAAAAAAATGGTGAAAATATTCCAACCTTTATCAAACTGGAGTAAAGTACATAGCTATCTCCAGGCCACCTCCTGAGTTTTTACTGATATGATTTTCCTCATTCTATCATTGCCTTCACGATTAAGCCAAAATCAAATAAAATCTTTATCATAATTGTATTTCAGTTTTATTACTAGGCTATCTTCCATTACATGCAAAACTGGACTGTTTTCTTTATCAATTAGGCTTACTTCATCTTAGCATCAATGATAATTAATCTGTATCAAGTTGTTTTTATCTGACCACTGGTCATTTTGACCAATACTAAATCTTTTTACAACAAAACTGAATAATGTGTTTTCTGAATTCATGTTAACTTTTTATTTTGACATGAGAAATCTTAACAGATTCATGCTAATTTTCATGAAAATTTTAAAATGTATGTAAAAGTAAAATATTGTGAAGGGAACAAAAAAGGTAATTTACACATTGCAGTTGGTGCTTATAATTCACGTAAATTACCAAAAAAAAAAGGTCAAAATATGCAAAAATTACCCTTACTACATTTAAGTCACATAGTAGAAATATAGTGATAAATACTGCAAAATCAGTCATTAATCGCATACAATATGTAAATTGTTACTTGAATCTTGAATCGTTTTACTTTTCTTAAAATCTTAGAACAATTTTCTTAAGTTTGATTTCCTTGAAATAATTTGGCTCATCTGATGGCATGCAGCTTTAAGCTATTCATTATTTGAAGTTGTGAAAGTAAGCTTATGTTGTTTTTCTTTTAAAGGAATAATAATTATATTAAACATACCATGACATCCTTTAATCCAATGCCTTCATTAGCAACGAAAAAAGTAAAAATTTCCATAACATTACATTATATTGTTACATATTTACAAACTTATAAAAGGCAACTTTCAATTTTGATAAAAAATCACAAAGCCAGTCTACACTCTTCAATAGATCACAGTCTGTTATCAATTGTTACAGTTTTTAAGAGGATAAAAAAAACTGTCAGACAAGGTAAATATAATCAATCAAAGTTTATGCCCAATTAATTAGGATTTATTTCATGTTGACAACTGACCAGTTTCTTTGATATGTCAGAATGTAACCAATTGTTTCAGTTGTAACATCATGTTCTACTCTTCTTACATCCTAGATAAGATATTCTAGGTCAGAAAAACAATGATCCCGAGGCCACTAAGGGCACAGAAAAGATGAAGACACATATAAAAGAAACAGATGATGTAAGTTAAGTATATTGTCTTATTATAATTGGAATAAAAACAAAACTACATGTATCATATATTGAAGATTCTATGGATCCATGTACGAATCCCAAACATTTAAGCCGCACCATGACAAAACCAACATAATGGGTTTGCGACCAGCATGGATCCAGACCAGCCTGCGCATCCGCGCAGTCTGATCAGGATCCATGCTGTTCCCTATCAGTTTCTCTACTTGTTATAGGGTTTGTAAGCGAACAGCATGGATCCTGATCAGACTGCGCGGATGCGCAGGCTGGTCTGGATCCATGCTGGTCGCAAACACATTATGTTGGTTTTGTTGTGACGCGGCTCATTTGTTGTTGTTACCTTGCTAATTTTCTGTTTAAAGGACTAATTGTTTTTCTTTGAATTTTCCAATTGTCCATTTATATAATCTCTATCATTAATATAAACTTTATATCATAATACATGTACTATAACTTATAGCAGTCAGCAGGGCAAGCTATTGTTGGCAGAAGCCATATCATCTACAATAAGAAGTCAAAAGAATTCTAAGAAAAGGAAAGAAAACATTATTTAAGACATGTCAAACTAGATTGTTTATACATGTATAAAGAAAGTATTAACTTTGTCTTAGGATTTATAGATATGGATGCATGTTAAGTATTTGGTTTAATGTAAGTCACAATATTTCAGTTGGTGATAAGTTATGACTCCTAATTTGGTCCAATAGTAAGATAAGAACTTAACTTGAAACACCCTAAAAACTCTAGTATATTATACTTCATCTGTTATACATGTTCATATATCCTCATCATTATATATGTTACCATTCATATATCATCATCAACATTTATACACAAAAACTGTAGTCATTTATCATACCAGTAACTTATAACCATACTGCCTATAATTGCCTTATTATTGAACCATTAGTGAGTTTTGTGCACTTGCCTAAAATATCACCAAGGGAACATTTACCATAACTCACCAAACATTTATCATACCACAAATATCAACCTATGATTTATCATACATTAACACTTTTTTCCATTAGTCTTTCTATTTCCCCTACTAATGCTTTTCCTACTTATATGATCTGACATTTTTCCGCCCTGTATATTACAATGAATATATGCATATAATTATCGTTTGGAATGATTCTTTTCTATAACTCTAAATACCAGTGGCATTAATGACTATAATGATGAATGCGAAGATTACCCAGACTCACAGGGACACTGTGTTGGGATTTTGTAAAAAGTAATTCTAGAAAAAAATATATACTGTATATATATAATATATATAGTCTATTCATTATAATATACAGTATACATTTTTTTCTAGAATTACTTTTTACACTATTATCCAAACACTGTGTCAAGTCCCTGTACCCTGGCTTTGTGCTAGTGGTATATAACAGACTAAATCATATAAAGTCATTAACCTTCCCTATGTTTTACTCTTTTTCACCTTTTTGTTTAACAAACTTTGACATAGTGTTACTGAATTCATTAGTACCATGTGTACCAAGTTACAACTTCACACAAAAGTATCAGAGGGGAGAAAATGAATAATTTGCATACAAAAAAAACAACAACATTTGTTTAAAATACATTGTACTTAAAAAATCTATGGAAAATCATCACGCAGAATTTTAACTATGAAAATGTTTACATTATTGATTTGAATGTTATTCTGATTCTGGTGTATTTTGTTTTTTACGTTTTCTTTATTATGCTAATTCCAGCATTTGCTTTTAAGTTTCATGCTGAAAATTTCTCATTTCTGGCACTATATACAACACAAAACTTCTCGGCATATGGTTTATACATCAGAAAATTATTCTAAATATATCAATGGTAGATACCTTGAGAAAACTGAACACATTCCAAGTTTCTATCATAAAAACAGGCGTATTCTGACGTAATGTGCTTAAAATTAGTTTGAGTTATATAAACGTAGAATAATCTTGTCTAGAAATGTTTATGAGGATAATGTTCCCAAATTTTTTAAATTTTGGTAACTGAAAATCAGTTTGAACAATTTTTTTTTTGGAAAAAAAGTGAAACCATACATTTCAATAATCTCTTTGTGAAAAATCAAATAACTGATTAATATACTTGTAAAGGTCTGTTTATTTCAAAAAGTGTGTACATTCTTTGTTTAATTAATAAAGTTTTGAAAAATTTAATGATTTTCAGGTGAGATTATGTTCAACAAATGTAAAAGCTTAAAATAAATGAAAATATAAAAAAGAATGAATAGTCAAAATTAATAAAAACTTTTAACCGAGTCAATTAATATTCTTAAATTCATTCATTTATTTATTCTCATTCATTCATTTATTCATTCATTCATCCATTTAAAAACAATTTCCTTTTTCACAAGGATTTTTCTTTAATATTTTACAGAAATCAATTTTTACCTCTTTCTGTCCTAATCACATGTGCACAATATTAAAATTAGGTAATAAAAATTAAAAGGTCAGGAAAATATATTTGAGTATTTCAGAAATATCGCTTTTGATATATTACCTTATACAACAATGTAACTATAATTCTATAACTTACCTGTACTTTTCAAGGAGCAGAAGCTGGTATCAAAGTCAAAATGGTCAAAGGAGCATGTGGAAGCAGAATCCATACTGGAAGTTGGAGACCCGGGGGGCGTATCTGCTATATGTAACCCTTGTTTATACTCAGATCCATTTGCTTCATCCTTGTCATTTAATTCATCTAATTTCGAAAACAGCTCCTGAAGGTTAATTCCAGTGGTTTCATTTATATCATTGATCTCCTGTTCTCCAAGTGCACAGTTATTTCTCGAGAATTTAACTGAAGATTTTGCACTTTGAATCTGTTTTCTTTCATCTATAATGCCATTGGCAGTTTTGTGAGATTTTGTATCTCCGTCGGAAATGTCTACATGTCCGTCTGTTGAATCCTTGCTCTCATCTCTCGTAGATTTTGGAGTCGTATTTGTGGTGTCTAAATCGTCAAAATCTCCCAAGTCTCCAGGTGTCGGTGTTTTGTCTCTTTCTTCCTCAGCTAATATTTCCTCACACCGTTCACAAGGTTTCACTAGTCTGCAAATACACCAAACTTCATATGAATTATTTTTGATAACCCTACAACTTCTACCACAGTCATATTTGCCTGGTTTCTTACTTATCTCTTTGTCCTTCCCATTGTTTCTCTTAGTCTGATCTATGAACCTAGAGTTTAATCTTTTCTCCAATGAACCCAAATTAGCTGAATTAAGAACATCACCATTCCTTTGTTTATAACTAGTATTTTTATTACTCCCCGCAAAGGTTTTCCCCATTATTTTCTCAACAGTCTTACTCCAGATATGCAGAAAGTCAGTAAATAAACAAATTTAATTACTGTCGGTCTTTTAAGAAACTAACAGTACTCCAGAATGTATATATTTTCCTGGAATATTTTTCTCATTACCTCTATCATTCGCAGCTGTTTCTATACTAACAGAGCCCAAAGCTTGCACAGAAATGCAGGTAAGTACAGACCATTTACAAAATTCCTGCCGAGAATATAGAGAAAACAGCAAGCCTGATTCCTATCACTTTGGCAGAAAATAACTCTAGCCTTATCCTTAGAGAAAAATCAAACAAAAACTTTCCTGAGTTATTTTTTGTATGTTTATCTTACACTTATATACAGTAATTCATATAATATCTTATAAAATCACAAGAAAACATCAACAGGACTTTGACAGAAAGAATTCCAGATTTCTTTTTTTTCCAGTATTTGAATAAAACTCATAAAAAGTGTCTTAACATCCCATGAGAGTGATGTTTTTCTGAACTTCTGAAGTGCTTTATTCTCTCAGCATGGAATATATATATATTTATAATATATATACCTGGTAGTTGAGAGTAAAAACATTTTCAGCACAGTGATAATCCGAGTAAATTGGGATATAAAACATGTGAGGCAGTATAAATCCACGCCTGTCAGAATGGCTACCTATTGTATACTTACAAGACAAGTTTTGTGTTATTTCCACCCATAACTGAATACAAACATTATAATTATCTCCCCCCACCTGCCTCTTGAACATGTAACCTTTGCCCAATTAACAATTCCCTTTGTAAATTTGAAACAGAAATGATCTGGAGCTGAATGATGTAAACAAGATATTCATGTTTTCAACAGAAACTGTATATTTAACAGACAGATCTAATATACGTCTACTAGTAACAAGGGACACACTTACATGTGTGGGAATTTAGCAATAAAATCTATCCAGTAACTTTTACATTCCAGTACAATGTATATGATTAAGGAGAATTTTCTCACTTGAGCCGTATTAGTCTCAGAAATAAGCGCTGGTCATGTATCAAAGGTGGTCTTTTAAAAGAAGCTTTACTGAATTTTAACCTTTTCTGTACAACTGATTGATATATGAGGATTTGGTCAGGTGTTTTTTGTTTTTGTTTTTTTTTCCAAGAAAAATATATTATCAACATTTATTAACATTCTGTTGAACTTTAAAGACCTTAAAAATATACTACATGTAGTATTTCATGTGAAAATAATTTTGCTTAATAATTGAATAAAAAAAATCCTCCTGTTTTAGATATTCTACAAAAATCAACATTACTATATTATGTATATGTTGGAAATAAAAGATCTCCTGGTTTGTTATACAAATGTAAATAATATAAACATTGAAAAAGAAAATCTTTTTGCAAAATCTTGGACTGACCAAGAATAATAAATTCACACAGATATATTTGATATCTATTTATAAACCAAAACATTCTTATAGCATATGCTATTGAAAGAATAAAAAATGTGAAATATTAATGAACAGGTCAATATTCTAGAAAGGTAAATTCAACAGAATATGAACTAGATCATTTAATGGAAATACCCTGTTTGATATGGATATTTCAACCGATAATACAAAAACAAATTTAAAAAACTTGATCAGAGGCCCATTCTCTGTTAGACATGCATCATTGTTCTCCCTTATTTTATTATTTTGTCTCCCAGATAATATAAATATAATCTGTTGATGATGATAATAATTTATTCTCACATCTGTTACCTTAATAAACCATCAATCAGTCTGCCACATAACTTTTCTTTCTGTATATGAGTCATTCTAAACAAATAGTTTCATATTGAATACACTACAAGATAAAATTGAGCACTTTTTTCTGCTCATCCCAATATTCCAGTGATACAGTATGTTTATACCATTAAAGATACAGCTACCGGTATGCACATACCATTAAATATACTGCCATGTTCATACCATTCTGCTATGTTCATACCATTAAATATACTGCAATGTTCATACCATTAAATATGCTGTCATGTTCATACAATTAAATATGATGCTATGTTTATGCCTTTAATATACAGATATGCGCAAACTATTAAATATACTGCCAATTGTTCACCATTAAATAAGATACTATGTTCACCATTAAATATGATACTATGTTCATACATTAATTATGATACTATGTTCATCATTAATTAATGGTCATACTATTAGATGTTCATACCATTAAATATGCTGCTATGTTCATACCATTAAATATGCTGCTATGTTTCATACCATTAAATATGCTGCTATGTTCATACCATTAAATATGCTGCTATGTTCATACCATTAAATATGCTGCTATGTTCATACCATTAAATATGCTGCTATGTTCATACCATTAAATATGATACTATGTTCATACCATTAAATATGATACTATGTTCATCATTAATTAATGGTCATACTATTAGATGTTCATACCATTAAATATGATGCTATGTTCATACCATTCTGCTATGTTCATACCATTAAATATAATGCTATGTTCATACCATTAAATATGCTGCTATGTTCATACCATTAAATATGCTGCTATGTTCATACCATTAAATATGCTGCTATGTTCATACCATTAAATATGCTGCTATGTTCATACCATTAAATATAATGCTATGTTCATACCATTAAATATGCTGCTATGTTCATACCATTAAATATGATACTATGTTCATACCATTAAATATGATACTATGTTCATACCATTAAATAAGATACTATGTTCACCATTAAATAAGATACTATGTTCACCATTAAATATGATACTATGTTCATCATTAAATAATGGTCATACTATTAAATGTTCATACCATTAAATATGCTGCCATGTTCATATCATTAAATATGATGCTATGTTTATGCCATTTAATATACAACTATGCTCAAACTATTAAATACTTGCCAATTGTTATTACCATTACATATACCAAATGAAATAAAAATGAACACAAATAAAACATTCCTAGACTTCAAATAAAGAAGAAAGACAAATACAAAATGTATATACCTTGCTTACAGTGCAATATCTTTTATAACCTGGCATGAAGACTGTCCTAGATATTTTCTCTTGTTGTATATATCACAATTTAAGATCCACTTTGACAGTACAAGTTTCTTCAAGACTACTTTCAGTTTCTACAAACAAAAATTCACTTGTTTAAAATTAAATGTTCAAAAACCACAAACATTGAACATAAATTTACCTATTTAAATCAGTCACGTCTTTAATCCAATAAATCAATTTTCACAATAAAACCACTATATTTTATATATGAATTATAACTTAAACCTCCACAAAAATTATTAAATTAAAAATTGATTTAACAAACACTTGTTTCAAATGTTTCAACAAACAGTAGAAGATAATTATAGGGTAGCATTGCAAAATGGTAAAATATAAATCCTTAAGTGTTTCATAAATTTTCAAACAGTATATATTTAGTGTAGAGAAACTTTATCAAAGCCCATCTATATAAATAAAATGTATTGATTGGTGAAATGAAGTCATATATTTCCTACTGTAAACTTGATAAAAGTTTGTCACAGAATAAAATTGACAATCTAATACCTACTTGTAAAAAGTCAATATGATTGTATCGACCATGTAGATGGCAAATAAATAAGGCCACCATTTTACAGTTCATTTTATTTCATTTAGACAGGAAACATTTCTGGACATCTGACAATTTTTACGAAAAGATCTAATAAATTTGATGAAACATAATTTCGCTCTTATATTTTCAACCATAAAAAAAAACATCAAGCAGATGCAAAGTGGACAATGAAACAAAACCTGCGTATTTTCAAGTGAAAACTTAAGTTTGATGTTATTTATCAAAAGTTCATTTTTACCATGTTGTGAATAGGTAAGAAAACGTTCACTTTCTGTAGAGATATATACTTTTTAGCTGATAATAATACAATACAATACAATACAATACAATACAATATCTTTATTGCTGATTATAATCAAGCTGAATGAATGTTACTATAAATAACTATTTTTTTAGGTCCCTTTTTTTTCAGTATCAGTTACTTTATCAATATCTATATTTCTTATCTATCTGCACTAAGCAGTTCAATTATTAGTTAGTACTTCACCCATTGTTTTCTATAATAAGCCTGTCTACAAACTAAAAGTATTATCTCCAAGAACAATAAACCTAAATGTGTTATTTCTAGTCTAACAATAAACCTATCACTTTATCTTGTAAGCCATTGAGAATTCATTCTCCCCACGTCACTGGTTCCATTATCAAGTCCCCAGCTTTCACGTGCACTTGCATTCAGGAGAACAAAAGTACAGGTAAAAACATCAAAACAATAAATGGAGATAGTTGTTACATGCCATTTCTTGAATATAAATTTTGTTTTCAATCTCTGATCTATCTTGTAATTATCAATATTTTATACAGTATATCAATGCATTGCTGTCATTCTCCTAAAATAAATGCCACACTTTTTTTAGATAATTTAAAGCATCCTTCAGCTTTTATTTTTTGTTGTAAAAACAATTGTTTTGTTTCAAACTAAGCATTTCAGTAATTTTATCTCATATCACTGTTTAGCTTTCTTCAAATCAGCGTCCCGACAGCTATTTATGGCATGCTAGTGACGTTTGTTTCTTAAAATAGAAGATCGGGCTTTGCTACTTTACATATAGAGTGTAAACTGGTAGATCAGAATGATGTATTGAGGGGTTTTGTTATTGCTTATATATTTTATCGAAATGTCATTTTTCACCTGAATTATTTTGATTTAACGTTTAGAAAACTGAAGGCCACTTTAAAGGAAATCAGTATAATGATGTATGATACCAAAGATATCTTTAGACTAAAGAAGATGTAAATAAAAGTTTAATCATTTTATATTTTAGTATCAAAATTTGAAAGATAACAATTATCTTCTTCTACATGCTGGGACTGGGAGTATTTATTCTATATTTGAACCTACCTCTTGAGTGCAAAATTTCAGATCATTTGCTCAGTCTGTTTTTCAAAAATAATTATTTTAATTGTTAAAACTGACCCAAAAGTGTTTAAATTCTTACTCAAATCATGCTTAAAAACGCACAAGAATAACATTACAAATTTAATACTGAGTATGTAAGAATTTCAAATTTTATGTTTTTAGGCTAGAGCTCCTTTAAACAGTATGTATGACTATTTGTAAATATCTTAATGAACATTCTTATGCAAATTTTATAAACACATCGGCAAACAAACTTGACTTAGAGACTAATGTATGTAATTCCTTTTCTTTGTCTAACATTTAACAATTACTTTAACATACAACTATAGACTATATCTTTTTAATAATCGAAGTACAAATTTATGTACAAAATACTTTTGTCATAAAAAACAAAATCTAACAAAAATGTAAGGTTATACAGTACTAAAATTGATCAGTGGCAGAATTTGTCACCTTTTTAAATCAGCTGAATATTTTATCTATGTTCCCTGTCGACAGCTGTTTGAAAAGAAGAGTACATCTAAGATAAAATTTTGTGTCGGGTAAATAAATTCGTAACTTTTTATTTGTTAATAAGAAGATAAAAAAATTTGCTCAATTTGCTCAATGATAAGATGTAGTAGAATTTATCATAGCTTTCAGACCAATGCTTTGATGATGACAAGCAACAATACAAGAATTTCAATTATACTTAAAAAAAAAAAAAAAAAAAAAAAAAAAAAAAAAAAAAAACATTAAAAGACAAAACAAAGCAATTGAAGGAATTTTAAAAATTTGAAATTTTACTGGGCCACTTTATATAAATTATAATCATCTGGCAATATGACATTTATTCATTGACATGATCTACTTTCATACTCAATATAAGGACCACACAAAAAAGTGAATAATACAGGTCAAAGAACACTAAATGACATCTATATACAAATGGTGTATAAGTTTTTTCAATCATTTTTATAATCCTATTTAAAACTTTAACCACCTACTTACTAATATTTTTGGTATTTATCCAAATATTAATTCATTTGATGAAATATTTACATTATAAATTCAACTTTCAGAAGACAGCCTGTCTAACTTATTTTAAATAAATTCTAACCATTGAATTTATAATAATTCAATAATTTTCTAACAGATTCTGCCAAGGATGTCAGTGCGGCCCAAGATCAGCCAGCACATCTGTACCTGCTGATTATGGTCCTCACTGTTCACTATTTGAACACTGTACATATTTTGAAATTTTAATTTAAAATGATAATTTCTCTCTCAGGCCTTATATACTCATAAACTGGTTAAATAAGCAAGCCATATATAATACCTGCTAGACTTTGACAAGTTCAACTTAGCAATCACATGCACCTAGATATACTTAATGCTATTTAAATATAAAATTTTAGCCTTTATCACATATTAAGTATCTTTTTCTTCTGAAACTTACTTAATTATAAAGTTCTCCATGTTTTTCATTAAAAACAAGTGAACAAAAGTATATGAGAGATGTGTATGCCAAGAGCAGGACTGATTTGGTGGTATTGGTAGTTTTCACTCCAAATCACGGCAGTAAGCCACATTGAATTTACCAGAGCACAGTTAAACCCGCACTGCTCCTGGGCAGGCTGTCAAGCAGTTTACCAGTTCTAGTTGCCTTCACTTTCTTAAGGAATTGATAACTTCTGTACATGTCATAGTAGAGGTACAGCGCGAATGATTGTAGAAAGGATTTCATGATCAATCACAACAAAGTGATCTGCACTGTCCAGGAATCGAACTCGGGTAACCGATTCATTGTCCAACACTACCTATTGAGCTTACCGGAGGGCTTATTGGACTTATCTCCCTACATGTATTTATTATATACAAATGTACATGTTTAGTCAAGTTAAAATGGCCAATCAAATACAGGCAAGAGGCATTCAATTAAAAAGCAATAAATGTTCATTGACCCAGTATTATCAAAAAACTTTCTCCAATATAAGTTTGTACAATTGTTTGTCAATAGCAAATTTATTCAATAAGAAATTAATATCTACATTTTATTGACAAAATTACACCTTTTATGACAGACAACAAAATTATGTAGATTTAGGAAATAATGACAATTTTATTGGTAAATATTCTAAGCTCTATTTGAAAAGAAAACAATAAATAAGATTGCAAAAGCATAGCTTTGATGCGTTGTAAAATAAATAAAGATAACATTTGCTTGATCAAATTTTTTGATATCAATAGAGTAATTTCCTTTAAATTGGGTTTATATGTTCCATACAAAATTGATGCAATATAGTTCATGTCTATAAGCAAAGTATAATCTGCAAGCACAGCAAAACTTTAGTTAAAAACATTTATAATCTTAGAAAAAAAAAGCTAGCTGTTCATTATTTTGACATCACAACCTCTCTAGAATACCTTAAATACTTTACCAAACTTCTTTCAGAAGATTGAATTCCTCAATAGATATAATAACTGTCTAAATTTCAATGTTCCTTTTTTACTTCTTCAAAACTATTCCTTTCATCAGAACTAACAAATAAGTCATTATAATCCTTTCTTACAAATCATACACGTTTATATACAAAAATATTCAAATCACATTCAGTTATCTGCAAAAAGTAATTTTCTGCCCACAAAGAGTTTTATTGACAAAACGTCTTGATGACTGAGTACAGATGTTTCAGACAGCAAAATCAAAATGTATAATATATCCCTGACAAAATACAAGCAAAAACAAACGAAAATATCTTACAAGAACAAGAAACTAATTTACATTAGATTTATAAATATTTTCTTTTCTGTATCTAATGCAGTATATCTGCATCACAAATTCCTAACTATCTACTTTAGTTTTTGCTTCATTGAAGTAAATTGTACTTTATTACTGAACATGTTGGAAGTAAATTACAGCAAATATCTGAAAGTAAAGAATTTTATCATCCTTTGATATAATGCTGATTAGGGAATTAACTCCTAATTGGCCCAGTATATAAAACAATTACTGGAGATGTTATAAAAGAAACAACACAGATTTATACCATTAGAGTGATCAAACCTTGTCCAACCTTTACTCAATAAAAATTTCACATTTTAGATGATTTTTATCATATATAAATTATATAGTACTTTAAGGTTATATAGTATTTGAAGGTTGAAGGTTATATTGTACTTGAAGGTTCAAGCTAATATCTGCTGGCCTGACGCTAGACTGGTAGCAGAGGTTTTGGGTTAAAATATCTTAAAATTTGATACAAGCTTATATAACCAGATGGCTTATATCATTGAAAAAATCATCAAGAAGATACAGAAGGTTTGGTGGCAAACTACCAATACTTTTTTCTTACAGATAACCTGGTATGAAGACTCCATTTATCACCAGAAATCTTTGACCTTTATGCAATTATGTTTTGATGAATCATGTTTATTTGTGTTCCATTTATCTTTTAAAACTGAGGAGAGAAAAAACACACACAATAAAAAAACAAATTTAGATTAATTTTTACACTGTGTTGAAAAATGTCTTGTTTTATTACTGCTTCTGTTTTTATTACTGTTTTTAAGTCTTTTAGAAGGTTGAAGAGCCTATGTTGACAATTTATCTTCTTGTGAGAGATTTGACACAAAGAAAAGATACATAGAAATCTTCTTACTCATTTGCTTCAAGTCTCTACTATGTTAATGGTGATGAAAATTTATAAAAAAAAATAATGTAAAATAATGTGAAATGTTTTTTGTCTTAACTATACATTTTGTTAAAATGAGTCTTAAATACATTATGCTTATGATTTTGTTTTAAGTTCAGTGAATAAAAATATTCCATTTTCTTACCTCGATCACAACCAGTATATAAAAATACCTCCAATCCCTAAAAAGTTGTTTTATCAAATGATTCAAGTAATGACATTAAGAACTATCCTGTACTTTTCAATCAATTATCAAACACTTATCATATGTTCAATGTAAAAATAAACCCTCATTTTCATAAAAAAATAAATTGACCTTCTTTACATTAACTTGGACTTTTTTTGTACCTAATACCCTATTGAATAAAATAAGAGCTTTACCACAACTGTTATTATATGATTACCTACATATGACGTAAAAGTTTGTCTCAAAAGTCCCCAATTTAAATGTCCGTGATCTTTATCTTTTTAATCCATCGGAATAATATAAAAATAAATCCTGTAAAAATATCGCCACCCTTATATCTCTGGTATATACCTGTAATCAGTTTGTAAACATGTACTATAGAGAGTCAAATGACAGCGGCTTAATAATCGGACAAAAGACTTAACGGAGCAGTTTCAACATGTATTATGAAACGTTTTGATCTTATTATTAATACTTTATTGGAACATAAATATGACAAAGGAGCTAAAATTATATGTTTAAACAAGCGGTGGTTCTAACAAATACTTGTGAAAAATGTTAATTTCAATTATTTGTCAATTACTTGACATTATCATTTCTGTTGAAATAAAACCCTATAATCACACTTTCTCAAATATCCCTAAATTTGTATGGAATGTGAAGGGAAAAAAACTAATCATTTATCAAATGTTATTATGACTGGATTCTTACTAGACATCAGAAGTTGAAAATTAAACAAAATTTGGCACGCGATGACTGTGTCATATTTCACTCAAAGATTTTGATCTCTATTTAACTTTTAAACCTATGACAGATGACTTTAATAAATTAATGGCCTTCAGTAAATCTCTCTCTGCAATGTCTTGTATGCTAATAAATATACAGTATACTAATTTAAGAGGAACATACAAAGACATGGGAACATTTTTAAATTTTTATTTCAACCCTATTAGTTTTGGGTATGCACTGTCCTTTTTCAAGGAACCATAAATATATAATTCAATTAAAAAACAGTATCAAAATATCAGAGCAAATTGTATTTTAATTGTAAGGGGCATACTAAAACTATAATGAAGTATACAAGCATTAATAACATTATTGCAGTATTTCTTTTAATGATACTGATATATTGCTTGCTTAAAATTGTTTAAGTAAAATTTGTTAAGTTTTGTCCTTGTATAGCAACTAAATTAATTATCTATCAAACCTTTTTAAGTGCTTTTCATATATTAGTCTGTTAAATAAGTAATAAGTGCAAATTTCTTTACTTTACAAGGTTCCTAAAGTCCTCTTTAATCTATTACAGCAAAATAACATCAAATGTTTTCCATTAATCTTTTTTCAAGTATATTGATGTAAATCTATTAATTTATTTTGGTTGTATCGCATTATATTTACAGATATGTTCCATTTTCATATAAAAAATATTGTAATTTATCATTCTTATTTTGTGTCAAGATGTCTATATACCTTGAACAAATTTACTTTAACAGATTATAGGTATTCAATATCATATATGTTACAAATTATACCTACCTATAATCTCATCTAAATACACAAATGAGCCGCGTCACGACAAAACCAACATGACCAGCATGGATCCAGACCAGCCTGCGCATCTGCGCAGTCTGATCAGGATCCATGCTGTTCGCCTATAAACCCTATTACAAGTACAGAAACTGATAGCGAACAGCGTGGATCCTGATCAGACTGCGCGGATGCGCATGCTGGTCTGGATCCATGCTGGTCGCAAACCTATTATGTTGGTTTTGTCATGACGCGGCTCAAATATCTAAGGCAACAATATTTTCTTGACACTGAAAAAAGACATGCAGATAATAACATCTTTTATCACAGTACCAACAATACCAAAATATAATCTACATGTAAGCAGACCAATTTTCTATCTTATATAAACCATAATTATCCTATCAAAAACAAAACACTTCTTACATAAGTTATACTTCATACATAATTCCAGACTTTATAATCCAAAGCATATATATAAAACTATGTCAAATACATTACAAATAACGAAATGGATAATTGTAGCTTATGATTATTATATATTTTTCCTGCCTCAGCAGCAGACGTTATTGTGTAGCAATGTCATATTTATAGTGTAGCAGCTGTCAACTAAAGTCATTATAGTCTATTTCAATACTTCGCTGTCTACTCATAGAATATAATACTACATATCAATTTACTTTTGTTTTATCTATCTACTGTCTACACATACATAATAGATATATATTTCTGTTAGGTTTTAAGTCACATCAGCACTGTAAAGATCTAACTTAATTTTTAGTGGAGGCAGACTTCTGTGCATTGTATCAGTCACTTCTGGGCACCAAAGTAGAACAAATGACCTTTTGTAGCTAGCTAGATAGCTTCCTCACATAAAATAATATTCTCACATAAAATAATCTAAAATTCCCAAATAGTTTTTGGGGGCAAGTGTTTCGAGTCAGCTACCGAAGGTCCTACATTTTAAAACGTTATGACATTGCATTGTATGCAGCTAAATCCTTAAAAATGTTTATTTTGGACTTGTCCTGTATCAAAATTGTAACTATCAGTAGTTAATTTAAACAAATAACAGAGCAACTAACAGTATAAAATCTGGTCAAACTGTATAAATGTCCCAGCTGGTGTGGAATTATGTTTATGATAAACAGGAATTAGGTAATGGATATTTATATATTTGGTTATATTATAAAAATAAATGTTCATTATTTTCAAGATTCTTATGAAAATATGATGTTCTTTTTACATATTGGTTACTATGACAACCAATATCATGTTAAGATGACCTTAATTTTGTAAATATTTATCAACAGAAAATTGGCAGATTAATGGAATTTAGCCAAAGTTGGGCTAATAATTTAAATGAGCATTTTAACAGTGATAATGGCATTCTTATGCCATATATTGTGAACCAGTGACCTTGACAGTTGAGTCCTAAAATCTTCATCTGTAGGCCATAACTCTATCCTTTTTTTTTTAAAAGAAATTCATCCGTGAAAAAAGTGGACAAAAAACCTAGCCTAAATGTGTTTTATATATGAAAAACAACACAGTGTATTTAGGCATTTTAATATGGCATATAATGTACAGTTTAAATAATCAAATATGCATTAAATAAATAACCTATACATACATTTGCAATGAAATGTAATCACATATAATGAATATTTTCATATATCAAATAAAATATCAATAACATATCACATGTAACAATGGTAATGTATATTTTACAACACTAAAAATATATATTTTCACATTTAATATTTCACTAATTGTGACAGAAGTTTTATTTCCTGACTTTCTGTAATTGCAGATGACTGGCCTTATAAAATATCTGAGCCTATCAAAAGTTTTGAAAAGATTTCTGTTAAAAATTGTTTATTCCAATTGTTCTGGTTTGAAAGCCTTGATCCCTGAACTCCAAATACTCATCCTCATTTGCCAATGCTCATCTTGGCACAATTTTATATAGGTTCCAATTCAAAATTTTACAATCTACATTATGCAAGGCAAATTGATTCCAACATGGAGAGAGATGAAGGTCACTGGATTAAAACATCAGATCTTTGAAATGTTGTCTATATTGATAAATGTCAATAAGTGCATTTCATGTTTATTTCTGATAAAAATATCTAAATATGTTTTGTTTTTTTTTCATTCATATAATCAGTACATGCATTTCCAAAATGTTATTCCAGCACCATACTGTTGAACAAGATGCCACATACTAGTACTTGTATATAGAATGTCATATCAGCAGAATATAGACATCATTAGAACTAATTCTACACATTAAAAGCAGCAGATTACCTGTAATACTGAACTCTACCACACAACTCTTTAAACAATACCTATACATAAACAACTATAAATAAGTTGGACGGCAAACATCTTTGATGATAATAATTTGAAAAGATATAGTGGCATAATATTGACCTCACAGTAAGTCAAAGTACATGTATATCTTTTAAAGTGTAAGTTCAGACCATATGGTTTAAGTTGAGCATTCATCATGTATAAATCTTAAAACATCAGCAGTTACAGCAGTTACTATAATACTTATTTAATAATGTAAAGAAAAATAAAGAACTTAATTGAACTACAAAATCTTGTGTGACCAATTAATCAATAATGCAATTGTCCTGATTATTACATGTAAATTACAGTATTATTACATGCCTCCAGATGACACATGCTTAAAAAAATTCTAACCAAAAGTTAGATACTTAATATTACTAATTAAATAATATATAAATAGAAAGTTTGTATAAGCTTCTTTATAAAGCACCTTTTACATAAAATTCGGCAGGAAAAGGCACCAGAGGATTCAGCAGATCTGTCTATATCATAAATATTATCTTAATATCAAGAAAAAAATATTTTGAAAAACTATATGTAGAAGTGAGACAGTGTCCAGTAATGGATAGAACAAAATATACTGCATAAAAGTGAGTTATACTATTATAACTAGTTATGCTGTAATTAAAAGAAATCTATTATTTAAATGTATGCTTGTGACATAAGATTCTTTGTAAATGAGCTAAATTACAACAAGAGGGCCATGATGGCCCTAGATCGCTCACCTGACTTATCAAACTCATCCAAACAATTACCTAGACAAGCATTCTGACCAAGTCTCATGACAGGTGAGTCAAAAATGTGACCACTACAGTGTTAACAAGGATTATCCATATTTGAGCAGTGCGACCTAGTTTTTTACCCAGGTGACACATATTCAAACTTGACCTAGAAATCATCAAAACAAACTTTCAGACCAATTTCCAGGATACTTGGATCAAAACAGTAGCAACTAGAGTGTTAACAAGATTTTTCTATTTTTAGCTCCGGTGACCTAGTTTCACATGCGATTTCGAACTCATCCAAGCAATTACCTAGACAAGCATCCTGACCAAGTTTGATGATAATTGAGTCGAAAATGTGACCACTAGAATGTTAACAAGGTTTTTCCATATTTGGGCGGTGTGACCTAGTTTTTCATCCAAGATGACCCATGTTCGATCTTGACTTAGAAATCATCAAAACAAACTTTCAGACCAATTAACAGAATATTTGGATCACAACAGTAGCCACTAGAGTGTTAACAAGATTTTTCTATTTTTAGCTCCTGTGACCTAGTTTTTCATCCGAGATGTCCCATGTTCGATTTATTCCCAGCAATGACCTACACAAGTTTCCTGACCAAGTTTGATGATGATTGGGTCAAAAATGTGACCACTAGAGTGTTCACAAGGTTTTTCTATTTTTAGCTCCTGTGACCTAGTTTTTCATCAGAGATGACCCATGTTCGAACTCATCCAAGCAATTGACTAGACAAGCATTCTGACCAAGTTTGATGATGATTGGTTCAAAAATGTGACCACTAGAGTGTTCACAAGGTTTTTCTATTTATAGCTCCTGTGACCTACTTTTTCATCCGAGATGACCCATGTTCGAACTCATCCGAGCTATCACCTAGACAAACATCCTGACCAAGTTTGATGATGATTGGGTCAAAAATGTGACCTCTAGAGTGTTCACAAGGTTTTTCTATTTTTAGCTCTTGTGACCTAGTTTTTCATCCGAGATGAGCCATGTTCGAACTCATCCGAGCTTTCAACTAGATAAGCATCCTGACCAAGTTTGATGATGATTGAGGCAAAAATGCGACCGCTAGAGTGTTCACAAGCAATTGTGGACGTACGACGGACATTCACCGATCCTAAAAGCTCAGCCTGAGCAAGCTCAGGTGAGCTAAAAAATTAAAACAACTGTATCATCTTTTAATATGTTCTTATATATGTTTTGTATATAAATTTTCAAAACTTTTAACATAAAATTGAAAGGTTGAATGTTAATTGTTCATTCTGTATCCTGCAATGATAATAGAATAACTCAGTAAAGATTATAGTAGAAAATAATGTCTTTATCAGCTTTAAAAACATACATTGATTAGACACCAACATAATGCAAAATCAATAATGGAAGCAAAATGTGCAGAAACAAGACTTTATTACACCCTACCTACATTATGTCAAAAACACAAGCACAGAGAAATGAATACAGCATATTGGCTTTAATTTTCATCATTACAATTAAGCAAAGCATAATTTATATCATACCACAATTTGCTGAAATAAATGCATGTAATGTACCCATTGCATGAATTATCTATAGCCAATCAAATATCTCTAAGTCCACTACATTCTAGACCTATCAGCATTACAAACATTGGATACATAAGTAGTTTCTTTTGATTTCTTAATCATATAAATAAATATAATATCTTTTTTCAACCTTGTTCAAGTATCTATGAATGTGTGCTTGTCTATAAAAGTAGACATATAAGCCAATTTTTTCCGCTTCCAAAACAAACCAAATTGTAATTTTTGGTCTCAGAATCATCTATCACAGTATTTGTTACACAGCAGAAGTTTCCTTTCCTTGTACGACGTCTTATATCCGGTATGGTCAAGGTGGGATCGAAGTGTGATGGTTCAATTAGGTATATCACCAGAGATGACCTGGTCAGTACCACATACCCAGTCACCAACACACATCTAGCTACTAACAACAGTGTATTGCCTGTATTGTATTGAGCATGTATCACCTTTTCTGAGCTGAAAATAAAATATACATAAAACTTTGTTAACTATCTTACACTGCTGAGTTTATATAATTAACTAACCTTGCTTTGATTTTGAAACATTCCAATAATAGTTTACTTTAGCCTGTTGTACAGTTCTACCATGTGACCAGAGCAGACCAAGATCAGCCAACACATCCCTAACATCTGATCATGGTCTGCACTGTTCGATTTCAGTAAGTACTCCCCCCTCCCCCCCTCACCCCCTACCATCTAATCATCAACCTACTTATACTGACTTAGACAGTAAGTATATTTCTGGAGAATAAATTTGAAAGAATATCGTAAAATATACATGTACATTATATAAGGAAAATATAAATACACAATGTACTATCTTACTTTGTTGTAAAATATTTTGTCTTGCTTTAACAAAAGCCATAATATCAGCATCAGCCTGCGGGTCTCCTGTCAGTCTCATACCGGATGGGCTCTGACTTGATCTAAAATAGAATTAAACTATGTTACATCATTATAAAACATAGAAATCATTTGACAACACTTGATACTTATTTCCTATAATACATGTATTCAAGATAATAATTTAAATAAAAACAGATCATACTGATGATATTTGGTACCCTAGTTATGTATAAAGTACTGTAACTTATCAGTGAATAGAATCTACAATTATCTGTAAGCTAAATACAAAGAAAAATTAAACTTAAGATATAATATTGTCACAAATTAACATGAACATGATAATTATAAAAGGTTGGTCAAGTTTATATTAGAAATATAACAAGAGCTGTCACAGGAGACAGCGAAGCTGGACTAATAAAATACTGGACGCAGTAAGGAGGACAAAACTATGAAAGAAAAATCAATTATGTATAATTATGTATTAAGTTATAGTAAAAAAATAATATTTGTTAACATAAATTCCAAGATCAAGGGGAATAATTCTAGAAATAGTCATGCTAGAGTTATGGACCTTGTCACACAACATTTGTGTAATGATAAGAAATATATATTTGAAGTTTGAAGTAGATATCTTAAAAAGTAAAGAAGTTATTATATTTCTTAAAGAAAATCCTAAGTTCAAAGAGAGATAAATCTGTAAATATTGCTTCAAGAGTTATGAACATTGTCACATAAAATGTAATTGATGATAAGGAATAAGTATTTGAAGTTTGAGGTAGATACCTTTAAAAATAAAAAAGTTATAATAAAAAATAACATTTTTCTAGTAAAAAAATCTAAGTTTATGGGGCAATAATTCTTGCAATATTGGTGCTAGAGTTATGAACCTTGTCACATAAGATGTGGATGATGATAACGTAAATATATTTGAAGTATGAAGTTGATCCCTTTAGAAATAAATAAGTAACAGTAAAAAATAATATTTTTTATGGAAAATTCTAAGTTTAAAGGGAGATAAATCTGAAAATATTGGTGCTAGAGTTATGAACCTTGTCACATAAGATGGGGATGATGATAACGTAAATATATTTGAAGTATGAGGTTGATCCCTTAAGAAATAAAGAAGTAACAGTAAAAAATAGTATTTTTTAAGGAAAATTCTAAGTTCAAGGGGAGATAAATCTGAAAATATTGGTGCTAGAGTTATGAACCTTGTCACATAAAATGTGGTTGATGATAAGGAACATATATTTGAAGTTTGAGGTTGATACCTTAAGAAATGACAAAGTTATAGTGAAAAATATTTTACTGCACCAAAACTTTAATCTAAAATCTGGACGCGGACGCGGACGCCGACGCCGGGGCGAGTAGGACAGCTCTCCATATACTTCGTATAGTCGAGCTAAAAATGTACACTTATTTCACCAATTATTTCATGAAACATACTTATGATAACATTATATTCAAAGGGCAGTCATTATTAATTAAGTCAATATTATAGACAAGAATAATCACAAACCTAGTTCTTGTTACACTTCTGTTTGGTTCTACAGGTTCATTTATTCTACCATCAGCACTATTTGAAGCTCGTAAATTATGAGCAATATTGCCTGCCACACTTCCTCGTATTTTGTTAAGTCTATGTGGCACGTCTGTGTGGCCAGGGGAGGAGGATCTTCCTCTATCTTGTGTAGTGGGCGGAGTCTGCCATGCATTCATGACAGTACCATTAGATCCTCCCTGTTGCTCTTGCTTTAAGGTAAAAGTTCAAACACTATTTTATGAAGACCAATATTATTTGTATCAAGTTTTATCAACACTTTGGAACAATAAATTGTTTTTCCATAATAAATCTCCAAGCAGTTTCTTAACCAGTGTTTCTAGATTCTATTCCAGTAATTACATATTTTTTCAACAAGCAATTTAGGCCTTTTGTATAATACTACTAGAATCATGGATGGATGAAAGGAGATGTTTCACATATTGTTTTTAGCCACATTGTCGCAGAAAACCCATGACAATGAAACTTGAGATTCCTTGAATGAATTTAATTTTTGTTGGATATCTCCATAAAAATTTAACAAGAAAAAAAATCTTAATTATAAAATACATCTAACATAATATGTAATGCAGCAAACTATTCTTTAAAAATTAAATGTCAGAGAAATATTATAAGTGGTTTTACATAAAGCTTTTTCCACTGATTAACTATTCAATTTTACATACCTGTTGTCAATAATACATCATAATATATCATAAACAGCTACATGTTGAGGCAAAATTCCTTCACTATGCATAACATTTTGCTAAAAAATCATAAATGAGCCGTGTCATGACAAAACCAACATAATGGGTTTGCGACCAGCATGGATCCAGACCAGCCTGCCCATCCGCGCAGTCTGATCAGGATCCATGCTGTTCGCTATCAGTTTCTCTACTTGTTATATAGTTTGTAAGCGAACGGCATGAATCCTGATCAGACTGCGCGGATGCGCAGGCTGGTCTGGATCCATGCTGGTCGCAAACCCATTATGTTGGTTTTGTCATGACACGGCTCATATAAAGAAATACTATACAGTGGCATAAAGTACCTGTGACAATGACATTTGGTCAGCCCACCATAATTCGAAGTCTTTCATCAGTTTGACCTTGGCCTTCTCTAGAAGATGTTGTAAATGTTCTATCTCTGACTTTAAAGTGCGTAATCTGTTAAATGTCTCCTTGTATCTATAAATAGTATACAAATAATTTGTCACATAAATTTTAGGCTTCAATTTATATTCTAATTCTGTTTTTTTTATCAAAAGAGCATTTTTTAAGAATTAATACATCAAATACTTCTATTATTTAGCAGTTTCAATTAACATATCAAATTTTACTGCAATTCAAGAACATCAAATATTACTGTGATTCCGCAGTTATATCAGCCATTTTTTTCCTTATGTTAGTGGCATGAATAACAGACCCATTCACAATCACTAACGGTCTTTCACAATTTCAGAGTGGGTCCAACAATTTTTTTTCTTACAATTGTCACGGTACCTGACCCATTCATAATTTAAGGAAAAAAATAATCGCTGAATAATATAATAAAAGAACATCAAATATTAATTACTGTAATTTAGCAGTTTCCATGGAATGTCTCATCTCCATCTCTTGTTCATCTGGCTCCAAATTTTCAGTATCTGCTAAACCTGTATAACATGATATTTATATGTTGTTATAAATGCAACACTTGACATAAATCATTTAACAATTAACAACAGCTATGTTAAACAACAAAAAAATGCTGAGACCAAAACTTTTGCCAATAGCATAAAGCCAGGCCAGTTTCTACAGTTTGACTAGTCTCTATACAGTTTGACACTTTAACTTTTCAGACCTTTTTAGCGGATACAATTTTTTTATGCCCTTAACATTAATAGTCAGGAGCACAATTCATATATCCAGCATAATAAGTTAAAAAGACTGGTTTATAAGGTTATGTGTAATTGGCATCTCTAAACATAATTAAAGTTGCATTCGAGGTTGCATTTGTTTCAATCAGACAGATAGGTACTTACACTTCAAATTCATTTTCAAAGTTAATGCAATACTATGTACAGAAACTTAATAATATTGATAACTTCAATAAATTATCCCTATTATTTGACAACTTTCAACAATCATATTGTAAATACATGTAATCAGAACATATGTATACTTATTTAAAAGATAATTGTAAAATATTACCTTGCATGGCCATACTCATTCTGTAATGTTCTATCTGACTCTTCAGATGATCTGAAAGACATTATAAGATAATAATTTGTCACCTTAAGACAGGAACAGGTTAACTCCTATTAAATTATATAAAAGTTAACACATTAATGCACTAAGATGACAAATATAAGAAATGTTTACCTCTGAATAACATGGTGATGAGGAGGGTTTCTCGTCTAACCTAATACACTGTTCATACCAATTTGTAACTTTCCATGCAAAGTTCTAAATTCATTAAAATTCATGTAAAATAATTAATTCCTATACCATCAGTACAGGGCAAGTTTAGCAAGTTAATCCATGCAGTGAGAGTTTACCCTATTTCAGTAGTAACTCCCTTTTTTGTATATGAAAATCCTTGAAATAAACACATGGACATAAAATCTGAGGTGGGAAAGTTTAGCTTATACTTACTGATATGCTGCCTAGATTTGTTGACTTTCTCTCCGAGAGATTTAGCCTCAGAATATCTCTGTTTCAATTCTTGTTTATTCTCCTCTATTGCATCATTGTGCTCATAATCCCGGCGGAAAATTTCAAATGCCTCTTGTCTACCAACCGACATATCACCCACTGAAATATATTGTATTTTTTATAATTTATTGAAAATTCATGGTCATAATATTTGTATCTGCTTATTTACAAATATGACAATTTAAGGAGTAGATCATTACAATATAATTGTTGTAGATTTATATTAAATCACATATTTTCCAAAAAAAAAATACCCTCAACTTAAATTGCAGGAATAATAAGTAATTTAACTATTTATTCAATTGATAAAATAGTATTATTTAGTTGAGTTTATAAATATTTGTTTTAGTAATATTATGCTTTTAGACACACTCTCAAATGCATTCCTGGAACCAACCAGTACTGAGCAATTAGTGTAAAGATTCTTGCTCCAGGAAACAATGGCTTGACCCTGATGGGGTTTGAACCCACACTGCTTGAGATCCTTATATTACTAGTCTGATGTGTTAACCACTTGGCCATGTATTATTTTGCTACCAATTACTTACCTGTTATTTTTTCCTCCAGATCCATAATTTAAATAATACCACTTATACACAATAATATCTCATACCACTTTGAATGTTTATTTATATTTGGGTAAATTTTAACTGTACCCAAGCTATATGTTCTTTGTTTTACTGAATGCAGCTTTAAAATATGTATCAGTTTCAAGATTGCATGATGTTTTGGTGCTTGGTTAACGTGATATCTTAACTGTGGTATATGATTCATCAATTAACCTAGGACAAATCAATAAATCAATAATTCAGCCTGGTTTAAAATGAAGTAAAAATCATGAAATGTTTAATGATAAAATGTTTTCTATGCTATTATTGTAGCGTTAAACAAGAGCAACCCCCAAACAGGAGCCATACTTTTTCTTTTCTCTTAAGTCAAACACATTGGAGGAAGAATATTGTTGTAAAGAATACTTCTACAAAACATCACTGCCTTAAACATCACTGCCTTAAACAGATATACCAAATGTCATATTTGACCTGACAGGAAAGGTAATTAAAAGGTCAAGGTCATATCTGAATTAATCATGTCATGACGGTCAAGGTCAATATAAGAACAAGGTCATATCAGAAATACTCAACATATCAGTTTTGGCCTTGAAGGTCAAGGTCAGTTAAAGGTCATGTGGGATTTGCCATAAGGGTGCTTTTTTCAATCAGTAAATGAATAAAAATGTTATGACTATCTAAGCTAAATTCAATACTTGACCTTGACAGTCAAGGTCATCTATAAGTCAAGATCATATTTGAATTACTCAACATGTCAGTTTTGTCATAAGTGTTCTTTTGCTCAAGTATAAATCAAATCCATAAACAAATAACAATAAGATATGACCAACTGTTGAGAAAAACATGAATTTTTTCGTCTCGTGTAAAGGATTATTGTGTCCAAGTATAAAGACAATTCATTCACAAATAACAAGGTAAGAGCCAATTACAGCAAAAATCTAGCAAAATTCAAACATTTGAAAGTCAAGATCAGTCTCGTGAACTTGAAGGTCTTGTCCAAAGGGTATGAAGGCAATCATTAACCAAAGTTAAAGTTTTCGGAGGGCAATGGCAACATCAGCAGAACAATGACTACAACAATAGCTCATTCTTTTTCTTTGAAAAAGTCCAGCTAAAAATGAATCTTTATCTGGTATATATATTTGATGTCAAATGACTGATTTGAACCTAAAGAAAGAAGTACTGTTTGATTAATAAAAGTAAGTAAACCTAAACCTCCATTACCTTCAATATACAGAGCTAGTTACACAATAAGTAAGAAGTATAATAATGTCAACTACATTGAACTTACGTATCTGTTTCTTAACTTTTTTATCATTTTCAATCCGTTGCCTCTGTTTTTCTTTACTTATGCCGGTACCCGAGGGAGGTCTCCGCCAATCTTCAGAATTTCCAGTATTCATCCGGGAACCAGGTGTAGCATGACCATTTGCTTTCCTCTCAGGTACTTTAAAACTAAATATTGCGAACAAAAAAATGTATTTATCTGACAAATCTGTAAACATTCAACTACCAAATTTGATCTCGCTTATTATATTAATGCTCTTTAAATTTAGCAGGCAGAAAAATCTACATATTGTTCTCAGCTTGTGTTCTCTTTACAAAAACAAAAACATTTTCTGACCCAAAGGCAGATTGTTAAATTGATTGCATATAAATCACTTATATCTTCTCATATATAAAACTTGAACAGTCAACTTAGCTCAGGAAACAAACTTTAAAATAATTCAATTAAACCATAACTTTCTTAACAAGAAAAGAAAAACACAAATCAGCTTAAACAAAACTTTCATGAAATATAACCAGAACATTTTGTCACATAAATATTTAACATTTTCCAACATCAATTATTAGATGACATAAAAAACAACCAACAAAATCTAAGATGTCCATTCAAGTACAGCATACCTTTCACTGTAACCCTCTCCTCTAGCACTAGATGGGGGTCTTTGACCTAGTCTTTCTAACTGTAATGATGCATCCTTAACTCTTTTCTTCTCTTTCTTTAACATATTTACTAATATATCTATATTTCTGGTTAAAGAAATATAAACAATAGTGTTTCTTCACTTGGAAATTTCAATAGCTATTTTCTATTTTGTAATGTTATTTATTATTTGTATGTTAGTGCAGTCAACTGAGAGGTGTGAAAAACACAATCCAGATGAAAATCGCTCAATAGCCCATGTCATGATGATGATGTCATTCGTAACAAGTCAAATTGTTTTATAAAAGTTAATAAAATTAGTGTTGATTGACGTATGTCCAAAATGTGTGAATTTTCCGTTATTTTTAAAATATTCTAACACTGTATTTAATTCATTATGACTTTAAATGTAAATGAATTAGTGAAATTATGGTAATATTATCATTGCAATATTGTTTCACAACATTAAAAGAATCAAATAACCATCAAACAATCTCGAGAAGAGCCCCGAATACCAACTGGGGAGGATATCTGGATCGACCACGCTGAACACAATGTTTTCACTATAGTGGTGTATTACTGAGTAAACCTCACTATATGTATTTATAAAAGACCCCCGTATTTCCCCTAGTAAACATTCACTAATGTAACTTTTTTTAAATATTGACTTTGTGATATAAGGAAAACAAGACACAGAGATATCATACTTAGCTTAATTGACTTAAGGTATGCACATGTCTTTTGTAAATATTAGTTTCTATCTGGTTCAAACCGAAAACATTTATCTCGACATTTCATTATCTCAATATTTTTGGATGGTCCGATGACTTCGAGATAACAAGAGTCAAGTGTATCTATACATGTATATGCTAAAAATTTGCTCATGTTTCCTGCTTTTGTGGAACATTTTTCATATATATTGAAAAGCAAATCTTGAAATCTTGGTTTCCTATAAAAATTCATAAAAATACAGCTCATTCAATAAGTTTATAAGCACCTTTATGAAGAGCTTTGATGACAATATCATTGGGAAAGATTACAGTTACAAACTTATGGTTATTCTTTTTTAAGTTGCCTAACACTATTGAATAGCACAGTTAATGAACAAGTTATCTTTTTATATATGTACATATGTATACATGTACTAACATATATATTTATTCCAATGCAAATGAAAAGAAATCATCTTAAAGTTTATAATTTGGAAAAACTGAATTTTTTTAATTACATTCATAGAGTCCAGAGATCGAAAATTCAACTCGTCCACTGGTAATTACAAGTAAAATCTAAAAGAACTCAATGCAGGACTAGTAGAAAAATGTTGCCTGCAGGTCAAGTAACTTCTAAAATATTTTTCGATGTCTGTAGACTGTATTAAAATTATTTAACTTAATACAAAACTGAAATACAATTTAACAAAGGTATTAGATGATTTACGCTATAGAAAAGGATACTGATTTCATTATCTCTCTGAACTACAAGTTGTTTTAATTTATCATTTTCTGTTTCACTATAGGGACCGGTGTCTGGTGGAGGGCCTTGATGTACCGGAGCTATTGGTGCAGGGGTCACCGACTTCTGGGGTGATGCTGGTCTCTCTAGTACTCTTTTCTAAAATCATACACATTAAGCTTGTCAGGTAATTTGGTAACATATTTTGACAAAATGTTTTAAAGTTGATCAACTGTTTTATAAAAAAAGCCACAAAATCTGTGACTTTCATCAGCTTTTTAAAATTTAAATACACTGTAAAAAAACAACACACACACACAAAAATGTATGAATAAATATTTTCATTTGCACACTAAAATTAAATATTTCAAGTTTATGTTTGAGAACTAAAATACCGGTTTTTTGGGGGGCTTCAAAAAAAGGGTTTACAAAAATGGAAATTTCCCTTTTAAAAAAAATATTACATTTAAACTTTTGTATTTTCTCTATGATATATAAAATACCTTCTTAAATTTTTAAAGCATGTATGTATTTTTCTAAATATCAGCCCCAACATTTTTTCATGGCTTCAGGTTTCAAAAATCCCCTTTTATAATCTTCCCCCGCCTCCTACATCTATAATAATAAAAATGTAAAAACCCTTGTGTGTAAAAAAAAAAATATCCCAATTTTTAAAGGTAATTTATAAAAAAGGTAGTCAGATTTTAAATTTGTCTTTTAAACCCTTGTACTCAGATTTTTACTGTACAATTTACTTTTTATGAAACTTTAAAACCCAATTTAAAACCCCCAATTTAATTTTAATGGCATGCCAGCCCCTTTAAAAATTTTTTTGTAAAAAATTGTCATTTTTAATAGGGTTTGGATGTAGGGAAATTCCCCAAATAAAAATTTTCTTTATTTTTTAAAATCATCCCAAAAAGGAAATTCCCAACCTGTTAGTTTCTCTTCTTAAGTTCATCATTTTCCCTTTTTTTCTCCAGTTGCCATGGCAAGCTCCTCTCTCAGTTGTTGTATTTCTTTCTTTAATTTTTGAATCATTAATTTAGGGTCCAGTTCCTCGTTCAGTAACACATCATTCTTAATCATGGCCACTCTCTGGGCAAACCTGCATGTTGATATTGTCTCCTGAAAACATAACCAGGTCATAGCATGATTTTAAGTTATATAAAAATGGAAAATATTTACAGAATTTTTTAAAAATAAACTTATGATTAATAAATCTCACACATGAATGTCATTTTTACCAATACTTTTTTTCCTTCAAATAAAACTTTTTTTGTCGCTGGAAAAGAAAAACATATGCTTAAATTTAATTATATAAAATTGTATTTTTCAATACTGTTTTCAAATACAAGCTTATTAGCTTTTTATGCCTGACAATATCTTAAAATGACCATTCAATTAAAGACTTCCTGATCTTCATTTTCAGTTCTCATTTCTTGTCACCCAGCAGTTTAAGTCATAGAGATATAGTTACATGGTGAATCTTTCTCTGCAAAGATGAAAGCAGATCAAAGATGTCCATAATGAATTGTTTTGGAATAGCCACTAGAACCTAGATAAAATTGAACCACAGAAGTAATGCAATCTCCTTGGATATGATTGGAATACTTTGGACTATGTTGGAATAAGGAATGAAATGGTCTTTTAATCTTCTGAAAAAAAATTATGATACAGATCAATGATTCTATATGTAAAATGTATAAAAGATTATATATTATATCAGATCATGTTCAGTCTTACATCTAAATTTTTCCTATCTATTGCACATGTAGCTATCATAGTGGTCATACAGTTGCCTCCTAAACTGTCTCGTAACACTGATGTCATCATAGAGTTTCTATATGGTATATGTTGACGACTCTTATCTGATAATGCTATAATAACCTGAAAATATATAACAACATGTGTGTCACTTTTATATACAGTTACATGTTACAATCAATAAATATTAAAACAGGCATGTAAACGGGTGAAACCTTAAATGCATATATCATAATTCAAATGATGTATTCAGAATCTGTACTTAAATTCTAGTTTTACTCAGAATTCCAGCTAACCATCAATGTTATCATCATTAAACATGACAATTTTCTTAACCTATTTTTGCTGATTTGAGTACATTATGTTTAACATAACTAATATTGAGAAGATACATATAATTTATCATTATACATAAGCTGAACATGGAAACAGTTTTTAAGAAGGTTGGTAAGCTACCTGTTCCAGAAAATGTAATGACAAGTTGATATATTTAGCTTCTGACAGCAAGACACCTTTAACACCTGTCTTAGATACTCTCTCTGACCTGAAATATTAGAGATATTAGTTGACAAAATTTATCATCAAAATACTGACATATTACAAAACATCCATCAAAAATTGTTTTAAGTGCAAATAAAACAATAATAACAAAATCTTAAATTACAATAAGATCTGTGTATCTAATATTGTTCTAGAGATTATTGTTTAATAATAGTATTATTATTTCTATGCTTGAAGATTATTTCAGTATAAAGATATTATCTAGGAAGATAGAAATAAGTATTGACATTGGTGCATATATAAAATAGACACTTAAAACAAAGTTGCATATTTTGTAGAAGCAGTATTATTTGCCGAGCTCTAGAGGCAAAATAAATTTTGAAATATTCGTTCCAATAGGATAGAAAGTCACACACAAATAGTAAAAGTTATCCAGCTCAATCAACCAGATCAAATATCAAATGCACAAAACAGGGGTAAAAATCTTAAGGAAACAATAAAGTTACCCGGATAAATCTACAAGATCAAATATAAAATGCACAAAAAAGGATTAAGGATCTTAAGGAAACAGTTAAGTTATCCAGTTAAATCAGCAAGATCAAATATGCACAAAACAGCCTATAGAAACAGTAGAATTTACCCAGCTAAATCAACCAGATGTATTTTGGACCGTCGTATTGTAGCTGTACCATGTTCTCTTGATGTTAGATGAACAGAAAATATACAATGTGATCTTGTAGAGGCTTGATTCATGGGTGTCTGAAATAAAGATATTACAGAGATAATATAACCATCCCTTAACAGTTGAATATGGAAGTGTCCAGCTTCCGATGGAAATCAGGATGAAAATTTAAAGTTAGTTAGCCAGCAGTATAGAGCCTAATGAAACTGCCCCATATTGCAGGCTGGCCTGGCTCTAGACAGGTGGCAAATGCTGATCACTTTCAGTTCCTGCAGGGTAAGGGTTAATCTGTTAAAAAGTATCTGCTTATGTCTTCTGCTCTTAATATTTTTTTGTTTGGGTATTATATGTTGCCCCAACACAGAATAGGTCATATGGCAACTTTCTAGCTTAACCGGTAGAGGAAGAAAGACCTCAGGTGCATTTCCGTTAATTATTTCAGACACAAACAAACCTGAGTAGAACCACTGGCATTCCATAAGCTAGATGGATAGCTTCCTCACATGGAATAATCCAAAGTCCCAGTTGGGATTCAGACACACAGCGTTGAGGGGCAAGTGGCTTGAAGTCAACAACCTTAATGGCTCAGCCACAGATGCCCTTTTCTGCTACTAAATATTACCCTTTTTTTTACATACCATGATAGATGGACTATCAAAAGGTAAAGGAAAGTTCTCATAAACTAACATACCTCAGCTATCATTCTGTTAGTATCTCCAAGGAAGAGTAGATTTAGAGCCTCCTCCTCATTTGATGCTTGATGTACTGATAGATTCTTTAGATGTATATTCTGATCATTGTCTTCCATTAATGACACTTTCCTGTCATCATATATAATACATTTGAACAATTTAAAAAATAAGTTTTACTTATAAATAAAACTAATAAAGCATATAGTATGTTGGTGGCAGTTTTCTTTTTTAATAAATTGTATCATGTAACAGTAAAGAATAGTTGAATAATTAGAAAAAAACCTGCTGTCCTTGTTTTAAATGAATTTTTCCTTGAATGATAATCTCTTCTTTAACAAACATTCAAGCCATGTCACATTTGATTAAAAGAACTTCTGTTGTTGATATTTGTTCTTTTTGTGCGAATACAACTGGACGTGTATAGGTTTGATTGATATCTTCTGTAGCATTCAAGTTAAACACTGTTTTCAGATTATCACATTTCAACATGCTTATATATTGAATTATTTCATAGTGTAAACTGGTTTCAATAAATTGCTTTGTGAAAACTGGGCTATGCCTTGAATGAAATCAACTTTCCTAAAACATATAACATTTACATTTCTATTACTGAATTACACAACTGTGTTATATAGAGGATATTGAATGAGTGTAGTTTAATACTAAATTTATTGAACGAGTTAAATAAAATCATATTATGCGAGCCTCTGGAGAGCATAATATTGTTTTATTCAACGAGTTCAATCAATTTAGTATTGAATCTACAAGAATATAATATTCTTTTTATCACATATATAAAATAAGACCAGTAAACTGTTAAAATGAGTTATTTTTCAATGATGCGTTTATAGTGTAACGCTAACATAAGCATGCTTTAACGCTACGTTTCTATATAGCGCAAATGACGTCACGTCAACGTGTTATTACACTAGTGTAATATCGTTTTTTTTATTAAATGGCTTTATTACACTCCTGCGCCGCGGTTTATGTGATAAAAACTTTTATTTTAAATTGTATATCATTATATAATTAAGATAACTGACTATAATCAGTGTATACTTACGGAAGATCTTCTAGTTTAGCAGCTTCATGTTTAGGATCAAGTAAGTCATAGCCGGAATCATTGTAGATCTCCAGGTAAGATATATGTGCTGTAAATGCTCTTTCTGAACGCTGAAATATATATCATGATGATATTATAAAGCTCTGCAGACTTTTTTAACAAAAACATGCACTCTAGCAGAAATTTAATATGCAAAATTTATAATTAATCAGACTGTAGTGTACAGTGACCTCCTTCCAGCTCAAATTTCATTTCTTTGACTAACATTCTGTACAAATTGCACGGAGGTAAATTATCCCTACTTTATGCTTCAAAATTAACTCTTTAAAATCATGATTGGTGATATGTCTCAGGTTTGTGCTCGACAGCAGCTTTCTGTGCCTTAACATACAGAATGATGGACCCTCATTAAACATAGACTACATACATAATTAGACTGCAAACTAAGCAAAATTAATAAACTGTCACTCTACCACTCATTCCCTTCACTTAAGATAAGTTAGATAACTTAAGATGCAACAGCATGCATAACTATTCTTGCTGGTTGACAGAAAGAAAAGGGGCATAACTCTGTAAAAAAGTAACTCAGAGTTATGGGACCTGTGCCTATCATGTTAGATAAACACAGAGAACAAGTCTGTGAAGTTTCAACCCATTTCCTTCAGCAGTTTTTAGAGAAACAACTTGCACGCAAAAACTTAACCAAAGACTAACACTGATGCTGGGTAAGTACAATAGCTCTCTCTATTCTTCAAATAGTCAAGCTAAATATATAAAGGTAAGAAACTGGCAATAATATTCAATACACAATTAACTATTTTAATAATTTATATCTTATCAATGTGACTGTTAGCATATAAGTGCAAAATAACATTTACCTTTTCAAAAGATTCAAATATATATGACAACATTCTAGGTATGATTCCCCTGTCATTATATTTTTCAGCCCCTCCTGTGATAGTAAATGTCTTCCCACTTCCAGTCTGTAAAGTAAATCAATATGATTATTATAAACCAGTAGTTTAATTAAAGTACATTTATCACTACTTTAATATATAATAAACATAAACATAATAAACCTACCCGCAAAAATACATGTATGTTCATTAGGTCTGACTACTTTTTATTACTATGAATGTTACTGCCAACATTTTTGGTCAAAACTTTTGACCAATTATGCTAAAATAATATTTTATTTCAACACCGAGTTCTATTTGAAAATTTTTTTGGCCCACTGTCAATTTCAATGTCTATTTTTTGCAATATTTTCATTAAAAAAAAACCATCCACTTTTTAAAAACTTCAGTAACATGTTTCACCATTATTGTATACCTGATGAAGATACAGTGGAAACAAAACTATTAGAACTTTTAATAAAATCAGTTAAACTAACCCAGTATTTTGACGTATAGTTTTTCCTTACACCCTTTCAACAGTTTTTAATAAGTAAGAAAAAACTTTAAAACACTTTAACACTTTAAAAAAATCAACATCTTTTTTATATCGTATTTTCTTACCTGTCCATATGCAAAGATAGTTCCATTGTATCCTTCAAGCACACTAAAACAAGATCAGAATGAAAAACTTACAAACAAAATATTTCTCAACAATTCATTATTTCTCTTCAATTTCAGTTAACCTATATTATTGGTCCACATGACAGTGAATCTATCGTTTAGTCTAAAAACAACCTTTCACAACTATCAGGTATGTTATTAAAATAATTCTAAGACATAATGGGTGAGTTTGTAAAATAAACTTGAAGGTTCAAATCCCACATAATAAGATTTTATTTCTATTTTTTCAAAATATGAATATTACTAAAAATCTTGAGGGCATTCATCTGAGCTACCTGAAAACAGATTCTAGTTGGTATATATGTATAAAACAGTTTTACTTTCAATCTGACTTACTTATCTATCACAGGCTTTGCTACATTGTCAAATATTTCATCTTGCTTTGAGGTTTGGTCAAATACTTTTTGAAACCTGCAAAAGATAATGCGTTGTTTTTATTTCTAAAATATTAAAGAAAAAATCAATTAAATTTACAATGTAAACTGTTGCCTTAATAACTACCTATCAAAATATTTATAAATATTATAAATTTATTTATATTACGTAGTGATTTTTTTACAATGATGGAATATTAATGTTTCAGTTTGGAAAAATAATAACAAAGTCATAGGTAATTACCTAAATTTATAGTTTTCTCTTTTGTTATTAATAAAACCATCAGCAAGTTCTCTAGGTATTGTAACTGTGAGTCTCGGCAAACCTTCTTCATCATCATCTATATCATACACCTGCAAATGTAAATTATGAAAATAATTACGCATTTTTCATGACTATATTGTAGTATTAAATGAGATTCTTTAAAAACTTATAGCCAGGATTAATTCTGAAATAAATTTATATGTTATTTGTTTGTTTCATTTTACGCCTTTTCCCAACAGTATTTCAGTCATATAGGCGGGTAGTTACCTAACCATCGTTCCTGGAGAGTTACACCAGTACTAGACTACCTTCGTCCGCGCTAAACTACCAAAGCATCAAATCCACGCCAGAGAGGTAACTGGATTAGAAGTCATCGACTCTAACCCTTCGGCCACGGAGGCGGTTATTTATATGTTAAAAGTCACACATTCAAAAATAGATTCAATAAGTAATGCAAATATTCAGAAATGTCTTACAGACATTTACTGCTCAGACATATAACTACGAAAGTATCCTTAAGGATACTGAAAGGTTTAAATTGCAATAATGGTGAAAGAAAACTGGGGTACTGTCATTGTCATGGTTTTAAACTGTTCACTTTTAATTTTAAGGGGGGAAGATGTGTAAGTGACTGGATAGCTCATTTTGTAGAGTAGCGGAACAGTATTCCGATAGTAATGAGTAATGGGTTTGAGTCCAGGTCAGGCTGCACATTTCTTCTCACCCTGTGAAATCATTCTTTATATACATTAAATCTCCATAAGTTCCATAATGACATGAACTAGCTAAACTTCGAGAATTAGTCAAATTTACTTTATTGTTTAATTTGGCATGAATATATAACAACTTTTCACAAAAAAATGTATATAAATAGGTCAAAAGAATTGATAATCAATAACTAGACAGTCTTCATACAAATTAAAATGCATCTAACATATTTTTTTCGACAGCTTTTTCTAGACAAGGTTCCTGCTATGTGAATCGTTTATGAAGCAGTAAAAATGTAGATATCTTAGGCTGTTGGAAAGCATGAGAACTTGTAGTAGTCTGTCTAGACTTGGATTAATCTATAGGTCATCATTTGAACATGTCTGGAGGTTCTCCCTATTTGTATATTAAGGGCATAATATTGATATAATTCCAAACTCAATATGTCAATGTACAACAGTACAATATATAAATAAGACTATGGGGAGCACTTTTAGAATACATGTATGTCCGAAGTAAAATCCATATTTCATCACAGATATATATAAAATGGATAGGAAGCTCCGAAAAAAAGAGGATAGTCAGATTCAGACCTAAAATCCTTTGCACGCTTTGGTGATAATCGGGTTTTCCCGCTAAGTCTCCGATTTTCGCGCTCTTGTTAAATTTTGGTGATATCCGTGAATTATTGTTTACATAGCTGACATGGCTTGCCCGGCTATAGACTACACGTGTATATTTAAAAGAAAATCAAATAAAAAACAATTGAAAAATATATAGAATTCTATACCTATCAATGAAATTTTCAGTGTCAGTTCTAGTCGGGCGCCGCCATTTACAATGTAACTCAATGAAAATAGGCGGAGTATTCCGATAACGGAACAAATCTCAACTTTTCGGATAAATAATAAACGTCGAGTGTTCCGAGTGAAAACGGAAGCGGTGCATGTAATACCGAATGACACTTTTAAAACGGAAAGAATAAAAGGAATTTTTAACGACTTCCCCGTGCATAGGCTTTGCCTAATTTCATATTATAGACCATGGTCACCCTTCACGACCAACATCTATGTAAATTGTAATATCAGATTGTAAAATCGGTTGGTCTTGCAGTCAAAATAATTTTAAGACTAACAGTAGACTAACCCTAGTCCTATAAATATAACGTCGGTTTGAGATATTTTTGCTTCTGGACAAACCTTCTGGGTCAGGCTTGACCACATAAACTATAACCAGGCTGTAACCTCTGATATATTACGGGGAAGTCAAAGACCGGGCCCGCGAAGCGGGTCCGGGCTTTGGCTTGCCCGGCTATAGACTACACGTGTATATTTAAAAGGAAATCAAATAAAAAACATTTAAAAAATATATAGAATTCTATACCTATCAATGAAATTTTCAGTGTCAGTTCTAGTCGGGCGCCGCCATTTACAATGTAACTCAATGATAAAAGGCGGGGTATTCCGATAACGGAACAAATCTCAACTTTTCGGATAAATAATAAACGTCGAGTGTTCCGAGTGAAAACGGAAGCGGTGCATGTTATACCGAATGACAATTTTAAAACGGAAAGAATGAAAGAAATTTTTAACGACTTCCCCGTTCATAGGCTTTGCCTAATTTCATATTATTGGATGAGACTAACCCTAAGGCCTAACCCATAACACTAACACTTACCTATAACACTAAGTCTTCACCGTAACGAAAGAAGTAATCTGAATGATTTTTAGAGAAACATACATTATTAAATATTGAAGAAACAATTTTGTGTAAAATGTTCAAAATAGCTACAGACATGTTCTAAAGTCTAACCGACTATGGTAACTTGTAAAATCATGAAAATAGCATCTAAAATGTTTTCTTACCCCAGCTTTCGCCTTAGTCGGCTTTATTCTTGCAAATATTTGGATGGTTTGTTTAACCATTTTAGAAATAATTCATTCAAGAGTAAAATTTCAAACAGTTTGGTCTTAATTCTTTAAAATCAAACATTTCTTCGTAAAATAGCCTCATTGTTTACATCGGCGGCCGCCATGTTGGAAACTATGCGCTGCGTCGCAGTGAATAAATAAACGATCGTCATTGGTTGAAATTTCTCCTAGTGCAATTAGCACGTATTTGCAATGTGCACGAGAACTGAGATTATGTTGGTAAACGGTATTTTTGCTGCATCTACTTATCACACATTTGCCTGATTACATGCCTCCGATGTGAAGAATGAGAGTGTTTTACATCTAAAATTGTTTTCTGAAAGAATTATTTATAAATATCAGGCTATAAATTTGTGCAATTACAACCGAATTTGTATCTATCTTTTTCCAATTATCCATTTATTTTATGTAGACCTCTGAACAATATGGTGTGTTGAGATTTTTTGGCTTGCTTATAGAAGTATGCAGCTCTGTAATTCAATTCAAGGGAATTAAGTCAGTTTGGTTTGAGAAGATTTTTGTGTATATTGTCCCCCTTGCTCTCCAAATTAAATCAGTTGATGGACATATTTAATGGAATTAATGCTGACTAACATTACTAAGTTGTTGAAATTATGTTTTTATTCTGTACATCTAGCAAATACAATATGCTCATTTAAAGGGCACTGAAGTGTTTTGACATGTCACATGGTGGGACAGGAAATATTTTTTCCAGATTACAGTTCTATTTAGATTCTATTTGATGTAGGTCTAGACCTAGCCTGGGATTCAGGCGTTGATATTTTTTCTTTATTCATAACATACACACTATTTCATACTTGATCGTCATAGATAACACAACATCTCTGGTTTTGAAAGTATCAACGCCTGGGGAAACCTGCAGGGTTTCCCATGTAATTATCAACTAATGATAATCTATTAATAGACCGATTAGCACTTGACCAACAAATTACATGACTAAATTGAAATCAAGGCGAAGATGATGAATGTTGAAAATTTGACGCCATTTACTATTATAAATTGCGTCCAGCACAATTCTCTGATGCTCACAAACTTTATTCACTTTAACTAATCAATCGATCAAAAATTGTCTTTCCCCAGACTGTTGATATGCTGAACAGAAGCACATAAAAAATTGACAGACTGGCTAGACCAATAACTTGTGTGCAAAATTTCAGGTTACTCCCTCACTGTTTTTCCAGAATAATTGTAATTTTGAAAAATGATCTGCAGTTGTAAAGCGTTGCAACACTTTTCATTCATATCAGACTAAAAATAACACAAAAATACAATTTTCAATTTATTTCTGAAATCCCCAGCAGATCTATGTAAGGAATTCGATTTTTATATTTTTGGGTTTGTACCTCAGTGGAGTTCCTTTAAAGGGATCTATAGTTACAACAATTTTGAGTACCAATTTAATGAATTATATGTACCAAATAATTTGAAAAATCTCACTGGACAAAATATAATTTCAAACACTAATGATGATTAGGACTTGCAAACAATCAGTGAAATTGTAATGAAGATGTTGATAATAATTTATACTATAGTTATATAATTTTTGTAGAAGGATGTACCTTATTAATTTTGCCCTCATATGGGGCATTTTGGAAACCTGGAAGATAATTTGACATATTTCTAATAAGGAAACCATCTGTCCTGGACTACAGAGAATGTTGTTGATTTTACCATGTTTCTGAAATTACTCAATATAGAGTGTAACTATAATGATACTAGTTTTGATTGACAAAAAAGTGCATAATTTAGTAATTTCACTGATTGTATGAATAAGAACCTGAAGTTGAAACTGTAATTTTTACATCAAAATATCATAATATTTTACAGACAAAAAGCTTTTCTTATTATCATAGTCTGATCGACTTGTGATAACAACTTTAAATCTGCTACTCATTAAAATCCATAAATATCTCATTGCTAATGAGCAACAAGGAGGATATTTCATTTATTTTGGCTTTCTTCTCCAACCACATATCCATGTACCAAATTCAGTTTTCCCAGGCACTTACTGATATCCTTTAAAACATGTTTAGATCTCAGCATGATTTCCATACAAATATTTACCTAACAGCATCTACCCTGTCAAAGGTTTATAAAATATGATGTATTATAGATAGGTACAGATACAACAATTAGTTATCATCCAATTTATTATCATATGCACTGTCAGAATGTGACAAACTGTCTAGATAACGTGTATACACTTCCAGAACCTCAATATTTTAAAGATGACCTCTCGCACTCGTGCAATAAATCAAGTTTGGGTAGATACACATCAATAATATTTAACTCTCATTCTGCTATGTTTCTTCAAATGATTTGTTTACTATGTTGAAATGACAGAGGTATTTCTTCTAACAACTCATTTGTGTAACATAAATTTTAGATATTAGGTAAAAACATACTAAAATCATTTGATTAAATCATAATTACTTGTATTATCTTGTACCATACACCATCTGTCCACGACTGATACCTCTCATTGACAGTTAAGGCATTGAATGTAACCTTGTATAATATACAGATGACATAAGATAAAACACCTCTATGATATTGTAATTAACTTCTAACCTTATTCTTTACAGTTTGAATATTTGCAGTAATAATAATTATTCTGTGTAAAATAACTAGTAGTCTGTTCAACTAGTATATAGCTTAGACAGCATTTATCACTGTCGTACATATAAACAGGCTCAATTTAAGCAATCCAACAATGTATTCTTCTATGGCATTCTAGACAACCTTCTGTTCTTATTAATGTCCTGCTTAATTCTATAAGCATTTTTCATATCAAGGTTCCTTAAGTTTACAATGGACAGTTTCAAATGCTAAGCAACAAAAAGCCGCAAAAAAAGCAAAGCAAGGCAATTCATTGCATGTTAGTAAGACAATGTACATTTGTATAAGTCTAGAAAATAAAAGTTCTGTTCTATTCTGTTCCATTACACAAATTTAACAGAGTAAAGGTTCAATATACAGCAGGATTTGAGTGATGACAAATTTGATTGGTTGATACAAATCTCTCTTGATTTATAAAATCTAATTAATCATAACAGTCTGATCTCACATGATGGCTGGTGTCCAGAATTTTGAAGGACCGATTGTCACAGATAAGAGGCTACTGTTGTTTTAATTCTTTGGTTATAAAATAAAGCCGAATTTCCAAACAACTATCCTGCTGTGCACAAAAAGCCATTTGAATAGTGTCAAATCTAATCAGAGATTAACTAAAGATTAAGACTGTGTAATGGGATAAAAAAGTTTTATTCTGATCTTGTTTTATTTGTGAAACTTTTTGTTAAAGAAGAAAAAAGTAATGTAAAATCAGTATGATATGTTGCAGTTTAATTTTTCAGTCCATTGAGGCAAAGCATTGAAATTTTCATAACTTTTGTAGTGTAAGAGCATATTCTTCACATATAGATCCTGACATCATTTTACTTCTGCTGAATGAAAACATCACCTATATAGTCTTTCAATTTAATTTAAAAAATAAAAATAAAATTAACATTAAACTTTAAGCACCTTAATCATGTGTCAGTGTAATTGATTTCATCATTAAAAAGAATGGTGAACTTTGTAGTATTAAATTTGTTTGTTTGTTTGATTGGGTTTTTCGTCACATCGACACAGTATAGGTCATATTGCGACGTTCCAGCTTTACTGGTGGAGGAAGACCTCAGGTGCCCCTCCGTGCATTATTTCAGGCACGAACGTGCACCTGAGTAGAACCACCGACGTTCCGTAAGCTAGCAGGATAGCTTCCTCACATGAAAGAATCCAAGTCCCTGTCGGGATTCGAACCCACAGCAGTGAGGGGGTAGTATTAAATATAAAGATGATTTATCCATGCCAGGTAAAAAATCACTTTAAGCAGCTGTATTTTGTTAAATCAAAGGCTTGCAGGTGTAAAAGACATACCAGTGCACCTGACTGGGCACCAGCTGAGAAAAGTTTGCTGCCTGACTGCAATTTGAACATGAAACCTTCAATAAACCATTCCAGTAGTCTAAGGATGAGTCACCGACCCATGCTACTTTATATTTTTCTCCTATTCAAGATAAATCCAAGACAGAAATGTTAATTCAGGTTGTTTGACATCTGAGAGTAAGTTAGATTGAGAGGGTGATATAAATTTAAAAAACTGTGAGTGAAAAAAATAAATAATAATCAATTGAAGCCTGACTTTTGAGTGCAAAAATGATCATGTGAAATCTAACTATTGAGTAACAAAAGTTTCGGAGTGAGAAATTGAAAAACTGAAGCCTAACTTTGGAGTGAGAAATGAGCAATGATAAATTGAATAATAGTTTCTTTGGAGTGAGAAAATAAATAACAGGGCTTCCATAAGTGGAATTTGGGGAGACATTTACCCCTTGATTTTGACTTTCTTTTCCTTCTCTACCTATAGAATGTGACTTCCAATGTCCTTTGACTTCCAAGTTTTGGAGCTTAGTGAAAGCACTGAACAATGAACTTTTGAGAAAATGAATAATGATCAACTTAAGCATAACTGTGGAGTGAGGAAATGAATAATTTACATTTGAGAAAATGAACAATGATCAATTTAAGTGTTAGTCCTGTGGAGTGAGTACCATAATATTTACAAGATAGATATAAGTGATTGTTTTTTTGTAGGAAGTCTTATTTTTGTTCAAGAGGAGGAAATGTGTAGCTGCACATAAAGAATTTAGGTCTGTTTCAAAGTACTAAACAGAAATTTTTATTATTATTATTATTTTTTTTCTTATTTTTTTTTTCTTTAGAAATCAAAACTAAGAAATAAAAATAGTATTTTGACAGCTCCTTGAAATAGAGAATGTTTTCTTTTATTTAAAAGTATAGTATAAAATTTTATAAACTTAATATTATTGCCTTTGTTATTGTACAGGTATGTCTGTATTTAACTTGCTTTTAATTCTTAAGTATAAGATATTAGTTTGGTCAAGCTATTCGAAATACCTCCATTTGGACTAGATCACCCTGTAGACCTTACTGTTCGGTTAAACATAAGTCATTCGCATTGATAGGTGGCCATTTTTACAGTGAGATAGGTAGGTATTTTGCCTGAAGTAAAATGACATAACTTATTTAGATGTTAACCTCTGATCACTCTAGTTTATTGTTAGGTAAACCATGTAGACAGTGATTTAGATGATTACTAACTATTAAGCTGATTGTTTGACAAGGGATGTACGGAGACTGAGCATCAAGACAGGGTGACTTTCTTCTTTGGATTATAATCTGTAAAATTGTTGCATTCCTGTGTTATTTCTTTTTTTTTTAATTTTAAAGAATATAATTATTGGCTGTTAAAAACGCTGTATTCTGATATTGTCTTGGATTTAGATGACTTGGATTGTTTTAATTAGCAAATTTGGTAAGTTTAGTGATATGATTAATGTAATTTTCATTGGAAAGGTAACAAAAAAAAATAGAAATAATTTTCTTACAGACTGAAGTGCTTCGAATATCAGGTGTTATGCTACTCTGGCTTTTGTTTTTTAAAATGGCAAAAAGTTGCAATAATCATGCATGATAATGAATATGTGTTGATAATTATCTTGATAATAAAACATTTCTTACATCTGTTATTGGTTGTAAAAATTTGTCTTTGACATTGTAGTGTTTGCAGTTGAGTTTAAACTAGAAAAAAAGTTTATTGTTATTGTAAAAATAAAAGAATCTACGGTGAAACAAAAAAATACAGTTTTGGATAATGTTTGTAATAATCTTCATAATGACTTTGAAGATTATTAATGTTACATTGCCATATAATATTTTCTGTAGATTGAAAATGAACACTCCTTTTGAAATGGCTTCTTGAAAAGGGATCTTCATCTGAAGTTTGTATTCTTGAAAGAAGATATGTATTATAGTGTGCAAGTGACATTTTAACCAGTTTAATTTCAATGTGAAATATAGACTTTCTCAATCTTTTTTTTTGGTAAATTTATATGATATGTGAAGCATGGTTATACTGTCTGTAATACAATTATCTAAGTCTACTTATTCAAGTTAATATGTTTTTATTCAATTTTTTTTACTAGAAAGTGTGAAAATAATGCTGGAGTAGAATGAGTATGATTTTAAGAAGTGTTTAAATGTTTCATTTTATGCTGGAATTATTTAGATTGCATTTTGTATTTAATGGTAGTGCATTCATGATGCATCTAAATTTAGATAATTAACTTATTTTTTTCGTAAACAAAGGTTATTGTTGGCTTCCGCGCCGAAGCGCGACACCCCTTATGGAATGAAATCAGATTTTGTGAAAAGGCAATTGCAACTTATCGGGCCTTTTAGTCGGTCATAATAGCCGATCATTCCGATTTGTATGAGGGTGTTTGATTATCAAAAATGAAATGTCGCGATATGTCCAATGAATAGCGAACTGGAGAATTTCGCAATGCAAACATATTCAAATGAAATTATCTTATAAATCCGTCAATAAATCTTCGTTTTTTTTTTTTATAAGTACACAGTAGGTTATTATGTATTGCTGTATGATGACTTTAACATTGTGAATGTCCGAAAATCTATTTATAGAAGTAGTTTTAGTTAAAAAAAAAAACGGTCATTCTTGTCACGCTATGGTAATAAATAACAAACTGGAGAATTTTGCAGGACATATTATGTCTTTCGTCTGTCCATTCATAAATATTATACAATTCTGGTAAAAACCAATTAACCATTGAAAAGTTTATAAGAATATCTGGTCATCAGATGTCTACTAGTTCATCTTCATTTGGTGCATTTCTTGCTTGGACGCCCTTTGATGCTTTGCGTCAATGCTTTTCTTGTAAGTTCATTGTCTCAAGATGCTATATCAACACTTGCACTGGAATCTAAAAAAAGTTCTGGTTACAAAATCAATAATACCATATGCTAATGGGTTTTTAGATAGGATCAAAGTTTTAAGATAAGGTTTTGATACAAGTAGAAGGTTTTGATATAGATTAAGGTATTTGATGTAGGGTTTTAATTAAAGGTTGAGGGTTTTGATATAGGGCTTTTTTTTCTCCATTATTTTTCAGTCATAATGTATAAACATTTGAATCATGATAACATCATTTCATAAAGGGTGATATATAGAAATTTCAATTTGAATTATGATAAGTATATTTGATATAGGGCTTTGATACAGGTTGAGGGTTTTGATATCCTTTCGACGGCCATAGAGAAATAAAACATACCGAAAAATCAACTTCTCAAAAGCCGGGCGCTATAGTCATAAGAAGGCTATAACGTAATAAACCGGTATAAAATTTTGGCTTCCTGAAAGCCACTACTGTTTGTCGTAGGAAGGCCACCAAAATTTAGTTTTAAAAGACTAAATTCTTGAAGTTTACCTTTCATTTATTTCATTCTGTTAAATGTTGTTCAAATAAAAACACCAAATATGTTAATTGTATAGTGCCCTTTCTTGACAGATATAGTAAATGTTTAGATATACAGTACACTTTTTAATTAATGTGGTAATCAAATCGATATCCAAATTAATTGAAGAAAATCTTCTAAATGGTATAGCATTTTAAAATGCATTTATTCATACATCAAACGGAGTTTCTGTAAGCAGTTCTCTTATTTGAAACAAAAATGAGTTGAACTTACAAAATTCACGTTGAAAAGCATAGTATCAATCACCCTTCCTGAGAAAAATTGATTTTCATTGATTTTCAATAATTACGTTTTAAAACGTTGTGGACGTTTTACTCAACAGGGTATTCTAATGGGCTATATCGGTAAATAACGTAAAATTTACCGTTTTAAAACGTTCAGAACTTGTTTTAAAAAACAAGGATTGTGAGTCTGTTTATTGCAGTTGAACGTAATATTAACAGTGTTATATGGTATGGCTTTATTGTTTATCGTATGCAGTTGAACAGCCATAGCGTAATATTTTGATTTTTCATAAACACATTAAAAAACCAGAATGTATGAAAACGAGATTTTTACGGGTTTGCATGGCACAAAATTCAAGTTTTACGCTGATTTACGCTACGGTTTCTAGAAAGGTATATTTTTGATACGTTTAACAACACTATGGATGTCTGTTGTAAAATAAGACTGGCTTTCAGAAATGTAAAGATTCGATATGTTTTCTTACGCTTTGGCCGTCCTACGGGTATAGCGGATGGCCGTCGAAAGGATATAGGTTGATGTTTAAGGCATGAAGATCACATTATGAAATGTATTCAGACAGCACAGATAGCAGAAACAGAACAGATAGCAGATACAACAATTGTTGTAGACAATGAATTATTTAGTAAGAACTATAGACAACAAGAGATCAGAGGTCTCTTGAAGTGACTAGAAATGACATTTGTTACATCTACAACTACTAGGAATGTATGATAGTGCATTGTAGGATAATAAAATATAGCGCCTCTTTGGAAGTAAGGTCAAAGTTTACCTTGTCTGCACTCTTTTAGATTACGATTGTTTAGTATATTTGGGGCATGCAAGGCTTCTGTTGGACATAATAAATGATGGCAAAAATACTTTTTACTGCATTGCTTTCATGCAAGGTTTTCTATGACAGGCTAGAACAGTGGTTCATTTACCCCTGCACATACATGACATTCCAAAGTGATTTTTATGTACAGAAAAAAGCACATTTTTCTTCTTTCTTTCCAGGCCTGGCACCTATGAATGTGTTTTTATGTTGAAAAAGAATACCGGAAGAAAAATGATATGATAAATGGTGCAGAACAGGTACAAGACGCCTTGGTGTTCCCAGAATTTCACAGGTAATGAACCAAGGCGAGAGAACAATGTCTCAAACAGACATTGTATTGTTTCCCTGAGCCAGGAACCGCTGATTATGTTTATAATAATTGATTACACTTGATTCTGGCTCTGGTTTTGATTTATATATTGTTTATATAACTTTTTATTAATGTTAATCTCAAGTTATAGCCTCTTTATAGAACAATGAATTATGGGATGCTGTAAATTTTTGGTTTTAGGATACATTTTTATAACGGTTCATTGTTTTGGGAAAGCAGCTTTTAAACTTCTTTCTAATATTGGGCCATTTACAAAATTTTGTAAAAATTATGAAATTTTGCATACAAAATATTGTGATTGGAATTAAATGGATGTAATAGTGAGTTAGACAAAAATTACTGGCTTGTAAAATAACTAATTGTTTGAAAATGTCCAAGATAAAATAAAAATATATAGCCAAGTGTGTAAATATTTTGTACTATAATCTGTTTAAAGTGTGATACAATGAATGGAAGGTAAATGTTTATATCTGAATGTACTTTACTTGTAATGTTTTTGTTATGTCACTGAACTATACGTGTATGTAAGAAAAAAGTAAGGATTTGTGTCAATATTATACCTACAATGTCTGTGAAATAATATTAAAGAGCTATTTTGATAGTCATTGTTGAAAATGTAATATAATTTGTGATAAAAATTGAGGCATTAATTTTTTATGATTTTAAATGCCAGCTTAGTTATTTTATTTTTTTATATGCTTTCCAGAGACAATCAATTCCAGACAGTAAATACAGTAAATGTAATATTTCAAGATATTAAACATATAAAAAGTCACAATATATTGACAGAAATATAAAAAAGAGATGATATATATACTATTATAAATGATAACTGTATATATATTAATGGGATTATACCTATAAATGTAACTATAACATTATATTTCACACCCACAATCTTGTCTATTTTTGGTAAAAAAATGTCAACAACAAACACTGTACATAAACATTCAATGACTAGGTAATTCAATGACTAGATAGTAGAAACATGTTGTACTCATTGATTGACAAGTTACATGAAAGTAATTACATCAAATATGTAACGATGACATCTCCGAATTACAAAACCTGTCAGAACTGTCATGACATCTTGGGTGATAATTAAGATTTAATACTATTATGTCTTCTTAATGAAAATAACATAGACAAAATCATATCTTATTGAAATAAACTTATTTTAATGTAAAATGATTACAGGTGATAATTATCAGATATAAAAGTTTAAGATTGGCATGTTGATAATTATGAAATTCTTTTGCTGATTGAAATATTTCATTTTAAGATCTCAAGGGACAATTTTTCTAGATTTTTATACAATTAATTAGTCTGGTTTTTATTAGACATAAACAAAATGCATGTGGTCCTCTTTATCTATAAGTAAATAAAAACATGATTTGTTGAAATATTAGGAAAGATGGACTGAAACATATTGCCAGTGATATACAATATTTCTGCTTTTATACTATAAAGTAGGTAACTTTAAATACAGATTACATTTTGCTTTGGTAATATTTTGATATGATTTGTGTTAACGGAATTATAAATTAAGCAATCAAAACATATGCTTTGCTATCATTTGACTATGAAATTATTATGTACCGTAATGTGACTTAAATTTAAATACATGTATATTTGATTGATTGTATTGTGTAAGATGATGTATTTTTACAAGTCTGAAAATAATGTTTCTGTTCTGTTCTATATCAATTTCTGAGAATTTCAGTTACCTTTACTATTTTACTGAACTGTGAACGCAAAATGAAATGTAGGTTTTGCTTTAGTTATCATGCTTTAAACTTGAACAAGTTTCCTTACCAGCTAAACCAACCTGGTTTAAATAATTATGGTTGAATTGTATTGTCAATTATTTTATGCCAAAAAAAAAAAAAAAATTAAAATAAAAAAAGGAAAAGAAATTGACCTTTAGTCTTATTTAGTCCACAGTTTGTTGATTTTTAGCTCGACTTTTCTATGAAAAGGGGAGCTATCCTACTCGCCCCGGCGTCGGCGTCGGCGTTAGCGTTAGCGTTGGCGTCACACCTTGGTTAAGTTTTTCGTACCACCCCACTTTATTTCAGAAGTATTACAAGTATGGCTTTGAAACTTACCATACTTGTTCACCATCATAACCTCCATCTACAGACAAGAGTACATAACTCTGTCAAGGTTTTTGACAGAATTATGGCCCTTTTTTGACTTAGAAAGTGTATTGAGCTTGGTTAAGTTTTTTGTACCACCTCACTTTATTTCAAAACCATTGGAGGTATTGCTTTGAAACTGACCATACTTGTTTACCATCACGACCTTCATCAACAGACAAGAGGACATAACTCTGTCAAGGTTTTTGACAGAATTATGCCCCTTTTTGACTTAGAAAATACATTGAATATGGGTAAAATCCACTTATTGCCTTAACCCTTTGAGATATTGCTTTGAAACTTTTAATGCTATTTCACATCATTACCCCCATCTGTACGCAAGAGAAGGTAACTCTGTCAAGGATTTGTTTTAAAAATTAAGGCCTTTTATCGACTTAGAATCTTGGTTAAGTTTTTAGTACCAGTCCACTTTTTGACTGAACTGTTTGAGATATTAATTTGAAAGTTGGAATACTTGTTTACAATCATGATTCCCAAACATGTCCAGGAGAAGGTAATTCTGTCAAAGATTTTATTTGAATTATGGCCCTTAACTGTCAATGTTTTGTATTATAGGCAAGCACTAAAAAAGTCGAGCGTGCTGTCTTACGGACAGCTCTTGTTGAGATTCTACTACTGAGTTAAAGTACCTGAAATTTTTTCTTTAGATTTTTCTTGTTTTTGTTAAATATAAATGTTTTGAAAGTGTAAATTATATAGAATTGCTAGAGGAAATTGTTAAGTCATGAAAAGGATCATTTTTCTTCCTCAAAGAAAGTTTATGTAAATGAAAGATGGTTGTGTTACAGCTGTTAGAAAATGAGAAAACTATAAATTGTTTCACGGTATAATATTCCGTTTTGATTTACAAGTGTCAGGAACTAAATAGCAAAAAAAAAAATTTTTTTTTTCACATTTCAATAATCTGCATTTTTGTATTATATTGCATGGAAATTTTTAACATACCAGGTAGTATGCTTGCAATCATTTAAGAGAAAGGAAGCATTAAAAAAATTGATTAACATGGATTCTAAAATATAAGCCTTGATAACATTTTTACAAGGTAGGTTAACTTATGAAGATTATCAAGTGTGGTAAAATTATTTGTTGACAGTCTGTATTTATAGGTGTTTGATAGATTTTTTTTTCAAAACTATTGAGGAAGTGTTTAATAATGAAGCTTCACAAGTGTTAAGATTGTGTTTCAAGGCTATAATTCATTTAGTTATTTTGCGATTATTAAACCAAGAAAACGGAAGTTTTAAGATAAATATTGGCTACAGAGGATATGTGATGTTGCAATAACTGCTTACAAAAAAATGTTTTAAGGAAGTTTTTGGTAATAAAATAACTTGTTTAATTTTGTTTGAAGATTCTTTAAGGCTTTGATTTAAAATGATTTTGTTATAACATCTAGCCACAAAATGTTGTCTTGTTGAATATGCAATTTTGAAATAATTTCATATGAAAATCTATTTTTGAATACTGGAAACACTATTTTGGCTCGTTTCTGTAGCAAAACTTAAAATCTTTTCATGCTTAAAATTGATACAAAGAATCAAGGAAGTGGAAAATGATGGAAATGTTGTAGGAAAATTTAACAATTATCCTTGTAGAGGCTAGGATCAGATAAAAATGTTATTAATTTAGAGGCTAAGATGGTATCTTTTTATAGGCAGGAAATACAAAGAATTAAGATTTAACTATCATCTAATGTAAACAAGACTTCATCCTCTGTTTTTATTTTGAAGTTTTTAGGTCTTGAAGAAAGACTGTTTTTGTAGGTAATTTTGCAATAATTTTGAAACAGGCTCTTTTTTAAAGTATGATGAAGATTCTGTATATTGAAACAGTCACCAAAAGAGTAACAAGTGCTTTTAATTATTTTTCAGTGTGTATGGAAGTTGTGGTCTACTGTGGTAGATATATACAGAAGAGCTAAGGATTACTGAGTAACAAAGTAAGTAGTTTTACAGAAGTTGTGATTTGTAGTTTTCTCTTTCATTTTAATGACTGACATGTGTTACTCTGACTCAAACAGGGTGTAATAATGCTGGTGGTTTGTACCAGATCATTACTGGTGTTTTAAGAATTGAAAGTGCACATCTTGCTCTTCACCATTAGTGTAATACATTTTGATAATTCTGTGTTTTTCTGGAGGTTTGATTTATTTAATATCCAAATTTTAATTGTTTTAATAATTAATAAGATATTATAATGGTTGGATATTCTTTATTTTGGCTTTTTATGCCCCCGCCATGTAATGGCCGGGGCATATAGTGTTACCCTGTTCCGTCCTTCCGTCATTCCGTCCTTCCGTCATTCCGTCCTTCCGTCATTCCGTCATTCTGTCATTCCGTCATCATCAGTTTCCGTTCATTATCTTAGTAACGGTTGCACACATTCAACTCAAATTTGACATATGGATATGTCATGAGAAAATACAGGTCAAGTTCGAATTTGGTCATGGTTCGATGATTTTTGGCAGAGTAATGCCCTTTTACTTTAAAATAATATGAAATTTTCAGTTTCCGTTCATAATCTCCCTAACGATACAACACATTCAACTCAAACTTGACATATGGATATGTCATGAAAAAATACAGGTCGAGTTCAAATTTGGTCATGGTTCGATGATTTTTGGCAGAATTATGCCCCTTTTACTTTGAAAATAATATGAGATTTACAGTTTCTGTTCATTATCTCCCCAAAGGTACAACACATTCAACTCAAATTTGACATATGGATATGTCTTGAGAAAATACAGGTCAAGTTTGAATTTGGTCATGGTTCGATGATTTTTGGCAGAGTAATGCCCCTTTCACTTTGAAAATAATATGAAATTTTCAGTTTCCATTCATTATCTCCCCAACGGTACAACACATTCAACTCAAACTTGACATATGGATACATCAAAGGAATGCGCAGGTCAAGTTCGAATTTGGTCGTGGTTCAATGATTTTTGGCAGAGTTATGCCCCTTTCACTTTGAAAATAATATGAAATTTTCAGTTTCTGTTTATTATCTCCCCAACAGTACAACACATTCAACTCAAATTAGACATATGGATATGTTTTTGGAATGCCCAGGCCAATTTAGAATTTGGTCATGGTTCAATGATTTTTGGCAGAGTTATGCCCCTTTTACTTTGAAAATAATATGAAATTTACAGTTTCTGTTCATTATCTACCCAACAGTGTTACATATTCAACTCAAATTTGACATATGGATATGTCAAAGGAATGGGCAGGTCAAGTTGGAATTTGGTCATGGTTCGATGATTTTTTGGCAGAGTTATGTCCCTTTCACTTTGAAAATAATATAGATACATCTTAGGAATAAGCAGTTTAAGTTTGAATTTGGTCGTGGTTCAATGATTTTGGACAAACTTATCTTTCTTGAATGTTGAAAAAATTTTGAACTTTCAGTTTCAGCACTCATACTTTTGTGGAAAGTTTGAATTTGGTCGTGGTTCAATGATTTTGGACAAACTTATCTTTCTTGAATGTTGGAAAATTTTTGAACTTTCAGTTTCAGCACTCATACTTTTGTGGAAATGTATGTAGCCATTATTTTGGCTACAAATATGAAATATGCTATTTTCAAAAGGTTAAGACTGAATAATTTCAGTGCTTTGAACATTGTATGAAAATGGTTTGTGTTAACATTGAAAAGTTTTAAGGGCTTTGAACTGCAAATGAAAAAAATAATTTGTGCAAACAAATTTGGAACTAAATATTATAACATATGAAATTTTGGCTGCATGCGGGGGCATCCGTGGCATGATGACACATTTCTAGTTTTCTTCATTTCTTAATGATGATTTTAAAAGCTGACAGTTATATTTGGGGGGAATGAATAAATACTAGAGCAGAATCCATATGAAAAAGTGTTATCTATGACTCTGCTATAAACAAATGTAAGATTTTGGCTTTTTGTGCCTGCACGGGTGATTGGTTTGAAGCTGTTTGTCATACACTGTTTTGGAATCTCTGCTGGGTATGTTGATTTATTCTTGTGAGGAAGTTATCCAGACAGTTGATGAAAGATCAAGGATTTTACTTTGATGCCACCTCATACCTGAAATAATGTAGTTTTCTTTCCACTAGTAAAAGCTGGAATGTTGCCATTTAACTGACCATAACAGCATCTGATTGACTTAAGAATAACAAAGGAAAAGTGATTAACACTTGTAGTACTTGAAAACCTTTCAACTAATGTTTTAATAGCTGTATGTACAGAATAATCTAGTGGTCATTAACCAGAGTATGACTGTATTTCCCACTAGACTTTGAGGTTTCTGTAATTTACTTTATTACTTACAGTTGTTTTTAATGAGAACATGCCCTTCTGATGTTGTTACAAGCAGAGTTTATTGAACATTAATGTAGGCAGGGTCAGATACATTTTGATATAATTATTGAAGCTTACCTGTAATTATAGTTTAATAAACAACCACAGCTGATACTGAGATGAAGCTTGATGTACAGACCATTAAGATAGGAAATGTGTAAATTAAAAGACTTAATATTCTAAATAAACTACTAGAAGTTGTAAACAATATCTTAATATAGTGATCTTGTATTGATTGGTTATAAACGTTTTCTCTTAATCCTGAAAAAGACAAAATATTTTACATTTCTTAAAAATTGTTTCTAAGAAATAGTTTTATAAGTTAGTTTACATTATGTGACAAGTGTTTTACTAATTGGTCTGGTGAATGTATGTTCCCTGTTCCTTATCCACCACTGTTGATAGTGGAGATATTTTCTATGAGTTGTGCACACACACATGTTTATTGATACATATACAGGGCTCATCCGGAAGGGCGATTCAGGCGAAAACTTCGCCGTGTATATTCCAATTTCGCTCTTCCGATTGATCAGAGAGAAGTCAACATCGCCGATAAAATCTTAATTCCAAATAGTAATTACTTAGCGATGTAAAGAGCAGAGATTGTATCCGCCCATATGACGACCGCTAATTATCATTATCCAATCAGAGCGTCGCTTTATACTACCCTTCTACCTGTAAGCGAAGCGATAGACCGCCTACTCTAAACAGTAAATAATGAGAGCATCGGCCCGAAACGGTATAATTGTGTGATAGTTTGCGAGTTTAATACGGGATTTGGCGATAATTATACATTGTTTTTTCCCCGATTATCTAAACACGTGCAATCTTCCCTAATTGATATACACGATGCACTTCGATGGTGGGTTTTTAACCCGAGTAAAGGCGATGTGCAATGGATTTTTCACGGCTATCACAAAACTGTTAGTCAATTAAAAATAATCAATTTCATTAATGATCAGCGACCGGATTAAAAACTTAATCATAGTTTTGAATGATTTCAGTCTGTTAACATCAAATTTTTACTGTAAAATTGTTATGTCGCTCACGTCATGGCTACAGGGCGAAATGCCCAAACCTAGCAGTAAAACTAAAAGAAAGTTACTGATTCTGATACACCTACGCGAAAATTTAAGAAAACCTTACGCAAAAATCTTGCGATTGGTATGTTCAACTATGTTGTAGACAGTGGGGGTGTTTGGCATTGTTCTGTTTTTAGAAATGCCAAATTTGACACAGTTTACGCACATGGGCAAGACATCCCGGCTAAACGTACATATCGGTCGTATATCATGTAACGTATATAACAACAAAATTTGTCAAGAAGAAGAGATCTTATTGTTTCAATATACATATTTGTTTTAATGTCGTAAATATGACGCTCAGATTAAGATTTATCAATTTTGTAAATTTTAAAAAAGCATTATTTATAAAGATATTACCGAATTTAACATTTCATGAAAATAAAGGGAGGTAAATAGAAATTAATTTTCTACAATTTCTCAGTCAAATTTTTCAATAAGAAATGAATGTATGTAATTTTAGTGATCAAATATAATGTGCACAAATGTTTGCAGTACATATTTTACATATTCTTTGATGTTTGAAGATTGTTTTATAAGCATAATTATATGCATATAAATCTGACATTACAACAGTCAGGACGTTCAAAGAAATTTCTGTTACCAGAACAGAATAGAACAGATTCTACTAATCAATATCCAAGGTGACTTCATCATCTAATAAAAGTGAGGAGAAAAAAAAATGTGAAATTGATTTTATCATCACATCTTTTCTTACACATCATTATCAACAAATGTACATGAAAATATATAAACACATATTTTGAGAAAGCTTATAAATAGCTGATCAATAGATATCAAAATATTTTTTTATATTCATATTTGCAGCTCAAAAACATTTAGATGCCATTGCCAGATCTACTACTAATTAATCTACTTTTAATTAATACTACTATTAATTAATCTACTATTAATTAATAAACTGGAGAAATATTATAAGTGATGTTAATTTTGTTTATATTATATTTAAAGGATGTATAGCCATGCATGTTAATGCATACACATTGGGTTGTTTCCCTTCTCCCTAATTTTCGCGAGGAAGTCACTTCTCCCTAAAATTTCCCCCCAGGATGAGCCCTGCATATATTTGAATTGATAGTAATTGAAAATTCTACTGAATGACATGTATGTAATAAGGGACTAGATCATCCTTGAGCAAGTTTATTGTTTGTGCACCCTTCATTAATGATACAAGTACATGTAATTATTGTAGAGAAGTTGAAAGTTACTTGTAGAGAAGTTGAATGTTACTTGTAGAAAGGAACTTATGTTACAACAAGTTTTATGGTCCAAAGTTACACTTATTACTGTAAGATATAAATTACAAGTGGGACACAAGATGCATGACTTAATTGATAGGTTTAAACAAAGATAATAAATTTAACTGAAGTGTAAACTTTGCCTCAAGATTGAATGAGTTTAGACAAGCAATTAATCCTTGCTTGTACTGATGCAGATAATTAAGTAATTTAAGTACAAAATGTAAGTGCCTAAACATAAACAGGATGCATTCATCATTAATTGAATCATATTAATGTGGTTGATGTATTAATATGAGTAATACGGTCTTATAACAAACATATTATTGTATATTAATGTAGAATTAATAGAGTAGTTCTATGCTTTCATCTGAAAATTTATTAACCGGATTCAGAGTATTTCAAAAAGGCTCCAATTACATTATGCACATTTCTTAAGATGTCAAATGCATGCCATTTAAAAAACTAATTCTAATATACTTTGAACAAAATGTTTTGATGTGGATAACAGAAATTTAACTAGTTATTTTATTACGGAAGTCAAAGTTTGACATAATTACGGAGCATTGAGAATCAAAGGCTCCAGGCTTGTGAAGTATTTCTTTTTAGAATCATAATTTAAAAAGAGAATGTCACAAGCCATATTTAGTGTTATTTTCTTAGAATAGTCAAGTTAAGTTAAAGATAATGCAACTAAAGTGTGAAGCTTGAACAATAAGGAGTTACTTGTTCTTAAGGCAACTTTGCTTTTTGCATTTGATTCTAGGATATAACAAATGTCTAAGACAGTCATTCTTCTATGATCACTATATGACTATAAATAATGTTTTAAACTTGCAGAGAACAATTTACTCAACAACAATTTACTCAACAACGAAACAATTCCTGGAAGATTTGTCATGTAGAGCAAGCATGACAGATGCATTAAAGTGGCCTTAAGCTTTTATTTTTTTGTTGGAAAAACAATTCTTTGTGATTTCAGACTATGATTTTAGTAATTTTATCTTCTAAAAAGTGCATCATATCCCTATTAAGTCTTCTTCAACACAGCATCCCGAGAGCTATTTATAGCACTCCAGTTTCTAAAAAATAGGAGATAGAAAAATGAATCCTCCGCTTTGTTAATTTACATAGAGAGAGTAGACTGGTACATTAGAGGGGTATCAAGGGGTTTCCTTATTGTTTATATATTTTACTTTAGAAAACCTTAAGGCTGCAGACACACAATCAAGGTTGATAATAATATATTTGTTGATCATTTTTGCAATTTTTCTTTTTTAAAACCAATTCTGTTTCCAAATATTTTTATCATGAAATTAATAAACAAGCTTTCATTGTCTAAGATTCTTTAAAAGTTCAAATAAGAAAATATTTGTGCATAATCAAACACTGGTAGCCTTATATCTTGATAAGACAGCAGGTGAAGTTTGAACAATGTAATCTATAGGTCATAGACTTCTGGTTGTTATAAAATTGTGGACATGCTAGATGACAAAATATCTGAAATCTGTATTATCATTTCAACTAGTTTCAACCAATATTTTATGTTTCATTAATTTAATAACAAGTCCTTTTATCACATATTTGTTAGTATTTGTTGACCTTACCTTTACTGTAAAGGTTCAAATGTTCATTTTGTACCCTAGGGGAAATTGAATTTTGACCATACATAGTGTAAATTACAAGGTAATTATGAGCAGGCTAGATGGTGATAGATGTCTGACTGTATACAGATGATTAAACTACTTATCTACATGGCCCCTTTGGCCTTCCTGTCAGTCACACTTGTCAGGCTACACAAAACATACCTAATGGAAGTCAAGTATAAAACCCTGTATTAACAATTGAGTGAAACCCTTCATTATCTGTAATAAGATATTGTTAATTACAAGTCAAAACTGTTTGTACAAATTACCATTGCTCATGATACAGACATGTAGAAAGGAAACTTTAAGGGTGGTAAGGGAACTTTTTTTTCTGTACAATGCACAATACCCCTGGGGAATATTGTTTTAGAATAGCTTAATTGATTTAATTGAGGAACTGTCAGGTTAAGGGATTTCCAGTGCTGAAACTATGGTGAGGCACAACGAGGCAGGTACATCTTTGATTTTTTGGGGCATATACCATCAGTTACTTCTTCTTTGTGGGGTACTCACTGGTGCATCATATATCATTTTCTACATAACATATGTTTAAATACTAACTTTCGTGTTATATTTTGCTGCTTATACCTTCAAAAACTACTCCAGAATGTAGATAATTGCTTTAATCAAACAAAAAAATCCTGATCCCAAGACACGTTCTGCAACAATGTTTTTCAGGTCTCTGCCTATGGCACTGATTTCTATATACATGTACTAGTAAAACCTTAAAACTGAGAAATCAGCAAAATAGATTTTTGCTGGATCTTTGTGTGAACATCTTGGACTAAAATCAGTTATAAAATAGCATTTAACTTTGAAGTAGTTAACATTCATTTACTTTGTGATCACATCATAGTAAAATTTTTGTTATAATTGGTTATTAGTTTCAAAATATAAAAAACTCATTTTCCCTCCAGTTAAGGAAATAAACTGAATAAAGTGGTTTGAATCATTTATAGATTGAACCATGTTGATTAGCAGCTTTTCACTTCCATCTTTGTTTTTTTTTTTGTGATTTCAAACCATTTTCAAAAAGTACTTTTGTGCATTTGGTTGAAAACGGATCAGTAATTATTTACTGCCAAATTTAAAAACTTGACACAGACATAATTACATGGTTATATTTCATTTAATCATCATCTATTACCAATGTTTATAGTAAACAAAAATGTTTGATTTCATTATGTCTTTAAAACAGAGTTGTAGATCTATGTCTCTGTTTAAATGGAGCAGTAATAGTTTTGTAATATGTACAAAAAACATGTCATAAAGTGGCCTGTGTTAATTTTTCTCTTCTTGACAAGACTTCTTAATTACAAATTAATTGCGGACATTCTTTATAACAACATGCTACTTGATAATAAAATCATTTTTTCAACTTGTGTTATAAGTACAGTTACATAAATCAAACATAGAAGTATTAAACCTTAGGAGATATATAACATCATATCCAGGTGAATTCTGTCACTAACTGTTATCCTGTAGGCACGCTTCTGCAATTAGCTGAGTAAAAAGACACCTTTTTGTAATTGAAAGAAGGAGACCAATTTATCTTGTTTCATGATTAATTATATAAATGACTTTAAGTTATAGTCATCCATCACTCTACTGCTAATCAGGTGCAGGGTTGGTCTTTGATCTATTGTATACATTATAATGTACATTACTGAATGTTGTTTTTGTTTTTGTGAATAATAATGAAGTAATTGCTCTTTTTTTCAATATGTAGAATAAAAGTAAAGTGATGTTGAGTTATGAACAGTTTATGTTATATTTCTATGTGCTTAAAGGGTAGGTAACTTTGCATTTTATTATTTACACAAGAGTTATTTCACTTTTTTAACACAACATTTGGAGAATGAAGACTGCTTAGAAAGTTCATTTTTACTTCATTTTATTAGCAAAGAACAAGTTTAGAATAAATATTTACATGACTATACTTGGTTGTGAAGACAGTGAGCATCCATCTTATTGATCCACTTTGGACACCAGTTTTTGGCACTTATCAGTAATGGTGTAATATGAAAAAACATGGTCATGTCCCCAGTAGTGATTGAACCCACAATTTCTTTGTTTAAACCACCATACTATCACTTCCCAAAATAAAGTTTTATACCAGCTCAAGTGTAATTTTCTTTCTTGGTTAACTAGGATAAGGTTATAAAGCTCTACCTTATTACAGGATAATTTTACATTATTATATATGAAAATATCAAAACGCACTAGATTTATATAAATTTATGAATTTGTATCAAAGAAATAGTTCTTTTTATTCCTCATTGAAATTAGTTGTGCCCAGTTATCAAATAAAGAAACCATGTCAATCTGAAATATTTTATGACCGTAATGATGATTTCTGTAATAAAACACGGGAGTCTTTCAAATTATCGTATTTTATTTTCATCATATATAGGTAAAGTCACAGGTTGCATGCATTGAAACTGTCAAGAATTTGTAACATTATAGAAATTTTATAACATCTTTAAACAGATTTAGCGGTCATCTATTCTCAAGTGACCACTAGTGGCTAGAGGCTGTCAAAATCATTATTACTTACATTCATGATAAGTTGACGCACAAGGAGACCACAGTGTACGCTATTTTCCTCTTTGACGAAGGTGTGAAGTATTTGTGACTTGACCACAGCTAATCCTTGGGAATTTTAGCGCTCTTTTGAATAAGTGTTTTAATGCATGGACAACTGTTTACTTAGTGGAAATAGGTACAGTTGTTTAAGTAGTCTGAAAGGTGATAAGTTTTACTTAAGTTTCTAAGAAGCTGAATGATAAAAGTGTGTTAACCATTGTTTACTTTACACTTACAGGAATAGTTGGAAGGATTTTAATGCTGGAAGGGGCATGACACTAGGAACCTGTGTAAAGGTATAACAGCCTGGAGCCAAGACTTACAGAAACATAATTATATAGAGGGCTAAATAGTGCTGAAAGATAATATTGATGCTCAGGAAGAATAAATTTTTGGAATTGCACTTCTTAAATAGGTAAGTGTGATGACTTTGTAAATATAGAAAGATTTATTCAGTGAATATTATTTGAAATATGCTTATTAATTAATATATATTCACCCCAATTAAAATTAATTTAGTCTGGGTTCAAATAAAGAATATTTATTGTGTGATTTGTGTTGTACATGAGAGGAGCTTTCAAATGAGATATGTCTGTTTTATTGAAATTTAACACACTAAAAAACAAAGACAAATAACCTACATAATGTTTGTGACAATTTGTTACTTAAGTAATGTGGGTGGTAAAATTTAAGTTAACCTTTAAAAAGATTGGATTATTGATATTTAATACCATATACTTGTTTTTATTCAAGAGGTTTATATTGATTGATGTGCAAGTGAAGTTAATTTAACACAACTGTAATATTTAAGATAGATTGTTTTTCAGTTATTGCTAAATTTAGATTTAAAAGTGTTGTTACATACTGGACATACCCGCTTTGAGAAATGGACACAATTGTGTGTGATTTAAACCAAATTTAACAAATTTCTACAGCTTAAGCTGCACATACATTCTCCTGGGAAACTGAGAACTTCTGAGAACACATAAAATAAAATCTTTAGTAAATAAACTTCCATTCAGAAACCCAATAATACAAAGTTTCCAATATCCCTCCAGGTTAGGAAATGTTGTCAAATACAATTTATTGTACCAAAACAAACCTAATTCTGTGTAATGCCTGGCTATTATTGCATGTAAACAGAACATGTGGCAGGGCTATAAATTAATTATTGTATTGATGTCTACTAGGAGGAAATGCAGAATATTTTTCAGCAGCAAACATTTGGTGATGTTAGAGATCCATTTATCATCAATAAGGTTTTTGCATAATTGATTAAATGAAGAAACTAATTATTGGTGTATATATTAATACAACATGGACATGTTTGATGTCTGATTTATATTTGTACAGGCAAGGGGCAGTTAAAGATACTTAATACTTCCATACTTTCATCTCTGTTGAAATCAATAATTTTTCATGACTTTTACAAGGTAACGAGTCACAGGTCTAGGCCCCCTAGCTTTAGGTCACTATCAAGTGGTCATGAACACAAACCAAAGCTGGACTTCATAGACTGAAAACTTCATAACTAAGGTTTTCATAACTAAGAGCACTTGTTACTACCTTCAAGTGATGTATAAAGTTCCAATATTTAGATTTCTGCATGCTTTTTATAACCATTAGAGGTTCTTAAACAAAAAAATGGTTGATTATTTAGATACTAGGAAGATATTTCTTCCACATGTATAGTTGACAGCTCAGAATTTGTTTGGTTAACTTCATGCAATTTTCTAAAACTTAAAATAAGCAATGTTTTGGAATTGGATGTAAAATATGACATGAAAATATAATAACTGCATATTTTCTCTCATTGATTCCTGTATGTCCTATATAATAATGTATGTATACATAATAGTCTTACTGATATATTTGTTGAGTGTAGTAAATTTTCTATTTTTTATGTCAATAGTTATAAGGTAAAATAGACAAGGAACTTCCTTTTTGTGGTAAATGTTTACTTATATTCATGTTATCTATATAAAATATTTCAAATAACTTAGCTGTTATAGGAATTACATAGATTGATGAGAGCTATAGATCAAGTAAGTTTTGTTGAAAATTCACTAATTTTGAAAATTTTTCTTATTTTCAAGAAAATCTTTATTATAAGAGAACTATCAAAGTTTAACAAAAAGGACAGTTTAGAAGTTTTGTTATACAGATATTGTAAAATTATATCTCTATTTTTGTCCATACGCAATCAGGAAGTTTTATAAGTCTTATACTAAATGATGCTCTGAAAGTTATCAAGCATTTTATCGAGAAAAAAAATTGAAAAATGACAAAAAGAGAGATATTTTTAAACTGTGAGGTAAAAATTATATCAGCAGGCTCATTTATTTATGTGTAACATAATGTTTAATGCCTTGCAGCATAGCAGGGAATACTGTCTGTTCGTTTGTCTGTTACATTTTCATGTCTGCTCCATATTAAGTTAAAAAGTGCTGAAAGGTATTTAATAACTAAGTACAAATTATCAATATTAGGAGACAATTTGTAATGCACAAGTGCCAGGTCGCTACCCCAAGGTAATTGTTGCACTCCCTGCATCAAAAATCCCTTCTCCTGTTGTTGTTTGTTCCTCTACAGACAGAGTAACAGCTTAAAAATTCATCTACAACACTTCCTAGACAATGTTTATCAACAATCCTTCTTTCGGAGAATGATATCAGCACGGAACATGCTGCCAACATCATTGTTTCTGCCCCAGAATTGAACACATAATAAGACAGTGGTCCAGCCATAATCACCAAAAGGACCTAGCCTAGAAGACAAGTTGGCTTTAGCTTGTTAATCAATGTACATGTCTTTGAATTCTGATGTCCTTTATGGTGTTGAAGAGTAAACATTTACAGTAGTCAATTTCATTACATGAAATCTAAGAGCAAACAGTCTGATGTATACCATGATGATGGAATTTAAGAAAGTTCATTGTATCAATAAGAAAATCATTAGATAATATTGGATTGGCAACTAACTTAAAGCACTATAGTTACAGGGGTATCAAATTTCATGGCAAACTTCAGTTTCATTCATTTTTTATCACCCTGCTTTGCTTTATTCTTTATAAATCTATAGACATGAGTCATATAGGTCAATACTGTAGTTTCTGTAAGGTCTGTTAATAATTGCCTTAATTGGGACGTTTAAGGCTGTTTACTCTAATAGTCTTGGTCAAATATTTAAGCTAGCTTTTAGAAAATCCAGATCCAGCCTAATTAACCTTTCTTAATAATTCTGGTAGTCTTTGAATTATGTAGAATTAGATATTTAACATTTAAGGTTAGATTCACAGTGGTTTTCTTCACAGAAAATCAGATATTCATTAAGTTTTCAGGGGTGAACAGCCCATTCTGTTATTGAATATACATTATACTTGAGTTTTCAATTCATGAGAACAACACTGTATTTTACAAATTATTATTACAGTAGAAACTAACTTTTTCTTGTTTGAAGATGTAGTAAGGGATAGAAAATAAAGTAGTTCCAGCATTTGAAATCCTGTAATTAAATTTAAAGAAAATGGAGAAAATCTCTTAAGACGATATTTAATCAACAATTGTGTTGCCGATGAATTGTTACATGCATGGAATTTATATGCTCCCTGGTGCAGTGCCGCAATTTTAATTAAGAAAGCTCTCCATGCATTTCAATATTTGATTGTATTTTACAAAAACGGTAGCGTTAATCAGTTTTGAAAAGAATAATAGCTGCCAACGTGACATTTCCTTCTCTCCTGAAAATATAGTATTGACTCTGCATTTCCATAGAAAGAAGACCTAAATCCCTATCAGACGGGAGCTTGGATTTAAATAAGATCAATAATTCATAGAAATATTCCAATACAGCATATTGGATTTTTCTCCACTATTTTCTATGGTGTTGAGCATGCATGCATGTTTATTTTGACCCCTATATAGAGTCATTGTGTGTCTTAATGGACGTGTAAGTCAATGTATTCTGGGTATTTATATGGATATATTGAACTGTTAGATCTGCAGTTTTGAAGAGTGGATAAATTTAACTTAAAAAATTGAAGAGTTTCGTCTAGTGAAAGAGGTATGTTTCATAATTATGTTAGGAAATATTGATTTACATGTATAATAATGATATTTGTATAAATTTTGTTTTTAGAAAATAAAAAAATTAACCTGTTTCTATATTTATGTGATCGTTTCTAGCTGGTGACAATGTTACAAAATAGGCAGAAATGTCACTTCATTTCTTGTTGCATCTATTCCTAGCATCTGATTTTACTGGAATCATGTATACACAAGTGGTAGACAGCATTGGTAGAAGAGACAAACAAAGACAGTATATGATGCCTACATCACCATTTATTACATGACTCATTCCTTTATAAATCTTTAATAATGTTTGTGTCTTTGTCCAGTAATAGATTGTGAATAGAATAGTGGAAATAGTCATATACAAGGAGTTACTGTTAATAAGTGTAACAATTTCATCAGTGTTCCATTTATATACTGGCAAGCAAGTAGTTTGACAATTAATATTGTATATGAAATATGGTAGTATCAGTAATATCTTAACTAAATCATCAATCATCTAAATATATTATAATAATTGAGGGAAAATAATGGAAAGTCATCATGTGACTTAAACTTCAGCTGTCAAATGTCAGCCTTGTATTTAGATACAAGATATTTCTACCATTTTTGTGTTTGAAACAGAAGAACTGCCTCTTTGTGTTGGGATTTTTGTTTTAAATTACAATTTTGATGCATTGTCATGTTAAATTTACAAAAATCTTACAATGACACAATTTATTGGTTGCCTGGGAAATGCATGCTCACTTGTGGAGTAACAAAAATTCTTATGTTTTACTTCTTAATGTAGCATATTGTCTTAAATACAATAACTTAATGAACCAAATGTATCTTAATATGTGCTGGTTTAAAACTATAAAACTTGTTTTTGTTGTCACGCAATTTTACACAATTGCTATAGTAAAGATTTTAGAGATTTTTGTTGTGGCCTGAAGCCTTATTGTAAATAGAAAGGTGTCTTATTGCTATAATTGGTGGCATTTAATGTCATTAAGTACATTTTAATAGTAAGTCAATTGAATGTGTACCTTGTGATTTGCAGGTATGTTAATTAAGGCCAGATTACAGGTACATGTCTTGACCAAGGGATTTTAAATGAAGATATTAAGATGAAAATTGAGCCCTCATGTGGTCAGGTAAAGGTGTGGTCAGGTGTCACAGTGTGATTGTCTTACACCTGTGAGCCCCAGACTCTGATTGTCATAGATTTAAGATGGAATGTAAGATTAAAGACAAAATATGCAGATTTTTTTACTTTTATCAAAAGAATGAAATATTTTACAAAGGTGGATTTTCCTATTTTTTCTTATTTAAAGAGTTCATATAAATCCGTGTGAATATTTGC